CAGCCATCTTGGATTTATTTTCCTGCCGTTTCAAGGCAACTAAACTGATACTACATGTAGCCACTAGAGGGAGCTGGACTAACTACAACCCCATTATCCATTGTAGCGTACACAAGGCAGAATAAAGTTGAAAAGAGGGGTGAAACAGGGGGACTTCCGGGTTAGCGAGCAACCATGAAGGCCGCATAGTTTTAGGGTCTGATGGCAACCTTTAAGAAAGCCCCCAAATCCCAGATAAACAGGCCTATTCAAACAACCACACTGGAATGACAGGGAGTTCAAGAACCAGAAGCCAAATAAAATGCAAAATACAAGAAGGAAAGATGAAAATGGATGACCAGCAGCTCCTCGAGGAAAATGGGCCTGGCCAACACATTCTCACACCCTAAGCGTCGAAAATGACACGGTGGGCCCAAGCATTTTTTTCTGATGCGTTGGGAGCCCCTGTGTATGACAAGCCAAAACTGCCACAATACGCCACTTTTCCAACCCGTCTAGTTAAGAGATGGCGAAAATAACACCGTTTGATGCGTCAGGACATCGTAAAATATGGCGAAATGTCTCCCAGAATGCCGTATTTGACGCAAGCCAGAGCCGTTCTTAACGGTCCTGTAGAACACCGGAAAAAATGACGCTCTGGCACAGCGCATCACCTCCCGACACTCAGGGGCTCCCCACATGTCGGAAACAAACACATAGTGAATGTGATGGCCTGGCGCTACAAGCTGTCAAAACAAAACTACATGAATTTTGAAATGAAAACAAATAGGAATTTCAAAGACTCAAGGAAGAAATAAAAAAATAAGATTAAACTAAGCTGAAAGAAATGAAGAGGGAAATCTACCAAACTATATCGACACAGAGAAAATCAACTCTCTGGAATACAAGCTAACAGAGGCTGAGACACAGTTAGCTGAGACAGTCATTGAGCGCAGCCATGAAAGATGCACCGGTTAACACGGATATTCAAAGAAAAGAACGTATTTAAGGAAGATCCAACAGGAATACCACTTGCTTATATATGGCCCCTGAAGGAAAGGAGGAGAAATGGGAAGAGGATACTGCCGCTGCCAGATTCTACTCCTGGGGACGTGGGCAGAGAAGTGGAGTATCTGAGCATCACAGTGGCAATCAAATGGTGTGATTAGCTGAACAGAAGGGACAATAATGCAGCAGTTTTCTGTGTAAAGCTGCAGATAACTTTGGACTTTTGGATGCATGAAACTGAGAGTCTCACCTCCAGAGAGGGGTCCTACCAAGAGAATAACCCCTCAGCCTGCCAACGGGGACTGGGGACGTGGAAGAACTGTCCCAGATTGGAAGTCAGTTATTTGTTCATGTTATGTTTTTTTTTCTTTTCGTTATGTTTGAGTGCAATTATATTTGGCCACATGTTCAGGCCTGGGTTGTTGTCTGGAAATTCACAGTAAACATACCTTTAGTCAAATGTCTTTTAGTAGCATTAAGTAAGTGTCACTAAATGTGAAAGGCTTAAGTAATCCAGTTAAAAGAAGTGAGGTCCTGACTAAACTCAAAAAAAGGAACAACTCAAATTATTTAATGCAGCAGACACATCAGCCCTCACAGGAACATGAAAAGTTGCAGAGATTTATACAGGAATATGTTCTGTAGTTCTTGAAAAGCTTTAAGTTGAATAATTATTGAGTGGATATTGCTGGTTGTTAGGATTTGAGCTGGAAGAGAAGCAGAAATTCAGGGGTGAGCTTGATGTTTTTATGCAGCACATCCCCAGAGTAGAGAGAGTGATAATTAGTGCAGACTTTAATGAACATGTTTGGGGAGGAGAACACACATGATGAGGAAGTGATGGGCAGGTTTAGCATCCAAGATTGGACCTATGAAGGACAGATGGTGGTAAACTGTGAAAAGAACTGAAATGGCTATTGTGAAAACTTTTTTTCCTGAAGGGGCTGAAGTATAGGGTGAGGGAGGACTTCACAGCTGGGCTATATCTTATGTAGATATTGTAATTTAAAGGACACTAGTGACTGCAAGGTAGTGGCAGGTGAGAAAAATAATAGTGATCTAGGAGGTAAGTGATTGGAGGGAAGATCAAGCGAACAAAGGTGGAACAGAGAACCAGGTGGTGGAAACAGAAAAAAAAAGAGTAGTGTTGTAAGGTTTTCGGGTTGTTGAGTTGAGACAGGGTTTTTAATGGCCAGGAGGAGGGAGATGCAATACATGGTGAAGGTGGAGTTGGCTAAGGCCAAACAAAGGGTATATGATTATCTGTAAGTTATGATGAACAGTAAGGGGGTAGCAGATAAGCAGGTGAACGAGACAGAAAGATTGAGACGGAATGTATGTGCAGCAATTTAGGATGATTAAGGATAGGGATGGGAATGTGCTGCAGGGGCCACTTGCGTGATGGGAAGATGGAAATGTACTTTGAAAAGCTGATGAATGTGGAAAACGGAAAATAGAAAATAGAAGAGATGACTGTTGTGGACAAGGAAGTAGCTGAAATTTTTAAAGATGAAATGAAATTTTTATTCATACTGTCTCTAAGCCCTTTCCCGTTTGCTATGATGATGGACAGGCTGACAGATGGGGTATGTGATGTTTGCAGATGACAAAGTGATCTGCAGTGAGAGCAGGGTGCATGCAGAGGAAATGCTAGAGGTGGAGATATGTACTGGATAATAGAAGAATGAAGATTAGTTGCAGCAAAACAGAAAAATGTGTGTAAATGAGAGGAACACAAGTAGCATGGTGATGTTACAGGGAGCAGAAGGAAAGAAGGTGTGAAGTGGGGATGGAGAACAGTGTCAGGTGTGATGTATGATAAAAGGGTTTCAGCAAGAATGAAAGGAAAGTTGCACAAAACAGTAGTGAGACCAGACCAGCCATGGTCTCTGCTTTAGAGACAATGTCCATGAAGAAAAGACAGGAGACAGAACTGTCAACATCTGCAGCACTCAAGATGTTGAGGTTCTCTTTGGGAGTGACTAGGCTCAGGAATGAGTCCATCAGAGGGACAGCTCGTGTTAGATGTTTTGGAGATAAAGTCAGAGAGGTCAAACTGAGATAATGTGGACTTGTCCAGAGAAGAAATAATGATTATGGCAGCAGGATGCTGAGGTTGGAGCCACCAGGCAGGAGACAGACTTTTGCTTCTAATAGACTTCAAAGACACTCTCTCTTGCGACTCTCAGCCATCTTCAAATGAACCCCGTGAGAACGGTGAGGAATGAAAGATGACGAGAACATACGATGACAGCCTTGCATGAAAGCTTCACCAGAATGATCGACAGTTAAGCAGACCAGTGATTCAAATGATCCACCTGGAAGAAAAAGATCCTCTGCCACTCCTTTACATTAAGATACCTTTTGCCTGAGTTTAGTCTTCACAGAATAGTTACTGTAGTAGAATGACTAATTCTCTATTAATAGCTAGACTTTAGACTGTAAATCATGTAAAGATGAACAGAAACCTATGATGGTCCCATGTTGGAGACTGGAAGGAATCAAAGTTGGACTTAATCTTCTTATCCAATGAACGTCTTCACTTTGCAGCTTTTTGCTATCTGAACCTGGGCCGCATTCATCAAACGTTTGGAGAAACTGTCTCATATTCCATCCTACTGTATCAGACATATAAATAATGATGGTTTATTTTTACCAATTTCCAAAATGTTAAGTGAGTGCCCCCAAACAGCTGACGTCAACAAAAACTATCTTCATCATTAAGTAGAACAAGAAGTCGATCCTGGAAGTGATGGTCTGGTCTCCACTGAGCCCAAAAACTCAACAGGAAGTGTGTCTGGGATTTCATGAAGAGACAGATGGATATGAGGAAGATCTGTGGTTAGATCTCCAAGATGTTTGGAACAACCTACCAGCTAGATTCTTCAACAACTGTGAGCAATGGTACCCAGGTTAACCGATGCTGCAGAAGGCAGAGGGTGGTCACACCAAGTATAGATTAGATTTAGATTTCTCTTTTGTTCATTTGTTGTTGTATTTTTTGATTGATGAAAATAAATGATTATCAATTGTTGAAAGCAATCTTTGTTTAAAACAGATTTTCACACATGCCTAAAACTTTTGTTCTACTGTAAATCTGTATCACAATAAGTTAAGAAGGTCTCTTCACTAAATGTTAACCAGTCAAATTTTACTACTTTAACTGCTAGCAAGGTTATTTACAGTTGTTGCTGGAATATGTTGCATTCACAGAAGCCCCAAAAGGTAAACAAGCTGACACAGCTATCCCATTTTAGTCATATCTTCTAAAGCTGCGTGACCACCAGCAGTACAGACGCAGGGGTTGAGTCACGATGTTCTTTGCCATGCTTCACTTATGCATGAGTAGTTGTCTGCAGACAATTACATTTATGTAGAGGACTATAATAATGTTTGCTTTGTGCTTGCTTATTGAAAAAGAAGTTCCGTATGTACATTTGTTTAAAAAAAGGGAACATGTGTTTTGAACCACTAGAGGTCAGTCTCGTGCTGAGAGAAAGAAAGAAAAGGAACAAGATAGATGCTGGATTGCTTACACGTGCCTGTCCTCCGTGTATATTACAGTTCAGATTGTACAGTAAACGACCTGCTCCTTCTACAGAATATAACATAGATGCAGGGCATCTCAAAGTTCACCACTTGTTTTAATCGGGGGGGGGGGGGGGGGGGGGGGGGGGGGCTGATCAAACTTTCATGAATCACAGAAAAATATGAGAGAAATGTTTTTAAAGATTAAATGAGCTTTATTTTGCCATTGTTTGTGTGAAAACACAGTTACAGAATATATATATATATATATATATATATATATATATATATATATATTATTGGTGAAGTTTAAATGATCCGAGTAACCCTGAACTGCAGTGGGCATAAAAGTTCTTCCAATCAACACAAGTCCAACCAAACCCAAACTAAAAAGTCACGTGACATGTTTCACATCGTGAATCCACTTCTGTCGTCACCTGATGAAAACGGGGGAAGCGGAAACCGCGTGCTTGAGCGACTTCAGAGCGGAGCGGACCTGAACCGGCAGCAGGACCAGTAAGAAATTCAAAACCAGAGAAGTAAACAACGACATCTGTCTCACAGAGCGTTTGTGTTTGCCTCGCTGCTGTCGATCAAACGTGACCAGACCCAACAGGTGTGCTCAGGCTCCGCCCCCTCAGGTAATATGTTTCAGATGTAGCCATACGTTCTTCAGGTTCGTTTCTGTATTGCGCTGAGTTTGGTCGAATCTTCAGCCGGACTTCGGGGTTCTGTGAATTTATTTATTTAACTGTATAGAAAAGAATAAAGCAGCATTTGGGTCTTATAACTGCAAGAAATTGTCTCACACACTAAATACCAAACGTGTGTGTGTGTGTGTGTGTGTGTGTGTGTGTGTGTGTGTGTGTGTGTGTGTGTGTGTGTGTGTGTGTGTGTGTGTGTGTGTGTGTGTGTGTGTGTGTGTGTGAGAGAGAGAGAGAGAGAGAGAGAGGAAAAAGAGAGAGCAAGAAAGAGAGAAATTGGATCAAGTGGCAACTAGATGAAGGTTCTGCCTCAGAACCACATGAAGGTCCCTGAAGATTTTATGTCTTCAGCAGGATGGAGGGAAGTGCAGCAGCAGGAAGTCCTGGTACTGACCCGCCTGCCTCATTTCCTATCCACTCTGACAAGGAGGAACTGCTCCAAACCTCGGAGGACCATCAGAGCCGACAGTCTGTTGGCCTGTCTGGGTCCCAGAACCACCACATTCCAGCAGAGACACCAGAGCTGTCCGACAACCTGAAAGCAGAATGTCCAAAAGAGGAGTCAAATCCAGGTCAGCCAGGCTCAGAAAACACCGGTCGAGATAAACCAGAACTTACTAAACTAGTTCCTGTTTGTGAAGGTTCTCTTCTGACAGAAAAGCCTCCTGCTCCAAACGATCAACCTAAACTGGATCAATCAAAGAAAGAAGATCCTTCTGGACCACCACCTGAACATGTACCTGGTCCCTCTCAGGATCCCCAAGACCAGAAGTGTATTTGTGCTGAAGACCAGGAAGCTGAAGCCTCTCCTCTTCCACTTCTTTCTGAGAATCTACCTGAAAGGAAAGAGGAGCTGGAGTCTGAAAGCAAGCAGAACCACCAGGATCCACAAAGACCTCAGGACCTCCACAGCCCAGCTCCTCACCTGAACAGACTCCAACAGATTCCTCCCCCTCCCTCACCTTTTCCACCTGCAGAGCAGCTTAACCACCCATCTCCTCTCACTATTGAGGCCTTCTGTGAGCAGGCGTGGCCCCACCCTCCTTCGGTTTCAGGTGAGCCCAAGCTTTGTGGCTACCTGCAGAAGCAGGGAGGGCCTCTGAGGGTCTGGAAGCAGCGCTGGTTCGCCTATGATGAGAAGAAGAACCAGCTGCTTTACCATCGCACACCACAGGATGTGATGCCACTTGGACGGGTGGAGCTGAGTCGCGCCACATTCACTTACCCACTGAAGGCTGAGCGGGGCACCTTCCACATCAAGACGCCTGAACGCACTTTTGTTCTCAAGGTAGGATGTCTGGCCCTGCTCAGCTACTGTTAGTATGGAAAGTTGGTGGTGTCAAAATTTTGTAGAGTCACTGATTTCCAAACTCATTAAAATTGTTCTGATTCTGGTGCTGAAGAGTTCAGATTAATCTGAAACCAAACCCAAAAAACACAAAGCTGTTGGTTTCTTCTTGATTCTAATTAGGTCCAGTTAGAACTGCCTGAAGGGAAAAACATCAGATCCAGATCATTAAACAGGTTGATGGAACTGAGCCCAGGAGACCCTGATTCGGATGTTCTGAGACCAGGATCCCGGACTCCAAAACCGGTCCAACTCTTAAAGAGACCATTTTTGTATTGACCTGGAAGGTCTCAACTTTTCTTTTTCAGATTAGAATTCTTAAAGCCAATCTAGTTGGATTATATGAAGCCAGTCAGGTCCAATCATTAAACATTTAATCTGTTTAGTATGGTTTAGAGGCATTGGCAACAGGAGGCAGAACGGCTGCAGAGGTCAAGGTGTTGAGGTTCTCTTTGGGAGTGATGAGGATGGATAGGATCAGGAATGAGCTAGTCCATCAGAGGAACGGCTCATATTAGATGTTTTGGAGATAAAGTCAGAGAGGATAGACTAGTTTGGACATGTCCAGAGGAAAGACGATAGTTACAAGGAGGCTGAGAGGAAACCCAAGAAGGAGACTTTGTTTGTTAAAGAGGACATGACCAACATTTCTCTTGTTTGAAGTAGCAATACTAGTTTAACAGATGACACATTTGACACTATTTTACCTGGTGGAACAAAGTGTTTTCCCCCTCCACATGAAAGTGGTAGCTATGTTTTTGGCATCTTAGTTGGTCTGATGTCATCATTCATTACCTAATCCTACCGCGGTGAAGTTAGTTAGAAGTTGAACGTTGGATATTCGACAGACATATTGCAGACCCCGGTCAGCAATAAGTCTTCATGCCGTATGCTCCGGCACAGACGGCGGTTAGCTGAGTTCCGAGGACTTGCCAATGGGAACGGTGGTTCACTTAGGGACTATTAACAAATTTTTGTCCTTTGTAAACGAGCACAAAAAAAATCAAAAGCTTCCAGAATAATTGCCTAAATGACTCAAAATTACTTCTGAGTTGTGTTACTAAACTACATTTACAAAACACAACAGTTTTAACACATTTCCCACAATCTGATCTTTTTTTTTATTATAATTTTTATCCAAAATGACAAGATTTTTTTTCAATAGCTCCTAGGTAATTCAGTCTGAATTCCTAAAACCATTTCTCAATGGTGTTACTTAGCCAGATCAATAAGACCCAGTTTGTTTTCACATTTTTCAAGATCTGATCATTTTTATTAGGATTTTTATCAAACATTCAGTGATTTCCTCTAATAGTTCCTAGGTTAATTGATTTTAATACTCAAAACTTTTTCTCAGTGGTTTTACTACGCAAGATTAATGAGACACAGCAGTTTTTGTCAAATTTCACAAGATTTTATCTCTGGGGATTTTCATCACAAATACAGTGATTTCTTTCAAAAGTGCTTAGGTGAATTGATTTTAATATGCAAGATAATTTCTCAATGATGTTACTAAGCTAGACCAATGAGACACAGCTGTTTTTATCACATTTCGCTAGATCTTTTTGCGAAAGGTTTTGGGTATTTAGAGCAATTAACGTAGGATCTATTGAAAGAAATCACTTAATTTTTAATCAAAAATCCTAATAAAAAAGGTTTGATCTTGTGAAATGTGATTAAAAACTGCTGCGTCTCGTTGGTCTAGCTTAGTAAAATTATTGAGAAAGGGCTTTGGGTATTTAGAGCAGTTAACATAGGACCTATTGAAAGGAATCCATGAATTTTTGATAAAAATCCTAATAAAATGATCCGATTGTATGCATGGTGTTAAACTGCTGTGTCTCATTGGTCTGGCTTAGTAAAACCATTGAGAAATGGTTTTGGATATTAAAATAAATTAACCTAGGAGGTATTGAAAAAAAGTCCCTTCATTTTGGATAAAAATTTTAATAAAAATCAGATTTTGTTAAATGTTATAAAAACTGCTGTGTCTTGTAAATGTAGTTTAGTAACACAACTCAGAAGTCATTTTAAGTAATTTAGGCAATTATTCAGGAAGCTTTTCTCAGCTAACAGTCATCTGTGGTGCAGCGCACGACATGAAGACTTATCGTTTACTATGGGAACCAATGTCTGTCGAACATCCAACGCCCAACTTCAAGCTAACTTCACCGCAGTTCTTTTTAAATATTTATAGCTTGGAATGATAGCAAGCTCACTTTGCTACAGGTCATAAGCGTCAGTGTTTCTTTGTTAGATGAATGTATGAATTTGGAGAGGTAGTTGTCGTTATGGTAACAAAGCTTCAGTGGCTGAAAATCCCATCACTCAAGCATGGACTTAGCTAACACATGTACTATTGTAACCATAGTAACCATAGTTTTGACTTTAGAGCTGGGGGGCACAACCGGCCTGAGGACCAGGGGGGTGGTGTGGAAAATCTTAACAGTAAGTATACAAAAATATGTATAAAACTACAGCCTAGAGGCTCTTTTATGCAATGTCAGAAATGCAGAACTGTTGAGTACACAGGTGGCAGGAATGGCCAATCACACGTTAGCAAGTATCAGCAGAGCCAATAGATGAGCTTATGGACGGTTCTATGGGAAACAGGCTTCAACACAAGCGGTTGTTTTCCACTTGGTCCTAGTGCTCAAACCAGTCTGTTTAATGTTGTTTTTGGATGGTAAAAAGTGCAGGGGACAAAAGTTGACTGGATGTTCCGTTTGGGATTCTCTCATTCTATATGTTTGTGTTAAGGGAACATTGTTTGTGTTCATTATCCACTGGCATTACCTCTGTGAGCACCTCTGCCTGACCAGGAACAGTTTGGTACATCCTAATTTCAGCATATGCTGTTCTCTAGATTTTTAGCGAACACTGTTTCTTTGTTTGAAATCCATGCAGGTTTGCGAAAATGAGGGTCTTGGTCTGGGTTCCAGTGCTAGTTACTATGGTGACGACTTCATTGTGCTGAAGATCCAGATCTGAAGTGTGTGTGTGTGTGTGTGTGTGTGTGTGTGTGCGTGTGCGTGTGCGTGTGTGTGTGTGTGCGCGCGTGCACGTGTGTGTGCGCGTGTGCGTGTGTGCGTGCACTTCTCCTTCACCTGTCTTAACTGCTGAACAGGAACATGTTTCTGGGAACTGGATCAACAGTAAATCTGCAGAGCCTAAGCAGATCACCAGCAGTGGCAGAAAGTGTCCGCCCCATAACCATAGGGGGTTGCAGGTTCTGTCTCAATTACTGTGTTCTTGTGCAAGACATTTAACCCTCTTTGCCTGCTGGTGGTGGTCGGAGGGACGGGTGGCAGCTGTGTATGGCAGCCTTGCCTCTGTCAATGGCATAGGGCAGCTGTGACTACAATGTAGCTCACCACCACCATCGTGTGATTGTGTGTGTGACTGAGGTTGTAGCACTCTAAAAGAAAGAAAGAAAACAGATCTATTCTATAGCGCCGCTCAAGGTAAAAATCATGAGGCACTTCACAAAAAAATAAAAAATGTAAAATATAAAGATTTTTTTAATGGTTAAAACATGTTTAAAGTGACAAAAAATAAAAATTGTGAGAAAATGAATAGGATAGAGGGAAATTGGTGGATCCGGGAAAAGGCGGAATAGGTAGAAAGAGCAGAATAAGGAGAGGGTGATGACAAAGTTCACGCAAAACCCAGCCTGAACAAGAAGGTGCTACATAAATACTGTCTATTTGCCATTATACCATTTACCCCCACAGGCTGTGACTGAGGAAGTAATGCTCTACTGGTTGCAGCAGCTACAGGGGAAGCGCTGGTGGCACAGACAGACCTCCATCTGTTCAGAGCACACAAACAACAAAAACACAGCTGGTGAGACAAGCATACGCTAACATATCAGGTGATCTAATTCTTATTATACTGTTTTGGCTTTTTGTCTGTTTACTTTTCATTGTTTTGACAAAAGTACACAAAAAACATGGCAGACATTTAAAACATTACATTCAGCTGGGTCGAACAAACCAATAACTTTTAAAACAAGAGGATTTATTTAAGAGAATCAAGAGAAATTAAAAGGATTAAAAAAAAAGGGGGGGGGGCTTCGTCTTTGTATTGTGTTCTGTTACACATGTGTTCAGATTTCTGAGTGGTTTCATCGACTGATTCACCCAGGGTTAGGGTTAGGTTCAACAAGCTTCATGCCAGCAGATTTAAAGTCCTGTTATACTAAAGTGGCAAACTGTGTAATAAGGTCAGCTTTACACAGACCATGAGGAATCCTGTGTGTGACCGAAAACACTTGAGAATCACTCACTGGTGTATTGGTTCTAATTGTGTTTCTGCTGGTTCTGATGAAGGTTTTACTGGTTGTAATGAAGGCGTATCTGTCTGATGATTTAGCTGGGTTCATTATAGAGTTCATGGGTTCGAATTGTGATTTTAACTGGTTTTGGTGAAAGTTTAACTGGTTCTGGTGATGTTTCACTGGGTTCCAATGATAGCCAAACTGATTCAGACTATAACTGGTTCTATTGAAAGTTTAACTGGTTTAATGATTTACCTAGCTCTGCTGAAGGTTTAACTGGTTTAATGATGGTTTACTTAGCTCTGCTTAGGGCTTGGCGATATGGCCTAAAATCTATATCACGATATATTGAGGATTTCACCCCGATGATAAATGGACGATGAATACAGGTATGCACAGAAACAAGTTGTCCACTAGATGGGGCTGTCACATGCATTATGTTAAGTCACATTTTTTCGTAACTCCAGGTGGTACAGCTTCTTAAAGTGACATGAATGTTGCTAACCTACACACCTTTTCATTTTTTTATGATCAAATATTGACTTGGGAACAATTATCCCGATAAGAGTAAGAAATTTCGATAATGATCAATTTTCGATTTATTGCCCAGCCCTAGCTCTGCTGAAGGTTTAACTGGTTTAATGATGGTTTACCTTGCTCAGCTGTCGCTTTAACTGGTTTGATGAATTGGATGAATGGTGATAATGGTTGAGCTGTTACTGATGACGATGTAACAGGTTTCAGTGGTGATTATTCTGGTTTTGCTTTTGGGCATTTTGTCTCTATTTGTGTAAAATTGTTATAACCCAGGAAGAGTTTTGTTCCCAATGTCTTGCTGTATCTTGTTTCCTACTTTGGTGTGTTGTACAATTCACTTGCCCTCCTCCTCCACCTTCTCCCAGCGGGAGTTGGGAAATCCTTCCTACAGAGGGAGCGGCTGTGTTTGCTTCATTGTGTTCTGTAACTGGAGGATTTTTTTTTATTGTGAGAATAATTCTGAGTCAGACATGGAAAAAAACTTCCTCTCCAGCTGAGTGCTCCTACATTCAGAGGAAGTATTCCTTCTTCCGGCTTTTATCTCACTGAGCTTCTCTCCATCTTCTCCATACTGAGTCTGATGAGCTCATTTCAGAACCAACACTAAATGCAGCAGCTTTATGAATTCCCAGATAATTCTGGTTGAACATGACTGAACATAAATGTAAATATGTTCTAAAGGCGATGCATATTAAAACATTTCTGGTTCTCTGGTGGAACATAAATAAAGCTTCACTTGTTACAAAGAAAAGCTTTGAAATATGACGTTTGTGTGAGTGGACAAGAGAAAAACGTCAGATGGAATTATTAACCCTCGTGTTGAAGGCTTGTCTTCTGCAGCTTGACAGTTTGTTTCTTCGTGGTTTTCCTTTTGTTTTCAAATGGGTGTTTGTTTTTCTTGTGCAGCTTTTAGCCAACCAGGCAGCTCACTTATTGGGTGAAACACGCGAACACTCACCAGGCTTTAATTCTGAAAGTTTCTTGAGTTTGATAGCGTTTGATCCAGTCAGGGTTGTTTTCTGGCTTCATACTTCAATGTTTCATGTTTTTGATAAAAACACTGACATTAGTTGAAGTCAGGAAATCCTTATCGTGATGTGATGTTTTGTATCATTACTGTGACAACCACAGTAAACATATTGTAATCAGTTTAATGAAGGGTGCGGCAGCAGGATGTTGTTATAAATTAGCTCCACGACTTTCAGATATCTTCAGGGTCCTTTGAAGTACTTTGGCGGTCTATTACATCATCACACGAACAGGAAATGACATTAGACTGGCTGCAGGAGGATGAATGTCAGGAAACACTAGCAGTTTAAAAATAAACCAGCAAATGGTCTGAATCTCCTGCTGGGGTCTCAAAACTGATCCAGTTCAGACCTGGTCTAATTATCTGGGCAGAAGCCAGCAGCTGTTGGTTTGACTGTTTTGGGCTGGTTTCTGGCTGCTGTGCTGCAGTGGGAGCAGCTGACCTGGTTTTCAGGTATTTTGATCAAGTCTAGACTTGTTTGACTGCTCTGTGTGGAAGACCTGACCTCTACAGTTTTAAAAATGTACTTCAGATCTCCGATTGAGCAGAGTGCGCCCCCTGTAGGATGTTGTACATCATTACAGGTGCTCTGTTCTGTGAAGTTCAATGAAAAGTGCGGTGCTAGAAAGTTCTGGAGTTTAGCTTCATCCCCAGCATTTTGTTTCTGTGCACAACTTCAGAATCATCACAGGGTGGGAGCCAACTCAAGATGATTTGGTTCACACACAGGACCATAGCAGGAAATATAAAAAAAAAATCAGATATCAATGAACAGATTGTAAGTAGCAGACATTATAGAATTTTATTAAAAGGTTCATATTTAAAAGCATCTTTGTATAAATGAAAAGAGAAAAAATTAATTGAGATAAAAAATGTAATCAGATTCCACCTTTTGATAACAGAGCAGCTTTAATCCTGTCAGTTGTCTAAAGAGTGATGCTTGTGTTGGTGTATGGTTGGTGTTTCCTGTCTGCTTAGATGACTTCCTGACCCCTCTAAAGAGTCCTCTGGGTCTGGTGGGGAAGGAGGCAGCCGTCGCACCGACACAAAGAACACCTTTCGCTGACATGTCTATCAAACACCCGCTGATCGAGTTCCAGTGAGTCGACACAAAGTCAGAGAGTGTTTTTCTTTAGTTGTTCTGTTGAGGCTCAGGTGATGAAGTTGAACTTTTGTCACGTGGTCAGAAACTCTGTCCACAGTCTGAGGAAGAGAACCTCTCAGGACGTCAGTCAGAGCATCTTTCATGTAGACATAACAGAGTGGACCATCAACAGCCCCGCGGAGGACAGCATCACATCAGGTATTACACTGTACCACACCAGGTTCTACACAGCACCACTCCAGGTAATATATTTTACTAAGCAGATTTTCCCACCTCACCACATCCTGTATTATACTCTATCACAGCATACATTACACAGCTCCATGCCAGGTATTATCCTGTCCTGCTCTGTGATGCACTGAAACCTAATACTCTGTATTTCCCTTGTCTCCCCCTCCTCAGGAACTCCCCCTGAGACCCCTCCCCCTCCTCTCCCATTGGCTGATCCAGCAGGTGAGATATCTTTGCCTGACAGCAGAGGGTTGCCATCAACGCTGGACATTGGCAGCAGGGGCACAAAGTCTCGCAGCTCGGCCACCTTGCCAGTCCGTCTCAGAGACACGATGTCTTTATCTTCAGAGCGGGCATCTCGTCTGCAGCAGGAGAAAAAGATGCTGATGGAGGAGGTGAAATCTCAGAAGGTGATCAGTCAGATCCGTTCCTGATCAGGTCCTACACACACCATTCTGTTGTATCAAAGACATGTTTGTTCTGCAGGAGCTGGTTTGGATCCTCCACAAAGCGTTGGAGGCAGCCCAGCTTGAGAAGAGAACCTGTTCTGAGTTTCTGGCAGCAGGTGATGAGCAGGAGCGTCTGGAGCTTCTGCGGCACCGCGAGCGTCAGGCGGCCGACCTGCGACGCCGGCTAGAAGAGGCCAATATGGAGGTGGAAGGCCTGAAGAAGAGTCTGGCTGAGAGGGATACACAGCTGTCCGAGCTGCAGGAGAACATCAAGAAGCTAATGGAGAAGAACCAGGCCAAGCAGCAGGTGAGGACAATTTTCAGGTGAAGGATCAGATGACATTCTGAGAGACGCAACTGGTGTGTTAACTCAGCCAGCTTCTTTCTCTCAGGTCACATTAACATGAAGATTTAAAACCCATGTCTAGCAGAAGATTCAGAACAGGAAGAGTTTCTGCCAAAAATACATTCCATGAATCAAAATGATTCCACTGTTGCATAATGGAGCCAGAAGGAAAACGGAAGGTGATCCATGAGGGATCATTTTGTTATATCGGCAAACAGGTTTTTTTTTTGTTTCCTTGTTTCGTCCGGTTCCTCTGTTTCTGCTTTATCCATCAGATTTTTGTTTCTAAATGATTATTTTTAAATAATTGATACTATTTTCTACAGATTAAAATGTGTTCATCTGAGATTTCATACATTAATAAAATAATGTTGTCAATATTGGGACATCACAGAGAAATGCATGAAAAATATATAATAATGACAACAACAATAATAATAATAATAATAATAAAAACAACAGCATGTCTCAAAGACAGGTCCATAAGCAACTTCTACTTCACAACAGCAACAGTTTAACTTTTTCACAAATTGTGACAAATATTCACATTATTTCCTTGTTGTATATTTCAAGTGTATCAGATATATTTTAAACTTGGATAATGCACTGTACAATATGAAATGCAACTGAATGATTTTATTGTGTGCATATATTAATATATACTAGCTGATAGAATCAGTGCATCAATTCAGTTTCACTATTAGGTTGCCTGCAGTGATGTTTGTGGTCCAGCAGGTGTCAGTAGACCAACATGGTGACACTGTGTTTTCACAGTATGGGTACAGTTTGGGTAATGTGCTGGATCGCTTCAGAGGCCTCCTCTAGCCATCACTAGTGTACACTCACAAATCTGGATGTATCAAACTGTTCCAACACATCAATCTGAGCACATGTTTGTACCTCCTGATTAATGTGGAATAAAGAATAAACTGAGGAAATACCAGACTAATCTGCAGAACTTGATTTGGAGTGAGACGTCTCTGGTTCATCACGTTTCTCTGGTGTGAACAACAAATTAATCTCTAATGAATAAATTACTCTAGAAACACATGTATGCCAGACAGGAAGTTGGTATGGGACTGAGAACTCTGTTTGTTTGATCATCTGGACTTTTGGACCCTTTGGACATGAAGCCCTTAGTTCTGATCTTATCAGATATTTTTCGTTAACAATCAGCTGCTGTGCTCACAGAACAAAAATTTTCTGTTTTTGTCAGGTTATCATAAAGCTGTCTGATCACATGACTTCCTGTCTGTTTGAACCACAACACCCTGATTCGTCCTCTGATGGGCCTCAGAACTCCCAGAGTATCAGACAGCTTCAACAACAGATAGAGAACCTGAAGGTAAGGTTTTCCTGAAGTACTTCTGGTACCCATAATACAAAGTTTGGGTTGCTCCTGACATGATTTCCTACAGCTGTGATAAGTGCTGTGTGTGGATGCTGCTCTGCTGCAGGAGGAGCAATACAGGAGGTCCTGTAACATCTGGAAACTGATGCTGCCAGCTGTTTAAAGCAGCAGTTTCCTTTTTGTTTGTGAGCAGGCTTGTTTTTGTTTTCAGGATGACATGGAGGCATATAAGACCCAGAACAAGTTTCTGAACTCTGAGATTTATCAGCTGACCAGACTGTGGCAAAAGAGCTCAGAGCAGGAGAAGAACCTCATGGTGAAGGTGGGTCTGGCTGGGAACACTGAGCTGGTTCTGGCAGAACCAGTTCTAACAGACAGCAAAATGCACAGACTGTCTCCTGTCACCTACTGGCTAGATTTATATCCTGCTCTCTGATTGGCTGGTTGTTATCTCCTGTTCTGTGGTTGCAGTGTGCTTACCTGGAGGCTGCCAACTGTCAGGTGGAGAGCCGTTACCTGGGAGTTCTGCGGAAGCTGCAGGAGACCAAGGCATTAGATCTGGAGCAGCTGGGGGCTGTTCAGAAGATGATTGAGGATGCTTTGAGAGGAGAGCTGAAGCGCGATATCAAGCTCAGCTCAGACAGGTAAGTGCACCTGCATAGAAGTAATGTTTTATTTAGCGCCTAAAGGTAAAAATCACAAGGTGCTTCACAGGGACAAAAACTAAATTAAAAATGTGTTGTGATTTGGCGCTATATAAAAAAAACTGAATTGAACTGAAATGTGTCTTTAGAGATCACGATGAGTACGGTTTTAAGATTATCCCAGACTACGAGGTAGAGGACATGAAGCTGCTGGCAAAGATCCAGGCCCTGGAGATCCGCTGCTTCAACTTGTTGAACCAGGTAAGATCCTTTGTCTGGACTCAGCTGTTGACCCAGAGTTTAATCTGTCAGGTTCTGAGGCACAGGCACTGTTCAGGGTTTAGTATTTTGAGTTTTAATGAAAGTTGGTCCACTTCATGTACATATTAGAAAGGTCTCCTTGCTCCATATTACAATCACTTTTAAAGACTTTTATTGTTTGTTTGTTTGTTTGTTTGTTTTTTACCTAGAATGACATGTTAGATTTTATTAGTCTTTTACAACTTTACTGTGCAGTTGTAGCTTATTTATTTTTATTGTATTTTATATTTTTCTGTGAATACATTTTTATGAATTTGTGCTCTGGACTTTCTTCATTGTGTTGCTTTTAAAATGATTTATAACTAAAGTTCTTTTTTCTCAGTAAAGACTAAAAACAGCAAGGAACAAGTAGATATAAACACGTTGAACAGTTTACATACACACAATAAAAAAGAAACTTAAGCATTTGCTAAAGTTAATTAATTTATTTATTTTTGCTTTATATTTTGTTCTTCTGATTTGTTAATTGTCCTAATAGATTTAATGGATTCATCTGGTTCAAAGGAATCTGCTTTGTGTTCCTGTAGGAAGGACCAGAGCGCCCCCTGCTGGCTCGGTGGGCAGAGTACCTGGCTAGCAGGTTCGATGGCAACCTGAGTCCATCACCTGAGCTCAAAGCTCTGATACGAGCAGGTGTCCCAAAAGAACACCGACAGAGGGTGTGGTGCTGGCTGGTCCGAACAAGAACCAGGACTATCTGGGAGCGCTACCCTCATCACTACCAGCAGGTTGGCCCACACCTGTCTACAGCTAGCCTGTTAGACCTTGCAGTAACCTGACTCCTGTGTTTGCAGCTGTGTGAGAAGAGCCGGACATCACCCCATCCTGCATCTCGACAGATCCAGCTGGACCTTCATCGCACCCTAACGACAAATCAGAACTTCTCGTCACCATCTAGTCCTGCCCTCCATCAACTTCATCGCATCCTGTTGGCATTCTCCTGGCACAACCTGGCTGTTGGCTACTGCCAGGGACTCAACAGGTTCTCATCTGGAGTTCTAGTAGACACCTTTGTTCAAAACTCAGAAACCTGTAAAGGGTCACAAAAACCCGTTACTGCTTTGTGAGCTCATTCAGATTTGCAGCTGGCTGATGAATTTAGTCTCCTAGCCATCGAGTAAGACACCAAGAAATTTGTAGTTATGAACAACCTCTATATTTCCCTCAAGAGTGGACACTAAGGGGATACTTTGAGATCCCTTCTTAAAGTTTGAAAACATTAGTTTAGTCTTGTCAGCACTGTGGACCCATTATACCTGCAGAAGCGATTCCTGGAACACATTAAAACTTTTCTGTAGCAATTCAACAGCTTTAGTTGAGGATATTCCAAAATGGTAAATAATGGTGTCATCAGCATAAAAATGCATATTAGCATCTGATACATTAATACTCACAATGAAGGGGTGAGGTCCCAAAACTGAACCTTGTGGCACCTCCTTGTGGGCACTCGAATATTTAGAGCACAGCCAATCACGTTTAACACACTGAGTCCTGTTACTCAAGTAATCTGGGAACCATGAGATCAAAAGTTCAGACAGTCCAAAACCAAGAAGCTTACATTTTTAAACGGCGTGATCCATATTGTCAAAGACTTTTGTCAGATGCAATTAAAAGGGAGCCACAGTACTGTTTTGATCGAGAACAAGTATTTAACTGATTACTTTTGTAGCAGCAGTGATGTTGCTTTGTATTTTATCTTAAAATGCGTAGAATGCATTTTTTTGATCGTTAATTATATGTCCCTCATGATTTTATGATCCTTGGGTTGATTTAACATGATCTTATCCTCTTTCTTTCTGGAAAGTTTAGACTCCTAAGATGTTTTCCTTTTTTATTTATTTGATAAAAAAATTTAGGTAAAGAGGCTCAAAAGTACTCCTTTTTTAATAGTATGTTAGGAAAACATCTTTTCTTTTTCTAGTAGTATTCCTTGTGTCTGTCTTAGTTGTGTATTCATAAACGAGTTCAAATAAAGACACAGACAGTTTTATTTAGAACAGTAATATTCACTACCAAGCTGCTGATCTGGTATTATGCAACTCTAACATCTTCAGCATCTCTATAGGTTACCTGTCATCATTGATTCCTTGTAAAAACAAACAAAAAAAAGGACAAGAAATATATATAACACTGCTGTAGAATGAGCGTTTTGCTTCACGGGGTCATGTGACAGCTCTGTCTTGTGTATCTCAGATTAGCTGCGGTTGCGCTGCTCATCCTGCAGAACGAAGAGGATGCCTTCTGGTCACTGGTAGCCGTGGTGGAAGCCATCATGCCTCAGGACTACTACACCAAGAATCTGATTGCCTCGCAGGTGAAAAATGGCACACCTGCTCACTTGATGCTCTCTGATGCAGATCACTAACAAATTAATGATGTGTGTTCAGGCAGACCAGCGTGTGCTGAAGGACTTCCTGGCAGAGAAACTCCCCCGGCTGGCAGCTCACTTTGAGACTTACGGCATCGATGTGTCTCTCGTCACCTTCAACTGGTTTATGGTGGTTTTTGTGGAGAGTCTGCCCAGTGACCTCCTGCTGCCGTTGTGGGATGCCTTTTTATACGAGGGCACCAAGGTACCCTGAATGCATCACTTGGCTGCTGGTGGTTGTGTCTCTTTGGGAGTAGGATCTGGTGGAGGGATGAGTTTGATGCCTTGTATCTTATGAATGATGGTTTTTTCCTTTTTTTATTCTTTCAATAAAAAATGTTTGATTTGTTGTATCTTTTTCTCCATGGTTTCATCATGAAGTGAATCTGATGTTTCTGTGTTGCAGGTGATCTTCAGATACGCTCTGGCTCTGTTCAAATACAAAGAGGATGACATCTTGAAGATCCATGACAGCACAGAGATCTACCAGTTCCTTCGCTTCTTCACCAAGACCATCTCAGACAGCAGGTGCTTCAGCTCTTTATTTTTAAATGCAATGTGGGGTCAAAGGTTGAGGTAATGACAGCCTCCCAGTCCACTAATCAATAATTGAAGCATTTGATTGGTTCTGAAGGCTAGGCTGAAACTAGTTTCCTGATGACCATTTCCTGTTTGTGTTCACTAACACAGGAAGCTGATGAATATCGCCTTCAACGACATGAACCCTTTTCCTCTTCGCCTGCTGAGGAATCGCCGTGCACTGCACCTGGAACGCCTGCAGGGAGAGCTACGAGAGCTGGAGAAGCAGCAGAAGGAGTTCCTCACAGAGAGTGCTGAGCATAGGGACAAAGACCTGGACATGGTTGTCAGCGAGGATGATGACTTTTGAACCCACAGAAACTTTGACCTTTATTTCTGCCAAGTGTTCAGAAGATGACATTAGACCCCACTACGCATTTAGAGATAACCTTTGACTCCATAATGTATTTAAAGAGAAAGACCTTTGACCCCATGGGGGTTTAGACGAAGACCATTGTGGACATGTTCTCTTCACAGTTTGGCTGTGTTTGGAGCAGATTGTTACCATTGGACTGAAGAACCGTTTCTTAGCAACAGAACAAAGAACTGATCAGGATAATGGACTGGCAGGTGGATGAAGCTGGAGACATTTATTAGTGTGCTCACATCTTTACTTAACTTAGTTTGGGGTTTTTGACTAAATGTTCCATAAGATCAGATCAAACTGATATGTTTTCATTTTTTCTGTTATCAAATTGAAGATATGAACTTTGGATAGATTTGTTACCAGATTGAAAATGTTACTGACCTGTGTGTCATGTAAGGCTATGCTCATACTGTGTGTGTTAGTTAAACAACACTCACAGCTGGCCTGGGATCAGTTCCACTTTATGTATATGATGTGCAAGTGAACAGACAACACACATATTTAAATTTAGCTTTTTATTTTTCTTAAAAAACAAATATACATAAGAAATGATATAAAAACCAACCAAGAACCAAAGCAAAAGTTCTTCGTTACAAACAATTCGTTACTGCAGAAAAAAGCTAAACTATTGACAAGAGTCTTTTGTGTCTATCTCAAGACTCTACATATGTTTGTCATGAGGACGTCTATCAGTCTGTAGGTCTGTGAATCTAACAGCAGATAATTCACACCATATAAAAACATGGACATGCATCAGCTTCTCTATGGCATAGTCCCTCTACCTGGTCAGGACCACACCCAGCTGCAGGCATAGGCCCTCCACTCTGTCAGGACCACACCCAACTGCATGCATAGGACCCCCACCTGGTCAGGACCATGCCCAGCTGCAGGCATAGGACCTCTACCTGGTCAGGACCATGCCCAGCTGCAGACAGAGTCCCTACAACTTGTCAGGAACATCCCCAGGTCAGGACCACACTCGGCTGTAAATGGTCCCATTTCAAAACTGACAAGCCACGGCATTTCATTAACGTGGCTGAAATGGAAAAGGTTTCCTTTCAAAGAGCCTTTTTTGTTCAAGGTGGAAAACGATCATGAGACTGAAACTAATTAACATATCTAAATGGTAAAACTGCACAAATCCCTTCCTAAAGCTGACCTGGGATCAGTTCCTACAGTCGATCTCTCTGTGGGTGAAGTCTGCTCTGTGTGTTGCTTGGTTAAAAGCTGAGTTGAGCGTTTTATTCCAACAAATGACACCGAAAGCTTTCTGAAACTCATGGTTGAACCTTTTGTTTCTACATAAATCAGCAGTAAACTAAAAACCTCGAAGCTGTTCCTGTTTAGGTGGAACATCTTTTTGTGTCAAAGCTTCAGACCTTGACCTTGAGGGAAGCAGTGAACTAAGAAGATCTTTAATGCTGACTCTTGGACCTCTGGTTTTACCATTAAACTCTTAAGACTTCATGTTTTATTTTCAAATGTTTTGTGTTTATAAATCAATGCCTTTAACTTTCTCTCAAGCGTAACTTCATGTCTTAGTTTGGTTTCTAAGTTCCATCATTCCGACATGGTCCTGGTGTCACCTCTCACTTCTGAATGTTTCACCTACAGATGAAGAGTTACAGATTTTGACATGAGCCTGTTTCTGTGTCCCAACTCTGAACCTCATCCCAGACTGTAGAAAAGCACATTTTGTGATGAACATAAATGAAAGTCTCCCAGATTTAAAACAAACAGAACCATCTCAACACTGAAAAACAGCAAGGTGTGAAAAAACAGCCAGGCCCGTCGGCTGCAGCCTCCTACTGATGTTGATGAATGTCATATCTTGAATAACCACCTGCGCAGGTAATTCTGACACCTCCAACACACACACACCAGACATTTGGACATGATTCTCCTTGATACAGCTGCACACGTTCTTGAAGAGTCCTAGAGATGTGTGTTGGACCATCTCATCACAACCTGATTCAGTTTTAGAGAAACTTTCGACCCTGGAACCTCTAGAGTTTTAATCGGTTAATGTTTTTCTTTATTGTTAAACAATTAAGTGAATTTCTGCATCACACTGGAGTTCATCCTGCAGGTGGATTTATTCACTTCCATGTTTACATAAACTCTAACCTATTAGAGTGAAGTTGGAATGAAACTCTCGGCAACCTAATCTATCTTGGCAACAGAAGCAGCATCACCCCGAGTCGGAAAGCAGGATTTAAACATTTGAACTTCAAATGGGTGGATCCTTATCTGAGCAACAAACACATCTGATCTAAACACTCAGCTATGTTATTCTGATGTCAGTGTTGAACCAACTCCATCTTTAGTGCAATTAGTCACCATCAGCTACTGTTAATCAAACATGCTTGTGTGTCCGTGTTCAGGGAGCTCCGTCTTCATCAGGTTCCCTTGGCTCTTCAGAGGCATTTCATCTTTACAGATGCATCATGTAAACACAGGCCAAGAGGCGGATGCTCTCAGAGAGAATAGTCCATTACTGTGGAAACGCCTTGGCAGTGCCATGTATGAAAAACTGAGTCTGACCTCTAGACTTTAGTCTCAACCACATAGTTCTGAGAGCCGACCAGATGCTTCCTGTTGTTCTTGGTGGTGATCCAGATGTTGGTATGAAGAGTGCTAATTTCTTCTTTGTGGGACATGCGCTGATTGGCTGAAGCTGAGCAGTGACTCATCGTTTCTAGATGATGAGTTTTTTGGACATAAGACGTTTGCGATGTGTTCGTGGCAGATGAATGTATTTCTGAAAGACATTTCAGGATGTTATGAGACACTTCGTCAACTTCACCAGCATTCTAATCTACGAGTCTGGAGAGGGACACTCAGGTTCTGGGAGACGTTCAATTCAGGGGAACGCTTGGGTTCAATGAGATGCTCGGGGTTCAAGTTCATATTCAGGGGGATGCAAAGTCTTAAGGATGCAAAGTTTCAGGGACGCTTGGGTTTAGGGGGAGACTTGGATTCAGGGGGGTGCCGGGGTTCAGGTTTTTTGGGATGCTTGCATTCAGGGTGGCCCTTGGATTCTGGGGTATGCTCTGGTTCTGGGCTGTGCTCTGGTTCAAGGATGTTCAGATTTAGAGATGCTTGGGTTAAGGGGGACACTTGAATCAATGGGATGCTCAGATTTTGGGGGAAACTCAAATTGAAGAGGACTCTCATATTCAGAGACACACACAGTTTCAGGGGAAAGTGTCTGGGTTATGGGGAATGTGTGAGATGAGAAGTTCAGAATAAGTAAGACACTCAAGTTCATGGGGAAGCTTAGATTTGGGTAATGCTTGCATTAAAGGTGACTTGGGTCCAGAGTGATGCACAGTTTCAAGGATGTCCAAGTTCAGGGGTATCCACGGGTTTATGTTGCAGAAAGAATTTAGGACAACACTTGGGTTCAGGGGGACGCTTGTGCTGATGAGGACATTTGGGTTCAGAGGGAAACTCAGTTTGTGGATGCTCTGGTTTAGTGGGACACTTGATTCAGACGAACCTTTGTGTTCAGTGGGATGCTCTGGAAACCTGCATCACATTGGGAGTAGTTGATGAAACCAGGAGACCTCGTAGAGTCCGAAGGGGCAACAGAAGCAGGAAGACTTGTTGTTCTGGTCAAAAGATGCAGGTTGTCTTATTGCTGACCATCACTGCAGCACGGAGCTTCACCCACACAGTTCTTCTCTAATCTCAGCTTCGGTTCATGAACTTGGCACCGGACAAGAAGTTGTTTTCAATAATATGTCTTGTAGTGAGCGAACATCTGAGACGTCAGCAGAATGGATGCTGCCAGTCACATGGCCTCAACTTTCAGCTGAATTTAGAAACTGGTCACTGATCTGACAGCCAATCAGATCTCTGTCCCAGTGACCAAGGAGTGTGTTTCCATGGTGATGACCTTGCAGCAGTAAGTCTGGTCTTAGACTCTGCCCTCTGCTAGCACAGGCAGCTGTGGAGCCTGTCCTCAGGCCCTGCCCCTGCAACGTAGTCCAGGTGAGGAGAGCTTCACCTCCAGAACAGAAAGGTTAACAAAGCGCGTGACGTTGTTAGAAACGGAGCAGTGGGCGATGAGTTCAGTGAGTTTTATAAAAACGACATCACTACAAAAAAATGCATCAGCCTGTTTTAAAATCTGCAGTGCCTCCATATAAAGTGCTTCATTACATTGTTACGTTTTTACAGTTTCTTATTAAAATATCATTTTCCCTGGAGTGAAACCATAGTAAACATGTTACACGTTGGTAAAAATAAACATTTGGAATGTCTCTTTAAGAAGTCCCAGTGGCTGATTTTGGTCAAGCTGAACTCGTCCCCGGAGCCTGAAACGGGAAACGTGCACATGGTTAACAGCCACGTCTGCACCAACATACAGAACATACTGGAGGCCGAGGTGAGAGCAAAGCATCATGGGAAATGAGTGGTGACAACAGAACAGAGCAGGGCAACTAGAGTTTAAAATTCCACCATCGGAAAGAAACCTTTCCTCTATTAGTCAATCAGCTGATAATTGAAGGATTATCCTTTAGAGTCCCTGCTGCAGAGCCAAGGCCAAACACTAAAACACCAAATGACTGTAGTTTATTGTGGTTTTCTATTGGTTTGCAGATTAAGAGTTTGATGACAGTTTTAACTAAATGGAAGGTGGTGCATGTCCTGCTCAGCCAGGAGGACTCTGTAATGGTCTGGGATTGGCTGATGACGTTCTGCAGGCTCACATCAAAAACGTGAAAAAAACTGGGAGAAGTCCACTCACCCAAATGGTTCTGCTTTATCGGTTTTAATTAATTCAATGCTATTGACTCTGGGACAGTCTGTGTGAGGGTCCTATATGGTCTGTCCTGTTTAACGGCACTGCTCTCTGTCGTGGTACTAGAGGGGTTTTCCATCGAAGCTCTCCTAACACCTGTCAGACAGTCCTATCTTAGATATGGTACTCCAAGCCTGATTACTCTTCTCTGCAGCTTTTGATTCTGTAAACCACACTGAAATAAACATTCCATATCGTTATGCATTTCCATATTTGATATTTTCCCAAACTGGATATCTGACGTGTATTCAAAGTGTTAGCGTTAGGGTGCTGTGTGATTATATTTCATGTGAGGTGAACTTGGAGAGGGCTGGGGAAGCATAGGAACACACAGTGCACAAGGGGACACATGAGGGGAATGCAGGGGACGAACAGGAGGGGGCTGGGGACCAAGGGGACACAGAACATGACAGAAACATTAACTAAAGTAGCTTCTGTTCTGTTATTAATTTAGGATGATTTTGTATTATTAGTAACATTACTGTTTGAAACCAGCTTAAAGCCACATAAGATTAATTCAAAGTCCTTCTCTCTGAATATGTTGTTTTATTGAACTACTCAAACAGATCTTATCCATCTGTTCCCCCAGAAGACAAAGGAATTACTGACACTGTCATGTTTAAACCATCTGAATCAGTTTATCTATACACAGTTTGAGAACATCCTCTAAATTATCTGGACAATTCAGGTCTCAGACTGCCATCAGACTCTGGTCTTAAGACCTGCTGCCTCCATCCGTCCATTCTCTTCCCCTTATCCGGGGATGGGTCGCGGGGGCAGCAGCCTAAGCAGAGATGCACTTGCCTCTCCCAAACCACTTGGGCCAGCTCTTCCAGGGGGATCCCAAGGCGTTCCCTGACCAGCCAAGAGACATGATTCCTCCAGCATGTCCTGGGTCTTCCTTTCGGTCTTTTCCCAGTTGGACGTGCTCGGAAAACGTCACCTGGGAGTAGGGATGGGTACCGTTGACATTTGAATCGATCCGGTACTAATTCCCGGTACCTACGAATCGATACCGGTACTTAACGGTACCAATTTTCGATACTTTTGAGTGTTTATTATTTTAATTCTCTTTTATAATTAAATATATACTTTTCTCAATATATAACCATATTTGATAAATATCACGATAAATAACATACAACTGTTTGTATTTTAACATCATCCTTGTAGTTTTATAAGCTGATAATTAAACTGAAGCAAACATCTTTACTGTGAACTAAATTTACTGTGTATTTTCATTCCTTTTGCCGTCCTTTTTCATTTGATTTTTCCTACTGGGAAGTTAGAATTTCCGAGGAAAAAGCGAACGCACCATTAGCTAATAACAATGGTAGCAATGGAAGTTAACATACCAAGCTAACGTTATCTTAAACAGTTTATTTAGCTGCTGGAGCAGATTAAAACGATGATGCCTCACACTTAGATTGTTGTCACTGGTGTCGTCTTCACCCGTCGCATTTAGTAAAGTGAAGCCAAACTTTAGAGCGCATTCATGTTCTTCTAGTCGGGAATTCAGAGTTCCGAGGAGAAAGCGAACGCACCATTAGCGAAACGGAAGCTAACATATCAAGCTAATTATATTTACCTACCGGAGCAGATTAAGATGAGGATGTCTCACTTAGATCGTTGTCGCTGGTGTCATCATGACCCAGTTACCCATCACATTTAGTGAAGTGGACCCAAGCTTTAGCCTGCGTTCTTTCTACCATGCTGCTCTGTTTACAACTGGCTCGCAGCGACCGACGACAAAACGCTCTTGCGCATGCGCAGCTGTCTAGGCAAGTTCTCGTTATGAAGGACGGGTACCGAAACAAGGCACCGTTTGAAATGACGTGAATTGGTGCTCGGTCGGTACTATGGAATTCGGTCGGTACCCTAAAACGTACCGAATTCGGTACCCATCCCTACCTGGGAGGCATCCTAATCAGATGCCCAAGTCACCTCAACTGCCTCCTCTTGATGTGGAGGAGCAGCAAATCTGCTCTAAGACCCTCCTGAATGGGACTCAGGGAGAGTCCATGTACCCTGCAGAGATAAAAGGCAGCCTTGGCAGAGTCCCACTCTCACCAGGAAAGAACCCGAATTACTACTGGTAATGGGGTTCACACCAGTCATACAGGGATCTAACATATATACCAAATATACAGTGCCCCCCGAAAGACATGGTCAAAAGCCTTCTCCAAACCCACAAACACATGTAGATTGGTTGGGCCAACTCCCACTCACCCTCCAGGACCCCTCAAAGGGTATAGAGCTGGTCCAGTGTTCCACGGCCAGGACAAAAACCACATTATTCCTCCTGATTTTGAGGTTCGACAATCCGATGGACCCTCCCTAGTGCCTCCATCCCTGAGGAATTCCCGGTAGGCCAGATCCTCTTTTCAGCTGGTTGATCTTTAACCCACTTTTCCCTGATCCACCTGGAATTCCTTTGGGACAAACCAGGACTTCTTGAGACAGAGTACGCATACAGTTGTGAGACAGAGTTTTTTCTGTTGTTTTGGAGGAAGAACTGAGTGACTAAACTCTTGAGTCTAATGACAAATTAATAAACACTTTTACTTACCAACATATACTGATGCTTTGTCTCTCTCTCAACTCACTTCAATCAGGCCGTCGTCGTCGTCTTCCTCTGCTTATCCGGGTCCGGGTCGCGGGGGCAGCATCCCAACTAGGGAGCTCCAGACCGTCCTCTCCCCCGGCCTTCTCCACCAGGTCCTCCAGCAGGACCCCCAAGGCGTTCCCGGACCAGATTGGAAATGTAACCTCTCCAACGTGTCCTGGGTCGACCCAGGGGCCTCCTGCCGGTAGGACATGCCCGAAACACCTCCCCAGGAAGGCATCCAGGAGGCATCCTGACCAGATGCCCAAACCACCTCAACTGACTCCTTTCGATCCGGAGGAGCAGCGGTTCTAGAGTCCCTCCCGAATGTCTGAGCTCCTCACCCTATCTCTAAGGCTGAGCCCAGCCACCCTACGGAGGAAACTCATTTTGGCCACTTGTATCCGCAATCTCGTTCTTTTGGTCATTACCCAAAGCTCATGACCATAGGTGAGGATTGGGACGTAGATTGACCGGTAAATCGAGAGCCTGGCTTTGTGGCTCAGCTCCCTCTTCACCACGACAGATCGGCTCAGCATCCACATCACTGCAGACGCTGAACCAATCCGCCTGTCGATCTCCTGATCCCTCCTACCCTCACTCGTGAACAAGACCCCGAGATACTTAAACTCCTCCACTTGAGGTAGGACCTCTCTCCCGACCCGGAGTTGGCAAGCCACCCTTTTTCGGTCGAGAACCATGGTCTCAGATTTGGAGGTGCTGACCCTCATCCCAGCCGCTTCACACTCGGCCGCGAACCTACCCAGCAAGAGCTGAAGGTCAGAGCTGGATGAAGCTAGGAGGACCACATCATCCGCAAAAAGCAGAGACTAGATTTTCCTGCCAACAAACTCGACACACTCCACACCACGGCTGCGCCTAGAAATTCTGTCCATAAAGGTAATGAACAGAAATGGTGACAAAGGGCAGCCCTGGCGGAGTCCAACCCTCACCGAGAACAGGTCCGACTTACTACCGGCTATGCGGACCAAACTCATGCTCCTCTGGTAAAGGGACTGAATGGCCTTTAACAGAAAGCCACCCACCCCATACTCCTGGAGCGTCGCCCACAGGGTGTGCCTGGGGACATAGTCATAAGCCTTCTCCAAATCCACAAAACACATGTGGACTGGTTGGGCAAACTCCCATGCCCCCTCCATCACCCTTGCAAGGGTATAGAGCTGGTCCACAGTTCCACGGCCAGGACGAAAACCACATTGCTCCTCCTCAATCTGAGACTCAACTATCAATCGGACCCTCCTCTCCAGTACCTTGGAGTAGGCCTTTCCAGGGAGGCTGGGGAGTGTGATCCCCCTATAGTTGGAACACACCCTCAGGTCACCCTTCTTAAAGATGGGGACCACCACCACAGTCTGCCACTCCACAGGAACTGCCCCCGATGACCACGCAATGTTGCAGAGACATGTCAACCACGACAGCCCTACAACATCCATAGCCTTGAGATACCCAGGACGAATCTAATCCGCCCCCGGGGCTCTGCCGCTGTGTAGTTGTTTGACTACCTCAGCAACTTCTCCCCCTGAGATTGGACAGTCCATCCCCAGGCCTCCCAGCTCTGGTTCCTCCTCGGAATGCGCGTAGGTGGGATTGAAGAGCTCCTCAAAGTATTCCTTCCACCGTCCGACTATAGCCCCAGTTGACGTCAGCAGCTCTCCATCCCCACTGTAAACAGTGTGAGCCAGTTGCTGCTTTCCTCTTCTGAGGCACCGAGCAGTTTGCCAGAACCTCTTTGGAGCCGATCGACAGTCTTTCTCCATAGCCTCACCAAACTCCTCCCACGCCCGAGATTTTGCCTCGGCAACTGCCACTGCTGCACCCCGATTGGCTATCCAGTACCTGTTTGCTGCCTCCGGAGACCCACAGACAAGCCACGCCCTGTAGGCCTCCTTCTTCAGCCTGACGGCTTCCCGAACCTCTGGTGTCCACCAGCGGGTAGGGGGGTTGTCACCATGACTGACACCGGCCACCTTGAGACCACAGCTAGCAACAGCCGCCTCAACAATCACAGAGTGGAACAAGGCCCAATCAGAGTCAATGTCCCCCACTGCTCTCAGTCAAAGCTCTGCCGGAGGTGGGAGTTGAAGACCGTCTTGACAGGTTCTTCTGCCAGGCGTTCCCAGCAGACCCTCACTATGTGTTTGGGTCTACCAGGTCTACGCGGCATCTTCCCCTGCCATCTGATCCAACTCACCACCAGGTGGTGATAAGTTGATAGCTCCGCTCCTCTCTTCACTCAGGTGTCCAAAACATAAGGCCGCAGTTCGGATGATACGACTACAAAGTCTATCATCGACCTGCGACCTAGGCTGCCCTGGTACCAAGTGTACCGATGGGCATCCTTATGTTCGAACATGGTGTTCGTTATGGCCAAACTGCGGCTTGCACAGAAGTCCAATAACAAAACACCACTCCAGTTCCGATCAGGCGGGCCGTTCCTCCCAATCACACCCCTCCAGGTCAAGCTGTCATTGCCCACGTGAGCATTGAAGTCCCCCAGCAGGACAATGGAGTCCCGTGATGGGGCACTATCTAGCACTCGTCCCAGGGACTCCAAAAATGGTGGGTACTCTGAACTGATATTTGGCCCATAAGCACAAACAACAGTCAGGACCCATTCCCCGACCCGAAGGCGCAGGAAAGCTACCCTCTCGTCCCCCGGGGTAAACCCCAACACACAGGCAGAGAGTCTTGGGACTAACAAAAAGCCAACCCCAGCCCTCCGCCTCTCACCCAGAGCAACTCCAGCAAAGGAGAGTGTCCAACCCCTCTCAAGGACTTGGGTTCCGGAGCCAATGCTATGTGTCGAGGTGAGTCCGACTATATCTAGCCGATACCGCTCAACCTCTGCCACAAGCTCCTGCTCCTTCCCCGCCAGCGAGGTGATGTTCCATGTCCCAAAAACCAGTTTTCTTGTCCGGGGATCGGACCGCCAATGCTCCAGCCTCGGTCTGCCACCCGATCCACACTGCACCGGACCCTTCATGTTCCTCCTGCGGGTGGTGGGTCGACAGTTGGATGAGCCCATGTATCCAGTTCGGGCTGGGCCCGGCCGGGCCCCATGGGCGAAAGCCCGGCCACCAGGCGCTCGCTCACGGGCCCCAACCCCAGGCCTGGCTCCAGGGTGGGACCCCGGTAACCCTCCGGGCCGGGTACTCCCGACTCTTTGATTGTACATCCATGAAAGATCCTCTGAACCATTCTTTTTCTCACCCTTCACCTAAGACCAATTTGTCATGGGAGACCCTACCAGGGACACAAAGTGCCGCAGACAACATAGCACCTAGGATCATTAGGGCACTCAAACTCCTCCACCACGATAAGGTGATGGTTCAAGGAGTTCAATCAGGCCCAGATTCTAAATTTTGCCTGGTTCATTCAAGACTAAACATCTCCAAATTACTACGTTTCTCTGTTTATAAAATCCATATCATTGTACATGTCCCTCTCTATAATCCTTTTTTTTATCTGATTTCATCCATACCTCATCTCTATTATTTACCATAAGTTAAATGTTTTAATTTAAGATCTATTATCAGATGATGTGTTGACATTAATTCAAAAATCATTTTTATCATGTTACTTCAGAACGTGTTAAATCTTTATTTTCATAAAGTGTTGAATCCAAGTCATCTCTGAGTCTGTGAGGGAGAAACAACTGCCTCAGTTTTTATCAGTAGAAGTGTGACAATTGTGAACAGGAAACTTCGATCAATAACCAATCACATCAGAGTTCCCCCAGCTGATCCAGTCCAGAACCACCTAAAATATCCACTGAGTTTCCTCCAAAAGAACTCAGAACTTTTTAGTGTTCAGGAACATTTCTGAGGAAACCTCTGGGAGGTAGAACGTTTCGTCTGATAGCCTGCTTCGTTACTGTTCCTGTGATGGAAACATTACTTTATTTTAGTTCTACAATAAGTTAAAATAAATAATAATATGAAAGACTTCTGATTTTAATTTCCGAGTGAAAATTCCTGTAGGACTGCTCAAACTGAGTCGTGTTCCAAGGCAGGTTCTAAGGACCCAGCAGACCACAAGTGCATCAAAGTGATTTCCATTATTCAAAAAATTTTGGGTTCAGTAAATGTTTATTCAGCCTGAAAAACAAAAAAACAAAATCCAAACCCTCTTCTGGAATCAGAACCTTTAAAATTTCATGATCAGGGTCTATTTGATCTAACCTAACTTTAAGTTTGGAGCTGTAGACCACTTTGGGACCAAACCAGGAGAAGACCGTTATTCCCTGTTGTCTACACCAAGATGTCTTAACTGACCCTCAGAATCAGGATTTTCCTCGGCTTTTGTTTTGCTAATAAAGATAATGAACCCCCCTTACAACTTCTAACAAAATATCTGATCAGCTGCAGAGGTCCACCTGATAAAGCCCATGTTCAGATGTTCAGAGTGATGTGTGAGTGACACCAGAACCATCAACAGCAGGTGCTCTAAGGCCTGTAGTGGTCCAGGAGGTCAAGAAGCCTGTGTGATGAAGGAAGCTAGGTAACTGCTTGTTACATCACCTCAGAGGTCCAGTACCTTTTACCGACAAGAACCACCTCTACACATGACTCTAAACAGAACCAGGTATTTGTAGTTGGACTCAGAAACAGAATCAGAAGAATCTGACAATCTAACTAGGTCTGTTTGTTAAAAATGGGTCAGAATAGTCAGTTTCTGTCTCCCATCATTTCTCCTGCTGCAAAATGACAACAGTTTTTGTTAAGTCCTAAACTTAAGGGTGGCAGGTTCTGATTGTTTTAGAATATGAGAGCAAGCTTCCAGAAGTGGGTCTGGCACTGTGGACTGGTCTGGTGTACCTGCTGAGTCCTTGGTCATGTTAAAGCACCATGTGATGAAAAAAGGCCCAACAGAACCTTCAGAACTTTATAAAAATATTCTCCATAAGAAAGTACAAAAGTAAAAAAATAAAGTCAACAGAAAGTCACTGTGTTCAGGTCCATCAGAACCAGCAGCAGAGAGGAGAAGGATGACGATAATGGTGGTGGTGATGATGATGATGATGATGATGATGGTATTAGCATGCATCGGAGCTCATCCAGCCCAAGTTCATGTTAGCGTTCATCCATTAGCCTGATGTGTTAGCATGTGGCAGTGATGGTGGCTGAATTAGCAGTAGAGTTGGTGAAGGGGCAGGGCTTGGTGTGTGCAGCAGGCTGGCAAAAAGGAAAAGGGTGGAAGTAGGCAGACAGATGCAGAGGAAGAGGACGACATCCTCGCTGAGACAGAGGACGAAGTCGCTCTGCTCCTTCAGCACCCAGTCCACCAGCACCCCCACTATCAGATAGTACACCTGGAACTCCTGAAGCTCCTCCCATTCCCCTCCCTCACCCCAGTGCAGCCCTGCCCCCAACCCTGCTTTTTCTGTAGAATCTCTCCGCCTGGTCACGCCCCCTTCAGCAGTGCATTCACTCACCATGGGCTTCATCTCTACCCGTTCTGATGCAGCCTCCTTCACTCTGCTCCGCCCACGTCCCCCTGCGCGCTCTAGCCGCCGGCTGCTTTCCACAAACTCCTGTACAGAGGGCAAAAAGATAGGTCGAGGAATCAGAGAATGAAGGTGCGTCAGAGGAAGGTCACAGCCGAGTCACAAGTGTGTTACAGGTGAGTGGAGTAAAGGTGAGTGACATCTGAGTTACTAGTGTGTCACAAGTAGGTCACGAGTGAGTCGCAAGTGGTTCAGTCAGGTGGGTTACAGGATTACAGGTGTGTCGTGTCAGATGAGTTACAGGTGAGTGACCTGTGGGTTACAGGAAGGCAACAAGTAAATTACAGGTATGCCAAAGCCGAGTTACAGGCGAGTCCAAGTAGTGTTACAAGTGGCTCGAAGGTGAGTTTGAGTTGAGTCACAGGTGGATTACAAAAAAAGTCCAAGGAGAGTTACTGAAGTGTCACAGGTAAATATGGAGAGGTTACAGGTGAGTTAGAGGTGTGTATCTCCCTGTAGATGTTTCTGTGTGTTTTCTTTTCTATGGAAATGTGACTTGATTCTTTACAACCTTGTGAGGGTAAGACTATGGAGCTAGGATTGGGACAATAGTACGTGTAACTTGTACCAGGTTTTGTAACTGTAACTTCCATTTTGCAGCATGTGATTCGTGTTTTGTAGCACGTAACTTTCGTTTTGTAACACATGACTTTTGTTATGTAACATGTTACTTTCGGTACGTAACGTGAAACTTTCATTTTGTAACTTGCAGAGAAAAAAAATCAATGAACACGTTTCAAATCACATCTCTCAAAACACACATCTCAGCCTACAGTTACAAAACACATGTGTTTTGAGAGTTGTGACTTGAAACTTGTCCACTGATTTTTTTACTAAATGAAAGTTTCGTGTTACGTACCAAAATTTACATGTTACAAAACAAGAAGTACATGCCACAAAATGAAAGTTACAGTTACAAAACTTGGTACAAGTTACATAAAATATTATCCCAATCCTAGCTCTATAAGACTCCTAGTCGTTTGTCATGCCTGCTGCTGTCTCACCATCAAAGCTTTGTCCATGAAAAACTCCTTTCCCGGAGTGCCGTCATTGTACTTGGTGTCGATGGCGAAGCACAAGAACAGGACGTCCACCACAATCTCAAAAATGGACAGGAAGCAGTGGGCCACCAGGAAGGAGAAGAGACACACGATGAAGAGCGGTAGCACCCACTCTGCATAATCACGTTGGTAGTTGAGGAGGACGACACCGGCAAATGCAGTAGATGTCATGATTAGGACCTGAGAAGACACATTCTTACGATGAGCATGGGTTCCAGATAGAGTTCTGACCTCTGTCAGGTCGCCACACAGAGTTTTATCTGTTCCAGCAGCTACAAACCATAGAAGAATCCCGAACTGCCTCTAAACCTAAACCAGGGGTCGGCAACCTGTTCCCATCAAAGAGCCATTATTACCCGTTTCCCACAGTAAAGAAAACACTGGGAGCCACAGCAGCCGCGGCGTTGTGGGCGGGGCCTACCCTCAGACAGCAGAGAGCTGCTCACAACAGGTGACAGCAGCCGATACCGGTCGCTCGTGTACGTCAAAGTTATCTTTCATAAGACGATAATCAATAAAACGATTTATATAAAATGGATCCAGAAGTTGTAGCCCGTCTCTGCCTACAATATTTAGATATTTTTCACCCTGTTGGTGGTTTTACTGAGCAGGTGCCACTTTTGTCATATGTTTCTTTTTAAAACATGTTTAGACTGTTCAGAATACAAATCCAGGCTCTGTCACGTTTGCTTGTTGTAATTAAACTTTGTAGGTGGGGAAGGTCAGAAAAGGATCCGATCAATTTGTTTTTCCTCATTTACAGTGACGGAGACAACGGCGCAGTGCGCCTGGCTCTGGTGTTAATCAAGTTAAATTATATCTCTTTGCAACAATTTTCACAAGAAAACAAAACAGTTAAAAGCAGGGATTGTGTTGACCAGACAGTTCCCGTATTTGGCCGTTTATTTTGACGGAGAAAGAATAGAAAGAATTACCCCGACGCATGCAGACGAACTGACACTTTATTCGTTACGCACATCGCAGATGTAGCTAAATCACTCAAGAAATGATTCCCATCTGAACATCTGAGCTGGACACTGCTCAGCGCAGCTCACTGTCAGCGCGTACTACGTACGATGCACAGCGAGCTGAAGATGTGGAGAGGGGCTTGGAGCACGTCGCAGAACTAGAGCGCATGCAGGAAGATTCCTCCGACTGAAGCGAGACTTGTCACTTAGTAAATGTTCCCCGATTATGAAACTTTGGCTGAATAGCGCTTGTTCCTGTCTCCAATGTGGCGACACATCCAGGAGCCGTCTGAGGAGAAGCCCAGAATCTCACATCCTCGTCAGCTCAGAAAGCGCCGACATGATTACGCACAAGCGTGACCCATCAACCCGGTCTCACAGTAAGACCGGGTTGGGCCTGTTCAGGTTTACGCAGGCAATCTTTAAATTTATAATTGGCATACAGATGTAAAATTAATGCAGTAAAATATAAAGCATTTTATTTAATTATCCATTCATTATTTTACAAGCACAGAGAGCCGCATCAGATGGATGGAAGAGCCGCATGCGGCTCCAGAGCCGCGGGTTGCCGGCCCCCGACCTAAACCAACAGGTAGATTATCCTGAATTCTGAGAAAGACTTTGGCCCAGATATTCCTCTCATTAAAAGAACAACGCTCTCAAATCCAACTACAACCAAACTCAAACCATGGTAAAGTCTTACCTTCCCTAGGAAGAGCACAAAGTCTCCGACTGCGTTGATCGTAGCGACACGCAGTGCATTTTCCACCAAAATAACAAAGGCATCGCGTGCCGACCAGCAGAAGCTGGTGCTGTTGATGGCTGTGGCTGCATATGCATTCTGAGGAAAACACACAGATAAGGACTCGGTCAGACAGACTCGGAGGAACAGTCAGAAGGCTGGAGGAAACAATACCTGATTTAGGTAGTTGAGGCACTTCTCCAAACACCACAGACAACAGATGCAGGATTTGAGCAGACAACGAGCACACATGTTCTCCTGAAAACAACCAGCAGGTCATATGACTTCAAAACAAATCTTTATTTGTCAAACATTTGCACAGAACCCAGTCAGGGTGAAAGATGTTCTCACCCGTCCTTTGAGCTGGTTGTGGATGTACATGAGGAAGAGTCGAGGAATCTTGACCAGCGTGATAATGAAGGACCCCTTAGCGACGGTTCCCAGGTGGTACCGGACCAGCCTCAGAACCGAGGACAGAATTGGGGTCACTGGGAGCCTGTTCTTGTCCCTGAAGGACAGATTTCTTGTTTACATGTGATGTCAGTGGTCCGGACTAGTGCAGTCTCGTATAATCGGGTGGGTGGTGTAAGGGCATGAAGGTTCTCACCTGGTAAAGTAGTACGTAACCACGGCGCCAGCTACAGTCATCTGTTGACAGGCCAGGATAAACTCACTGATCCAAACCAGGCCCACGGCGTGGTACCACGTCAGGTACTGCAAAGGACCTGTCAGCCTGAACTCTGTCAGTCCGGTCTCCTCATTCTCCTCCGGGTTTCCTGCAGAACAACAGAACCTAAATTTTGTGTCTGTGTGTGTTTGCGTGTGTGTAACGTGTCATATGTGTGTGTGTGTGTGTGTTAGTGCGTGCGAGAGACCTGTGGTTCCTAGAAACAGCAGCACCAGGATCCAGTAGACCCAGAAGAGGAGGAGGGCGAAGAAGGTAACAAAAGGCTGTAGTGTGAGGAGGGGGAGGTGGGTGAAGACCTTCCCAGCGACATGGAACAGCGCGATGGTGAGTGCCACTCGTTTCCTCATGAACAGCATCAGCAGAAGCAGGATGATCTGAACACACACACACACACTCAGCACTGCTGACACTGAACAGGTGCTCCTGTTTGGCTCACATACGTACTGTGAAGACGGTGGCAGAGACAGCATACACCAGCAGCGCCTGGCCACTGTCCCTGCTTTGCTCCACCCTCGTCTCCTCTGGCTCCTCTTTCAGGACTTTGGAGGATGTGTCATTGCCGTAAAGTTGGTAGTCAATGTAAAACCACCAAAGGATACTCGTCCCAGCTGAGACACAGACACAAGAATTAGGGGGAAAAAAACTAAATAGATCACCCGTTCACCGGGACAAACATTACAACCCATCTCACCAAGGGATCCGAGAACGACCAGCGAGGTGAGGATCCAGACAAGGACAGCGGAGATGTAACGAATGATCACCATGAGGATCATGGACAAGCCTAAAAGACAGAACAGCCATTTAGGGTTCAGTTGTGTCTCAGTAACAGGCAGTGTTGTGGCCGAACGCGTTCATTGAACGATCGTTCGTGAATTTGTTCATTTTTTGTTGTGAACGTGAACTGAACTCGTTCATATTTTGCCCGACGAACGTAAAAGTGAGTGCGTTCATCCTGGCATGCGTGAACGGGTTTATGAACGCGTGTATGAATGAGTGTGGACTGAACGGGTGCCAACTATTGGGAAAGTATTTCATAAGATATATGTATATATATATATATATATATATATATATATATATATATATATATATATATATGTATACGTATATATATATATATATATATGTATATATATATATATATATATATATATATACGTATATATATATATATATACGTATATATATATATATATATATATATATATATATATATATATATATATGTGTGTAAATATATATATAAATATATATATATGTATATATATATATATATATATATATATATATATATATATATACATATATACACACAGACAGACAGACAGACAGACAGACAATTGATAGATAGATGATAGATAGATGACAGACAGACAGACAGACAGACAGACACAGACAGACAGACAGACAGACAGACAGACAGACAGACAGACAGACAGACAGACAGACAGACAGACAGATAGATAGATAGATAGATAGATAGATAGATAGATAGATAGATAGATAGATAGATAGATAGATAGATAGATAGATAGATAGATAGATAGATAGATAGATAGATAGATAGATAGATAGATAGATAGATAGATGAAAAAAGAACTAGTTCGTTTTTTAAACGACCTTTGCCAACACTGGTAACAGGTGACATTACAGCCTTTAGTGGCTCTCACCCAGAGCAAGGACACATAGTCCGATGATGATCTCTTTACTAGCTGCGACACCAGCGATCAAACGGTGTAAGACGCTGCTGTCCCCCACAAAGGTCACCACAGCCTCTGCAAACTTGGCGTAGCAGGAGACGTCCACCGGAGTGCAGCGGTTAAACACCGGCAGCGGCTTGCTGAGGACAAACACAGGGATCAGATGTCAGGACCGGTTCTACTGAAGATTCTCAAGAGAAAACTGGAACATACCTGCGTGGCACAGGAAGTTTAGGACATTTAGTGAATCTCTCAGGGAGACCAGGATATTTATGACCTGCTAGTTCATATGAACACAACTCAGAGCCTGGAAGAGAACCAGAGAGACACCACGAGACAGTGTCCATAATTACGATGATAAACAGAAACATCAGACCTGTGGACTCAGTGTAACAGGCCAACAGGTTCCTGAGAGGCTCCTTTTTCACACAGGGGGCTGTGGAGCTGTTAGGTCATGTGACCAAGGTCATGTGACCAAGTTATGGACAGTGAAAGCTGTGAGTCACTGACTGGTACCACTGACTCAATTCTCACTAATGCAGCCTTTGTTTCTGCTGTGCTGCCGGAGTGTGCCGGGCAGACGCTGCATCACGGTGATGAGATGGTGAACGTTGGCATGAATGGATGAATGAACGTAAACAAAGAGTCTCCCTATTTTTCTTTAAACATCTTTGGTGTGTTCTTACTGTGTTTAGTTTCCAATTCCATTTTTGGTTCTTTTTAAAACACAGGAAAGGTTAAGAAAAACCTTTCCTAGGTTAAGAAAAACCTTTCCTGTGTTTTAAAAAGAACCAAAAATGGAATTAAAGAGTCTCCCTGCCGACTGGATTTCCCATCAACCTGATGTTCCTGCTGTTGCTCTGCTTTATGCACAGGTGTGATTCAGGTGTGTCTGTGGCGGAGTGATGAGCTCACCATTGACCATGGCAAACCTCTTCAGGTCCTGGTAGGTGTACAGCTCCTCAGAGGGACACAGGGACACACACAGAGCCAGGGACTTGATCTTCCTCTGGACAATATCAATGTTACAGGGGTCCAGAAAGAAGACAAACCTGCAGGAGCAGAAAACACAGGAACACATCTGACTCCAGAACTTCTACTGTGTCTCTGCTGTGTTTTTGGTTTTGTTTTCTATCATGCTTTTCTTTCTGATATGTTTCGACGTCCATTTCTTTGCTAAGCTCACCTCCGTCCCACAAAGCCCTATGCAATATGAATCGACTGTCGCTCAGCATTAGTCAATAGCGTTCGACATCCATAAAGATGTCAATAGAGCGTGCACACTTCCTACCTTCCAAATCCTAGACTGAGCAGCATTATGGAGAAGAAAATATCATTTCTATAGCGCCTCTCAGGATAAAAATCATGAGGCGCTTCACAAAAACAAAAAATGTAAAAATAAAAAAAGAATTTAGAAAATTGTTAAAAAATCTATTTAAAATGAGCAAAAAATAGACAATTGTGATTAAAAATGTTAAGAAAGAGAGAGAGTGAATAGGAAAGAGGGAAATCAGTGGATCCTGAGGAAGGTGGAATAGGTGGGAAGAGCAGAATAAAGAGAGAGTGGTGAAGAAGGTCATACAAAAGCCAGCTTGAACAAGTGAGTCTTCAGCTGCTTTTTAAAGGAGACCACTGAGTCCACTGATCTCAGGCTCAGGGGGAGAGAGTTCCAGAGTCTGGGGGCCACAGCAGCAAATGATCTGTCACCTTTGGTCTTTAGCCTGGTGCTGCACAACCAGTAGGCTTTGATCACTGGACCTCAGGGACCTGCTGGGGGTGTAGGGACTAAGAAGATCACCAATGTAAGATGGTGCTTGTCCATGTAAGGCCCTATAGACCAGAACCAGGATCTTGAAATGAACCCTGAAGTTGACTGGCAGCCAGTGAAGCTGGAGGAGAAGCGGGGTGATGTGGGTGTGTTTGGAGGACTTGGTCAGAAGCCGAGCACAGGCATTCTGAACCACCTGTGGACGGTTCAGGGAGGTTCTGCTCAGACACGTGAAAAGAGAGTTAAAGTAGTCTAAGCGTGAGGAGATGAAGGTGTGGAGAACTGTCTCAAGTTCAGAGCGGGACAGAATGGGACTCAGCTTAGCAATGTTCCTGAGATGGAAAAAGGAAGAGCGAACAAGAGAACTGACATGAGAAGCCAGGGTGAGAGCTGGGTCAAAGGTCACGCTAAGATTCCTGACAGAAGGTTTGGTGTGAGAGGCAAGCTGACCTAGCCTAGTGAACTAGACCAAATTCTTGCTTTGCAAAGTTAAATAATACATTTATTTAGTCTGGCTTGCCAGGCTAAAGCTGACCAAGAGAGTCTCTGACTTTGGGAACCAGCTTGTCTGGGGCACAGATGAGGATCTAGAAGTGCTAGAACCACCTTCACAGCCACAAAAAAATACTCCCTGCTTTTACTCGAAGATAGACAAAAGTTAAGAAAAGACTAAATGAATGAGCAGCATTGTTTAAGCTTTATCACAGAAGCAGGGTGAGGGGTAAAGGTGTAATACATTTTTCCACCTCTAGGTGGTGCCCTCTGTGAAAAAAAAATACAATTTTTTGCTTCAATTGAAAAAAAAAAGATAATTTCTTAAAACAAATAAGCTTCTCAAAATGAAGAATTATTTTAACATGAATAAAAATCATACAAATGCTTCACAGTAAACCACTTCCATTTTAAAACCACCTTTTTATGTTTAGTTAGCAGGTGCTCACACACTGTCTTTCATCTTTATTCCTTTTTTTTTCTGAGAACCTGAGGTAAAAATGAACATCTTCACCATCATTAACTGGTCCATGGACATATCTGCCTTTACATTTGAACAAAGTGATAGAGATGATTGCTGAAGACATCTCCAACCAGATCCATCTACGTCCCAAATGATAAAACCACATCAGCATCCTTACTTCTTTCTGACACCAAATGACCTAGATGAATCACATCAGCTGATGTGTTGAAAACCTGCTGACTCATGATAAGCTGATGCCACATAAAAACAGTCAGCTATCGGAGTTCTGCTGCAGCTGGCCATTTTCATAAGAGATAAGAGCGTTGGCGTGGAAGAGAATTCCAGAACAGTACAAAGTTAGTTAGAATGTGAATGTGGGAGAAATGTGTGACTCACACTTTGTGATGCCATGCTTACTTCTTGGATTTTGTTGTTGTTTCTGACACTTTACTTAAATAGGGAGGATCTGAATCAGCTGCTGTGATAGAGTCTCTGAATTTATCAGAAGCAGTTTATTCAGTGCTCATCTTCATTAGTCTGACGGAGTAGAAGAACTATTATGGTTTATGTCTGTGACCTGCTATGGGTGACTTGGTTTAGACTTGTTTCCGTAGCTGTAGGAAACCCTCCCAGGTCTTTATGAGTACTGCATCAGCTGCAACACCTTCTAGCTGCTCCAACAGGAATAGAATAATGTTGGTGGTGTGTTTAGAGGCCTTGGGAATGGATGGGGAAAAAAACAGACATTTAAAGTACATATGTGTTGTTTTCACCATTAATCTCTGGAAATATCCATTGAAATCTTGCAGTAAACGAATTAAAAGACACCCAGTTGTTGAAAAATATTGGCAGTTTCATAACATAACCATAAAAATCTGTTCTAAAATACATGGAGCGGGTCTAAGTCTTTGGGTGACGCCATATTGGATGCCATGTTTCCTTCTACGGAAGTCTGTGACAACAAAATGCATTTACTGATTTATAACAAATGGTTACTTACAAAACTTTCACCATTTATAAATATTGTTGATTTACACATTTACCTCCACTCGTTGCCAGTGATGAAAAGGAATCTGATAAATGATAAATGACCCGCACTTGTATAGCGCCTCTCAGAGTAAGGACTCCAAAGTGCTTCACACTACAGTGTATCATTCATCCATTCACACACACATTCATACACTGGTGGGGATGAGCTACGATGTAGCCACAGCTGCCCTGGGGTGCACTGACAGAGGCGAGGCTGCCGAGCACAGGCGCCACCAGTCCCTCCGACCACCACCAGCAGGCAAGGTTGTCTTGCCCAAGGACACAACAGCAGAATCCTCTGTCCGGAGCCGGGATAGAACCTGCAACCTTCCGATTACTGGACAACCTGCTCAACCTGTTGAGCTACTGCTGCCTGATGTTCTTGTTATTTTGCTGGAGGATGCACTCCCAGGGATTTTTGACCCTAATAGCCATCCGTTGGTAAGGTCTTATTTACACACAAAAATAATGCTTGCTTGTAGTGATTTAGGAATGGACTGCCCCCTATCGTCAGGGAAACTGCACTGTCCCTTTAAACATTTTGGATAGTTTATAACACAAAAATTAGTTGACTCAGTAAAAGAAAACGGATACAAAATAAAGAACAAATAATGTTTCCGAACTATAAACTGGGGACAACAGCTGAGTCTGGATTGTGAGTAAACCTACGGCTGCAGACAGAATTTATCTCTACACGGTTGAGTTGAGTCGGTTTACATCCAGCAGGAGAACCTTGTACCTCTAAACCTCCTTAGAGGTTCGGGTAATAAAACTAACTGATATGCACACATGAGTCAGCAATCTCAGCTGTCCTCCACATCCCACTGGTGCCACATAACAACAGTCAGCTGTTGGGGTTCTGCTGCAGCTGCCCAGTTTCACCATTATTATAAGAGATAAGAGAGTTGGCGTGGAAGAGAATTCCAGAAAAGTACAAAGTTAGAATGTGAATGTGGGAGAAATGTGTGACTCAGCAGAACAACAGACCCACAAAGAGCGACAAAGCAACTCAAAGATTAAAAAACAAAACACAAAACAAAGAAATCAAAAAATACCTCAAACATACACCTACACGGTTAAACAGTTGTTGCTCTGCTTCAGCATTCTCAGACCCCCTCAACCTTAAACTCACCAGGACCTGAAACTTCCTCAGACCTCCGAACATCCAGGACCTCTGACTGTTTGAGAATGTCTCAGAAGCTTCTAAGACCATCTGAGACTGCACACCGGATACTGTTTCATAATTCAGACTGCCTTGCATGCCAGAGACTCTTACACCTTAAACCTCCCAAAGCAGGGATAGGCAACCCAGGTCTTCCGAGGCTGGTATCCAGCATGTTTTAGTTGTTTCCCTGTGTCAACACATGTGATGCAATGGTTGAATAACCAGTTCAGCAGCTTGTCAAGCTCTGCAGAAGCCTTATAATCATCTACTGATTAAAATGAGGGTTGTTGATGCAGGGAAACAACTAAAACATGCAGGATAGCTGACCTCCAAGTCTCAGTCTGCCTCAGACCTCAATCTCTTGGCCCTCAGCCTACCTCAACCTTCAGACCGCCTGAGACTGTCTCACATCTTAGACCACCTGAGACCTTAGACCACCACAGACAGCATTACAGCCAGTCAGACTACCTGGAACCTCCCACTATCTCAAACTCCATTACAACTCTAGTAGAACTTGAGTAAAAATCAGGACAAAAGCTAATAGAACAGCTTTAAAATGATGAATGAACCCTAGAACCCTAGAATAACTCCACACCTCCAGTAGATGTCCAGCACCTGACTAAACAGAATGGCAGCATAAAATTAAGAATTAAGTTACTACAGAGCTAAAGTTTTACTTTGTTAAAGACCAAGTTCAGTAACTTTTTTCAACACATTTGCAGTGGTCTCTAGTTTAAAGGGGAACTAGGCTGTTTTGGCTTGCTTTTAGAACTCCCTAGAGTGTGTTTGTAGAAACGAAAGCAAAAGGTATCTCCTCGCTGTGCGTTCGTCTTTTTAACACCTTAATCTAACAGCTGAAACGTCTCCTCAGCTTTCATTAGTGTCGACAGGAGTGGTTCATCACTAAATTCCACAAATCATGAGTTACCAATCATATTTCAAAAATTGCAAGTAAAAAACAGTTTCTCAATGAACTTGGCCTTTGAACTAAAACTTAATGGTGTTTACTAATGGTTTATTTTTCAGTAAAAGACACTCAGTTTAACAGGATGGTCCTAGCTGACTGGAGAACTGGACCTGAGTAAGAATATGGTGCTTACACATTAGCATCGGCACGGCCACAAAAGGTATCGAACGGCACCAGAATTTGGTTTCACACACAGGTCAGATATGTGTTTTCGGTGCCGAGGCAACTCTTTTTCTCAGACCTTTTCCCCAGCGGTCAGACTGGGACCGAAGCGACACTACAGACTGATTGGCCGGCTGAAATTACGCCTACCACCTCCGATCTGCGAGAAGAATGAGCCGGTGGGGGGGAGGTGTTCCCACATGCGCAATTCATTTTCATGCTGGATGCTGTTGAGTAAACTTCTGTCTGTAGCAAGGAGCCGCCGTTCAGTGTGGGAACGGGAGAAAAGAATGGCTCTGTGTGTGTGGGGGGGGGGGGTGGGGGGGGGGGGGCACAAGATTATGAGAACACACACAGCAGATTAATAAAATAATGTGGTTCAGAGTCTCCAAAAGTAACACAGCTCATGTCCACCTTTTGTTTACCTTATGGAGCGGACTTTCCCACTCGTATTAAATGCCGCCCACGGGCCCGGGGATTTCCGCATTCCTGAGAAGTCCCTCAGATTTATATGTGAACACTACACCGTCCGTTCGAGATCGAACTCATGCCATCCAGCCCGACCAAACCCCGACCGTGCCAACGCTGGTTCACAGATGAGTGTTCTAGAAATGAGAATTTTCTCCCTGACAGCTGGGACCCCAAGGGGCGATGTGTTATGTCCTCCTCCCACACACACACATACACACAGTCTTTCATCTCCACTTTTTATGTCTGAATAACATCCTCTCATCATTAACTGGTCGATGATGATAATAATGATGATGGCTGACTTCAGGAAGAAACCCCCTCCAACCAGATCCATCCACATCAGAACTGATTAAACCACAACAGCATCCTTATTTCCTTCTGACAACAAATGACCTAGATGAATCACATCAGCCTGTGTGTTAAAAACCTGCTGACTCATGATTAGCTACTGTGGTTTTCTGACCTTCCTTACTTAACCCCAGAGTTCTCAGACCAGTTTGTAAGGAACAATTTAGGTTGGCTTGGATGTGTTGTGTGAGACCTCCTGTGTGATTCCCTTACTCCTTCTATTTTCTGCTGACATTTAATAATCTGTGTTTAGTCTTTTGTATGTTTGCGTCATTTTGCTGAAAATGGTGCAAAACACTCACTTTCTGTCGGTGTGGTCAAGGCCGCTCAGCCGCACGCCTTCGATCTGATCGTTGCGTTGGCCACAGGTGTTGCCATAGCTGTCGTACCCAAAGATGAGCCGAGCCGCACCACCGGTGACAATGGTGAAGCCACAGATGCTACCCTGCAGGATAAAAAAAACTACATTTCAACACACACACAGCATCGCTCTGTCATTCCTGAGTCAGATCAGAAGATGAGCTATCTGGATCAAAGCTGTCTCTGTAGTGAATATTTATTAGTGTTGTAAACTGGACATATTTGACTGTTGTCTCTGCAGATATTAATAATAACAATAATAATAATAATAATAATAACAATAATAATAATAATCAGATATAAGGATTGAAAACCATCATTCCTACAGCAAGGATACAAGATATAAATCTTGTAAGATTTAGCTAATTTGGATTTGATCTACCAATGTGAAACAGAACCACGTATCAAATACCAGAACATGTTGAAATCAGCTCTTTGCTTCAGGTTCTACCCGGTCTTTAACTAAGTAGGAAAAATAAAAGCTATTTATTTATGTAGTGTGGCTGTAGTTTTACAGCATTAATGTATTGTGCTTGTAGGATTATTGTAGTATAATCCTAGCATAAGCTTGACAAATGGGACTGTCTAAGCTGTGTAATGTGCTGTAAGTGTTTTAATGTAAACTACTACTACATAACTGTAATATATAAGAACGAGTAATACCTGGTTAGTTTACCGCAGCACTACTGTCTGTTGACTGTTGATTCTACCACTGCTGTAGAGATCCAATGTAAACTTGTTCAGTGTTAATCAGAATTGTAGCATCACTCCTATGACTCTACCTGTACTACAACGTTACTGAGGCCTGGCCTCCTGCAGATCCCTGTAGTATTACAACAGTACTGTGGTGTTAATACTGCATCAATAGTGGAGAGGTACAGTACTGTGAACTGGTACTGCCCTAGGTCAATAGTACAGAGGATCATTAGTACTGTATGTTCTGTGAGTGAATGATGCTGATGCTGGTTCTGATTCAGTGTTCTGTCTCCGGTTACCATGCCGACGCAGAAGACTGTGAAGAGCAGGAACCAGGGCAGGTCCGTGCAGCTCCGGTCCTCCAGCGGTCTCCATTCTCTCTTTGTCCTCTGAAACACACAAACACGGTCACAGTCAGCGCACAGCCGGGCCTGCAGAACCGGACCCAGCCGCCCCAGTAACGCCCCATTTCCAGGACTGACAGCGAGGCCCAGATTCTCTCTAATCCTAACCTTCAACTGGGCCTGTTGTTCACCGGCGGACGGGCCCGGTACCGATCTGGCTGGAGAAGATAATTGGATTATCTGTTGGCTGTAATCCGAGCTCGGTCCTCTGATATTCGGTTTCCCTTTCACGGGTGAAATGCAGTCACAAACTGGACATCAAGGGCGCATGGAACAAGGACGATACCGAGTCGGACTGGACCGGACCGGTCGTGCTTACCTCCGCGCTACCGCAGCATCCCATTGCAGTCAGGATGGACGCGCCCGGAGCCTCACGGAGCCTCGCGGAGCTTCAGCTCAGCAGCAGCGGGGTCTGGAGCTCGACAGGCGGGTTGGGGGAACGGGCAGCCCCACGTGGTCCCGGAGCCCGAGTCCCGACGGTCAGACTGACTCCGGCCCGCTCCTCTGGTTACCGAACCAAGCGGGTATTAACGGCCGAGGGTTTGTCCGCCACACTTCCTGGTGGGCCGTCAGGTACAGCAGCCATTCATCTCATTACGCATGCGCAGATAGCGGTCAGGCCTAAACTAAACAAGAGAAGCTGCAGCTGCAGTACCGGCTTTGACCGCTAAAGGACGGCAAACCACAGAATGGCGCTGTTCCCCTGAATTCTTCACCGACTCATCAGTTCAATGACACAAACAGCTTCTTTATTTAAACTTCAATATTTCCAGAGAAAATAAAAATGTTTTAACACAACCAAAAGTCCTGTAACATTTTAAGTGTATTTTTTGTTTCACTTGATCATAATTACAAAGAGTAGTGTTTACACCCACGCATCACACACAAAGTGCGCACCAGTGGATGGCAGTAAGTACACATTCTGGAAAACACAGAACCAGATGCTTAAAATCATCAACTATCAACTAGATAATTCTGAAGGAATGTTCCCAAATCTACCAACTGAAAGTCCAACATGAGCTTTGCAGAAATCTCATCTGTCAAATGTCAACATTTGATCTGTAAATGATAGGAAAAGCAAAGAGAACCAAGATTAATACAAACGTTAAAGTTGTTGACAATGGCTCATTGGGGTTACCAGGGTAACCACACGCCTATATATGTTATTTTCTGACAATAAACTTAATGAAGTGGTTAAGAGAAACTTAGGGAACCATGAGCAGCAGAAGGCTCTGATGGTAAGACAGGAGAATGTTAATGTTTCACTCGCTTTTATGGAGGAGATACAATGAGCTTAAAAACAAAGCACTTCTGGTCTGGCAGAGGATTTGAGCTAAGATATTACTGAAGTCTATAGGAGCTTGGATTCACACTGCTAGGATTTGAGAGAAAACCATCGTGTAATTTAAACTGGCTCTTAAAATGTTGCAGTAGTAAAAAGAGTTTGAAAGGAATTGAAATAAAAGGTTTATGTGACATCATCACCAGTCATCTAAATGTGGAAAAATCATCAAAGACAACAAAACGCCAGTTCAGTCACGTCACATCTGTATTTCTGTGAGCTTTTAGAATTTCCAATGGTCTTTCAATTGTGACGTCTACCGGTGTTGTCCAGCTCCAAAGACGACAGAGCTTTCCCGCCTGATTCACCAAAATCCCATGTTGTCTATTGGTACATTAATCACAGGCTTTAGTGTTTTTGTCTCCCTCAGGGGACGCATTGATAGCAAAGGTCACAGCTCACTATTACCAACTGAACATGTTATAACCTGCATGTTCAAGCAGGCCAACAACAAACATCTGAATGGTGAGGTCTTATTTCTTGTCAAACTGCAGGAGGAGAAGAGTAGGAGGAGCGGATTTGACCAGAGTCAGAACCTGGTTCTGATAGTCTGTTCATCAGAAGCTATGAGGACAACATGCTGTTCTGTGGCATGTCACTCTGATCCTTGTATTTTATTTTCAGACTCTCATCACAATCCTCCAGTGAACTTCTACTCCTCCTACTCTTCTACCTCCTCTTGCTCCTCCTGTTGGACAACAGAAACATACTCCATCTGCTAGAAGGAAATATGTCTTTTGTCCACTTTCTTCAACTTTTATTAACCCAAATGGAAAAATATTATGTAATGGCCAGAAACAAGAACTGAAACCAGGTCAAAAATCAAAGTCCAAAGAAAACGTTTTCCAGACCATCAGAAAGTATGAAGATCTGTTGATCCAGATAGCAGGAATATCTGGACTGGATCAGGAGTTCTGGACTGGGCTAAAGATAAACCTGTCCCATTCTGACAGAACCATTCAGGTTATTCCCATCAACTCTAACTTTATTATACACAGTACTCTTGTACAAACATCTGCAGACAAACATGTCTTTGGCCATTTCCGTGGAAATGTGTACACAGTGGTCCTGATGCTGCCACTCTGTCCAACTCAGAGCCACATTAACAGTCACATTTACTTTTCAATGTTTATCTTGCTTGTAGGATTTTTGTAGTACTCCAAAATACTCTGTGGAACCATGTAGTACTACTACCCAGAACTACTCTGTAATAGAATTATACTGCAGCAGAAAGCAGGTGGTGCTCAGAACTCTACATCAGTAACTGGATCTCTTACCATTCTTTTGAGTCGAACCTGCTGTTGTGAGCTTGAAGAGTGACGTTTTGGGTCCATGAGCCTGCGAGGTTCTGGTGGTTTTGGTGTGTTCTGATGGTCTGAGAGGGTCCTGATGGTCCAGTATAGTCTTGTTGCTGCTGTCAGTACAAGAACAAGAGTGACGTGGGTCCGATCCAACTGCAAAGAACAACAGAACTTTTGTCTTATTGTTGACTGTTGTACCAGGCTGAACAACGATTGTGTGCGTGCGTGCATGCGTGCGAGTGAGCGACCATGTGTGCGCGCCCGTGTGACAGGACAGATGGTGCTTTGTTCTTTCCATCCTTGTTTGAGCTGTCCAGCAGCGCACCCTGCTGCTTCTTTTGATTCTTTTTCACCAATTGGTAGATGGCCTTTATTTATATAGCACCTTCTAGAGTCTTAGAACCCCCCAGGGCACTTTACAGCAAAACATAAATTAATAATTACACTTTTTTGTGAATAAAATGTTTGGTTTTTATCAGACTGTTTTATGTTGTTAGAAAACACCTGCTTAAAACAGGCCTGAAACTTGTGCCTGAATGTGTCCCTGATTAATAGATTTTGTTTGTGATCACAGTGAATAAAAAATTACTGCATATCAGTTAAATGCTGTTTTCTAATTACTATGGAAGTCTCTAACTGAGGAATCTTAGCCTAAGGAAATAAATCCTGAATGTGATGAAAAATGTTTAAACTAGTAATAGATTATGCTGTTTCAACAAAGAGCTGATCTCTACAGTTTTTATTGTGTGTAAATTTGTTTTTTCTCACAGATGAGAAATCTAAAACTCAAGTTTTTGTGGTTCTTTCAGCTGAAATACTGCTGCAGATTTAAAAGAGAAAGTAACTTTTTCTCACTTAAAATATATGGCGCGGTATGCGGGCCAAAATTAAGACTACTGCCCAGCGGCAGGAGGCTATATAAATTCTGAAGCAAACTACCGACCTGATTAATGATAAGCTGGCACCGGTAACTGAGAGGCTGGCGCTTACTGAGAAATAGCACCTTTACCGACATTACCACTAGATACGCTAGCGACTAGCAGCCCTCGGCTGGTCATTGACTGGTTCACACACTCCCTCTGCTGTATATTAGCATGGATAAGCTAGTGCAGTATGGGGGCCAAAATGAAGACTACTGCCCAGCGGCAGGAGGCTATATAAATTCTGAAGCAAACTACCGACCAATGATAAGCTGGCACCGGTAATTGAGAGGCTGGCGCTGCTTACTGAAAAATAGCACCTTTACCGACATTACTACTAGATACGCTAGGGACTAGCAGCCCTCGGCTGGTCATTGACTGGTTCACACACTCCCTCTGCTGTATATTAGCATGGATAAGCTAGCGTTAGCCTGGACGAGCTGGCGTTAGCATTGGAGAGGCTAGCCATTAACGTGCCTAGGCTGGCCACTAGCTGGATTTTCTGCCCCCTCGACGGACCTTTAGCATGGATAGGCTGGCGTTAGCTTCGGAGAGGCTAGCCATTAGCATGTCTCGGAGAGCCACTTACTCAATTAGATGTGGGGTTTCCTTGTACATATTATATAGTTTTAAAAAGATAACATCACAATTTAAATAATTATTAACCTGTAATTCAATACAAAGGATTTAAAATCTAAAGATGAAAAGTACAAACTAGTTAGCTCTGGCTTTTTCTATGTGCAAGAAAACCAAACTACATAAATAGAAAACACCATCAACCTGTAATTAAGAGCAACATGGAGTTAACGCACCTAATCAATGCTAACAGGCTGTCGGCTTGTATGACAACGCGTTCTGTCAAAGGAACAACTGTGATTGCAGGTCTCATAGTATGTCATCCGTTTAATAAAAGTTAAAAAAAACGCATCTAGTAGAGTAAGTGACTCTCTGAGACATGCTAATGGCTAGCCTCTCCGATGCTAATGCCAGCCTACCCATGCTTAAGGACCGTCGAGGGGGTAGGAAATCCAGCTAGTGGCCAGCCTAGGCACATTAATGGCTACTCTCCAACGCTAACACCAGCCCTTCCAGGCTAACGCTAACCTATCCATTCTAATAGACAGCAGAGGGAGTGTTTGAACCAGTCAATGACCAGCCGAGGGCTGCTAGTCCCTAGCGTATCTAGTAATAACGCTGGTAAAGGTGCTACTCCTCAGTAAGCAGCGCCAGCCTCTCAGTTACCAGCACCAGCTTATCATTAATTAGATCAGTAGTTTGCTTAGGAATTTATATAGCATCCTGCTGCTGGGCAGTAGTCTTAATTTTGGCCCCCATACTGCGCCATAAAAATCAAACACCTCTTGTGAGCCCACCTAGATCATCTGGGCACACCTATGTGCCTCAGTCACAGATATTGTTTCTAAATTCAGTTCAAGACTGCTGGTGGTCTAAACAAAATCAACATTTTAATAGAATCACCAGTCTTGCCCACCTAACATCTTCAGATATAATAGAGACCAGGTGCACCCTGGTCCTGGAACGTCGGTATCCAACATGGTTTTGTTGTTTCTCTGTGCCAACATACCTGGTTCAATGGTATAATAATGTGCTCAGCAGCTCATCAGGCTCTGCAGCAGCCTGTTAATCACCTGCTGATTGAAATCAGGTGCGTTAAAGCAAGAAAACAACTAAAACATGATTGATAGAGGCCCTCCAGGACCAGGGATGGGCACTGCTAGAGGTTAAAGGTCGACCCTCTAATCCAGTGGTAGGCAGTCCTGGTCCTTACTAGTGCAGCTATCCAGCATGTTTGAGATATTTCCTTGCTCTAATCAAGTGAAGCAGATGGTTTATACAATTCCACTCAGTGACCTGTGTGTTGTTTTGAAGCAGCAGTGAACAGTTTGTCCTGCTGTGACTCATTTCTAGTGTCCACAGTGGGCAAGAACAGATCAAAGTTCATGAAAAGACAAAGTAGAATCAAAATGTCCAACAGGGATGCCTGGAACTAGACATACGTTTGTAAAGTCTGACTTCCTGTCAGGTTTGGTTCGACTTGAGGGTCAATTTTGGCGTTCAAGTCTCAGTCTCGTCAGAACCTCAGAGTTCTTCTGATATGCAAACTGCTGAGTAGTAGCTGTTATCTGGATCCAAACCTGCTGATCAATCAGGTCATCGTGTCACTGAACAAATACACCAGACTGAAGTCAAACAGGTTTTCATTACTTTATAGGCTGATCATCAGGATTAATTGATTATTGATTAAAGGCCGTCTGAGCTTTAGCAGGGCCTCCACCAATGTTCCTAACCAGATAATAAAGTGTTTAACTAGACTAAATGATTTCCAAAATAGCAGCATGAGTCATTCAGTATAAGCGAGAGTTATTGACCTCCAGGTGAAAGGACAAAACACAAGTCTAAGCTATTGAAAACCACAGCTCACAGGGGAACCGGTCTGGTTTCCAAGAACCAGAATTTTCTCCTACTTTCAGATCAATGTGGTCGAGTTTTCATCTTTTTGACCACTTGAACATTTCTTTTACATAAAATAGAAAACTGTAACAAGGACCAGCATTGTTAAACTGGGACCTGGTCATGATTTTGTGTTATAAAGTTTTAATTTGTTACCAGTGAGTCATACTTTTCCTTGTTTTCAGTTGATTGTGAGTTCTCTGTGCCACAGCTGATTGTTCTCTCTCAGCTCACTTGCCCTGTCAGCTCTCACAGCTGTCGTCAGTAATTGATTATATTAATAATCATAGCTCATTCGTAATCAATCAAGCAGTTCATTTTATTTTTAGAAAGAAAAAAGTCTCAAATAAAAAAGGGGGCATATTTAATATTTAATTAAATCGAGATTGTGTTACATCATATTCATGCCCTCGCCCTTTATCTCTCAGTCTGGCCAAATGCAGACCTTACAGGCCAATGAAGAGACATCAGAATTTACCCATAAAGCAATAATGAATTTATTATTGTTGTCATTATGGGCCATAATGACAACAATAATAAATTCATTATTACTATTGTTGTTGTTGTTGTTGCTGTTGTTGCTGTTGTTGTTATTGTTGTTGTTGTAAATGAAAACAAAAAACTAAGTAGGAAAAGTTTATTAAAGGCCGGAATGATACAGTGATTTAAAAAAGATAAGAGATAATTAATAATAATGATATGAAATAATAATGATAGATTCAAGGTGAATTTCAATAAACAACAGAATAATAATAATTAAAAAAAAAGAAGAAAAACGACATTAAAAAATGTTGTCAGCTGGATGTAAACATTCATAATCATCTGGTAACCATATTATAACAAAAGGGAGAGGAGATATAAATGCCTGTGGTGGCTGAATAAATGAGCATTATTTACTGATAGATAACTGAGTGCGTATGCTGTCTGTGTGAGAGGCACGTGGCATCAGTATCTTTGTGTTTGATTTAGTTTAAAATAAGACAGAAATGAATTGTGCAAGTTATACTGTCAGTATATTACATAGGTATTCTACCTAAAGGGGTGTCTCCTGGTTCATTTTTTTATTGATTGATGTTTTATCGATAGATACCGACGAGAAAAGGTTTGTTCTGTTTAGGTAGAATGTTTTAGAGTCATTAGAGTTGACCCATGGTTCCTAGGTAACAAAGTGATGGAGATTAACTAAGTTACACCATAATGGATCCTGCTGATTCTGAGTCTGTCTGTCTCCTCCCTATATATTCAAAGTAAACATACATTATCAGAACAATTTAAGAATCCACTTATATCAAAAGTGCAACTTTTCCGTAACCGGAAATGTGATAGTGCGGGGCTTTTATTTTGACAGTCACAAGCAGAAGCAGCGTGACTGATTATTATGAATTGACTCCGGTGAGTTGAGTTTAGTCCCGGGAGCGCGGAACGGCTCGGAGCAGATGCTGCTGGAGGGAGGTGGAGGACTGTGACCTGAAGTGGGGCTCACCGGGAACGCGGAGTGTTTTATCCTCTCTGGAGCCCAAACAGGAATCACACAGAACCAGGAGGCTGAATTAGTTCTCTCCTCAGAACCGAACCGCACCGCAGGTTCGTTATAGAGCCTGGTCCGGTGGGAACACACTGGTGAGTGAATAAAGTCTGATTTTATTTTATTTAGAATGTTTTAAACTTTTTTTATAATTTGAATTTAATTTCTTGGAGCTGCAGTGGCGGATCTTACCGCTGGGGGCGCTCGCCTCTTCAGTTGATTACATCAGATTTACTATCAGAAGCTCCCTGCTGGGTCTGGGTCCAGTCTGCAGGTTATGATCAGAGGTTCAGGCTTCATTTTGTCATGAAAGTTCAGCAGCTGCTGTTTCTGTCTGACTCCTGTGATCTGCTGACCGTTATTGATCAGCATGTCAGAACCGCTTTCCTCTGCTGGTTCAGTCAATCAAACAAATCTGAATATTTTAAAGTTCAGATAGTCACATGTGGAACTGTCATTAATATAGAGTTCTGTCTAAATCTACGAATCCTCCTGATTCAGTCTAAACCTTCTGATCCAGTTCTCATCTCTTGATTTTTCTTCCCAGCAGGAGGACTGAATGTGGGTTTGAATCAGGAGTTCTCCAAACATTCTGAAGGAGATTTTCTTTGGACTAGTTGATTAAATTGTCAGTTTTTGTTTCATTAACAACATTTTCAGAGGTTTGTGTTTAAGCCTTAAAACTCTGAATCATTCAGACAGAAAAAGGCTCCTAAATCAATCGATGAGCTGGAGGTCAGTTAAATGGATCTTTAGGCTCTTTGGTACCAGCAGCCTGTTACAAAGACACAAGCTGGCTGTGGTTCTTTATAAAACCACCAAAAATGACTCCATCTGACAGGTATCTGAATTTCAGCTCCTACCAGCAGACTCTAGGACAGGTCTTGCCTCTTGATGATCAGAGGTCTCCTCATAGCATTAGTTCTGTCTCCTTCAGGGGAACGTGTCCTGCGTGACCTCACCAGAAGACGTGTTTGGATGAAACTGGACGAAAGAGGTTTTGTCTTGTTGCTGTCCAGCAGCTGGTCACAGTTTTAAACAAACCGACCCGAACCAGTAAGGGAACTGGGGGAGAAAGCTTGAGTACTAGTGGGTTTTGGTTTCTGCTGGTATTGATCTGCAGCCTGATTCTGATCTGTATGATTTAATCATTGTTACAACTTCTTTCAGTCTCACAATGCAAACGGGTCAGAGGTCAGTAGTGGAGGTTACACACACACTCGCATGCACACACACCTTTTGAACCAGCAGGAAACCCAATCAGCTTGGCCTCATCATCAGTCATTTATTGGTTTGCTGTCATTTTTCTCATCATGGCTCTGATATGACCAGGACCTCGGTTTCTCTCAGAACAAGGTCAAGACTGGTGGTGGAACCAAATAGTTGTGCTGTTCTAACTACAAACAGGAAGTAGCTATTAAGTTTGTCAGTCAGGATCATCTGGATGACGTGTTTTTTTCATAGATCGCCGAAACCTACCAGAATCTGTCAGGCCAATCTGACAATCGTGAGTCATCTAAGAAGTTGTCAAGAGTTCTGTTTGACTTTTAGAGAACTTTTTCCTGGTCTTCCTAAGACCTTATGTAATTCTGTAGCTCTGACTTTAATATTCACGATTAACCAATCTGCATGGCTCTGTTACTTAGATGCTTCCTCTGATGCTACAAACGTTCCTCCTCTGAAGAAGGAAATGGAAATGTTCCTACAAATGCAGTTCAAGTTGCTACTGCCAGCTACAGTTTTTCTCAAAAGAAGGAGGAACGGCCTCCAATAGCTTAGAGATTGATTTTTGTAGCTCCCACATCAGACCTTGGAGAACCATCTGTGACAGTTTAATAAACTTCTCAGTGGATCGAACCAAACACCAAACTCAATCTTTATTTTCATTTATGGTCCTGATGGTTCTGTGAGGAACATTCAGATGATAGTTTTTACCTTCATGTTATTGGACAGTGGAGCAGGTTAGTTCCACATTATGATATGACTGAAGATGTTCCTTTGCAGCTGATGGATCAGTGCTGGCGTTCTTAGATCTGATAAGTCAGCACCTTCTGTATCAGTTCTCCTTTGACCCTGACACCTGTACGTGTGTGTACGTGTGTTTGTCGCAGAGTGAGTGGCGGCAGGTGATTATTCCTGCACACCGGCGGTGGCAGCAGACATGTCCGTCTCCACTCAGCTGGGCCTCCTGCTGTGGAAGAACTTCACCTACAGACGACGGCAGACGGTGAGTCCTCACATCACTTCCTGTTAATGTACCACATCATCTCCAGTCTTCTGTTCTGTTGGGTTTAGGTTCTTGTTTTCTTCTGTGTCCTGAAGGTTTTACAAGAAGAACCAAGTAGACAGCAGCTTTTTAGCTGGGTCTTGAGTCCAAATTGTTGTTTAAAGTAACTTCTGTGTGTTACTGAATTGTTGTGTTTGTATGTTACAGCTCCAGCTCTTGGTGGAAATCGTCTGGCCGCTCTTCATCTTCTTCATCCTCATCACTGTGCGACTAAACTACCCCCCATACGAGCAGCATGAGTGTGAGTTCACAGATTTATCACCTGGATCGGTCATTATTAGTTTGCTGTAAAACTGTGATGCTTCCTCACTCTTGGATCTGCTGGAGGGTGAACCAAACTTTTGTTTGGATTTGTGCTGTTTTTGCACTCTTAAACCTCTGAAACATGTGTGAACATCTCCTGATGGCCTAACCTGTTATTATCTGAGTGGCTAATCACGATTAGTGTTTATGGAAACAGGAACTGTCCAAATATTCTGTTTTAATCTCAAACATCAAGAACTTGATCTTCTGAATGAACCAAACCAACCTGATGCGGTTATTTTGTTTTGATTGGTTCTGAGAATGCTGAGTCTGCTGGCTGCTCCTGTGAGCAAGCATCTGTGGTCCAAACACCTCTGGGTTATCAGAACAGAGAACGACTCGGCTGGTACCAACATGGTAAATGGCCTGTATTTGATAAAGCACCTTCTAGATTCCTGGACCCCCCAAGGCGCTTTAGAACACAATCAGTCATTCACCTATTCACACACACATTCACACCCTGGTGGTGATGAGCTACATTGTAGCCACAGCTGCCGTACGCAGGCGCCACCGGTCCCTCTGAGCGTCTTGCCCAAGGACACAACGGTAATAGACTGAGCAGGGCTCGAACCTGCAACCTTCCGATTACGGGGCGAGCACTTAACTCTTGTGCCACCGTCGCCCTAAACATGTCCCAACAGCGGCACCAGATGGACAAAATCTCTGGTGTGACTGTATTTTACGTTTTATTAAGGAAAGCTATGTTATGACAGTCTCCATCTGCACTACGTGAGACAAAGACATGATGTAATGAAGGAAACAGATTTATTACGCTGTTTCTACCTGTTTATTTTACAGCCATTGCAACGTTGGCTTACATCCTTGCTTACTGTGGTTTTTGTGTTTGAGTCACCCTTTCCTGTGAAATATTTTCTATTTTCTATTTGCTAATGTATCTGGAGCTTGTGAGTGCATGTTTACTAGATAAAACTAGTAAAAAAAAACAAGTGTTTGGCTGAACGAGTTTGATTACTATATTTATTATCCTGACAGCATCACTGGCAGGAGAGTGTGTTTCCGTGTGTGCGTGTGAGTGAGAGAGAGAGAGAGAGAGAGAGAGAGAGAGAGAGAGAGAGAGAGAGAGAGAGAGAGAGAGAGAGAGAGAGAGAGAGAGAGAGAGAGAGAGAGATGTCTTTCTCTGACCTGTGATTAGTTCTCTCCAACCCTGCCAGATGCACGCTAGTAGTTCTGTTAGAATGGTTCTGGTGTTTATTAGATGTTTATGACATATTATCTGACAGTTGGGAAGTCACTCATAAAGTTCTGATACCCTTGTGTTTAGATTTAACTTGGGTTTCTTCAGTTCTGCTCCTGTGATCCTCAATTACCCACTGCAGGAGGTTAATGAACCAGACCCAAGTGGATCCTCAGTCAGAAACTCAGCATACATTTGGGTTCGTTGGGTTTATCAGGTCGAAACATGCGTCTGCATGCAGGACCGTGTCATGTTGATACCAGCTGGAGGTCTGTTGGGTTTAATGATGGGGATGCTCAGCGGGGATGGCTCAAACCTTCAGTTCTGGTCAGGGAACAGCTGTCCTGGCTCTGTGTTCTGGTCCAAAGGTGAGCTTCATGCAGAGTGGTGGACATTGGTTCTGTCCTTTCAGATTTGAAAACCTGTTGTCCTGCAGAATCCAGACTGAGATTACATCAGACATCAAAGTTTGAAACAGCTGGATGTCTCTGATCCTTCGTTTCTTCTCCCAGGAGCTTTCTCAATTCACAAACCTTTTTCTGAAGGAACCAAAGAGCTGCTGGGAGGACATGTGCAGGATCACAGAAGTCTATTTGTCCTGGACTTGACCTCTTCATGTAATCAGGTTGAGTCAAACATGAAGTAGGGCTGGGCAATTAATGGAAAATTTCTGACTTATCGAGAATTTTTCCCACGTGAATACTTTTGATAATAATAAAATGAAACAATGTGTAGGTTGGCAGCGTTCATGTCCCTTTAAGAAGCTGTACCACCTTGGGTCACGTAAAAAGACTCACTCAACGTGAGACATGTGACAGCCCCATCTGGTGGAGAACTTTTGTTTCTGTGCATACCTGTAGTTATCGTCCATTTATCATTATCGAGGTGAAATCCTCAATATATCGCAATATTGATTATAGGCCATATCGCCCGGCCCTATCATGAAGGCTCTTCAGGTGTTTGCTACTACAGAACCTGACTGACAGGAACCTTGCTGATGGGAACCAAATTGATGAGAATTATGGGAACCAGAATGATGGTTAATTTTGAGATGTGGAGATTCCATAATGTGACCTTTATCGGGAAGCTCTCAGCTCACCTGTGATCGATAAACATTTCCTGTACTTCCCTTGGAAATGCATGATGAAACTGGCCTCCTGAAGCAGTTCAGAGAAAGTTCCCTCAGGTCAGAGATGATCCAGAGGATTACTGAGCCTGATACTTTGATTCAGTTTAATCCAACAGGTGTGTTAGCGTGTGGAGCTGTCAACAGCTTAGATCCTAACGACTCAGTTGGTTCAAGGAATTCGATGACCACAGCGGATCCATTCAGAAGCAAACTAGTCAGCTCAGATAGAAACCCTCCTTGTGATCCACTGGTCACACACACACACACACACACACACACACACACACACACACACACACACACACACACACACACACACACACACAGAGAGAGATTCACAGAAGTTCCAACTTCCACAGAGCAGAACCCTGTGGGTTCCACTGATTATTTACCGAAGTGACCTGCTGGCGTCTCAGTGACCTGCAGACCTTCAGAACTTGCAGAACCTGCAGCTCTGCTTATCTTATCACCTGTGATTACAAACAGCCAGCTGGCAGTCCTAAAGGTTTCTGATAGCAGCGTCTTCTCTCTGCTGAAGCTGTGTGTGTGTGTGTGTGTGTGTGGGGGGGGGGGGGGGGGGGGCAAAGGTCATACCTGCGCAGCTGGAGGTTTTCTGCAGGTGATAACCAACCAATGGCAGATTATGTTGTGCTCCGAGTCCAGGTGAATGCTCCATTCCAACACAGCAGGAAGATAAAGAACAGAACATCATTAACCTGACGCAGCTTGTCACTTAAACAACATAAGACCACATCAGGAGCACATCTGGACCATACAGTGGTGTGAAAAAGTGCCCCCTTCCTGATTTCTTATTCTTTTGCGTGTTTGTCACACAAAATGTTTCTGATCATCAAACACATTTTACCATTAGTCAAAGATAACACAAGTAAACACAAGATGCAGTTTTGAAATGATGTTTTTTATTATTTAGGGAGAGAACAAAATCCAAACCTACATTGCCCTGTGTGAAAAAGTAATTGCCCCCTGAACCTAATAACTGGTTGGGCCTCCCTTAGCAGCAATAACTGCAATCAAGCGTTTGCGATAACTTGCTACGAGTCTTTTACAGAGCTCTGGAGGAATTTTGGCCCAACCGTCTTTGCAGAATTGTTGTAATTCAGCTTTATTTGAGGGTTTTCTAGCATGAACCGCCTTTTTAAGGTCATGACATAGCATCTCAATAGGATTCAGGTCAGGACTTGGACTAGGTCACTCCAAAGTCTTCATTTTGTTGTTCTTCAGGCATTCAGAGGTGGATTTGCTGGTGTGTTTTGGGTCATTGTCCTGCTGCAGCACCCAAGATTGCTTCAGCTTTAGTTGACGAACAGATGGCCGGACATTCTCCTTCAGGATATTTTGGTAGACAGTAGAATTCATGGTTCCATTTATCACAGCAAGCCTTCCAGTTCCTGAAGCAGCAAAACAACCCCAGACCATCACACTACCACCACCATATTTTACTGTTGGTATGATGTTCTTTGTCTGAAATGCTGTGTTACTTCTACGCCAGATGTAACGGGACATTTGCCTTCCAAAAAGTTCAACTTTTGTCTCATCAGTCCACAAGGTATTTTCCCAAAAGTCTTGGCAATCATTGAGGTTTCTTAGCAAAATTGAGACGAGCCCTAATGTTCTTTTTGCTTAACAGTGGTTTGCGTCTGGGAAATCTGCCATGCAGGCCATTTTTGCCCAGTCTCTTTCTTATGGTGGAGTCGTGAACACTGACCTTAACTGAGGCAAGTGAGGCCTGCAGTTCTTTAGAAGTTGTCCTGGGGTCTTTTGTGACCTCTCGGATGAGTTGTCTCTGCGCTCTTGGGGTAATTTTGGTCGGCCGCCCACTCCTTTACCAGACAGATAGATCTCAATTACTTTTGTTCTCATTAGTTCTTGAATTTCTTTGGATCTTGGCATGATGTCTAGCTTTTGAGGTGCTTTTGGTCTACTTCTCTGTGTCAGGCAGCTCACATTTAAGTGATTTCTTGATTGAAACAGGTGTGGCAGTAATCAGGCTTGGGGGTGGCTACAGAAATTGAACTCAGGTGTGAAACACCACAGTTGGGTTATTTTTTAAGAAGGGGGGCAATTACTTTTTCACACAGGGCAATGTAGGTTTGGATTTTGTTCTCTCCCTAAATAATAAAAACCATCATTTCAAAACTGCATCTTGTGTTTACTTGTGTTATCTTTGACTAATGGTAAAATGTGTTTGATGATCAGAAACATTTTGTGTGACAAACATGCAAAAGAATAAGAAATCAGGAAGGGGGCAAATAGTTTTTCACACCACTGTATATCTGATCCATCGTCAGATATAAAATCTCATCCACAAGAAACAAAACAATAAACAACCATGTAAACAATAAACAGCTGTAATTCTTTTCATCATCGACTCTGGTTTCTGTTCTCTGAATCAGACTGGGTCAGATGATGAGCAATCATATTTCTAATATCTAAAGTGATTTTAAAGCACCAGTTACCTTATTTTTACATTTAATATTTCTGTAAAATAAACTGAAATAACTCCCACTGATCATCAATAATCAATAGCAGCCCATTACATTTAGGTGTTTTACGGAACTTGAACATAAAACACTTCTGATTCGATTTGTGGGTTTTAGGTTCAGGGACCACTCCACCCACGGATCTCTGCTGCTGCCTTAGTATTTAAGGTGCTGCTCACTTCCTGTTCTATCTTCAGGTCATTTCCCCAACAAGGCGATGCCATCGGCTGGAACACTGCCCTGGATTCAGGGAATCCTCTGCAATGCCAACAACCCCTGCTTCAGGAACCCAACGCCGGGCGAGTCTCCGGGCATCGTCGGCAACTTCAACGACTCCATGTGAGTTTGCATCAACTGGTTAGAGATAAAAGTCCTGCTTCCTGTCAGATTGAGTACTTTTATAAAGAACCAGGATTAGATTGTGTCTTAATGATGGACCGCTGCTACAAAAGAGTCTTATGATCCAGTTTAAATAGGTTCTGCTCTGTGTTGAGTCAACTCTAGCTCATCCCTTGAGTTAGGAGCTTTTTTCTGCCATAATGATTCAGAGGTCAGTGGCTTTTACAAACACAAACCTGTGAAAGAATTCAAGTAAAATGACTAAAACTTTGCAAAAAACAGTAAAAGTAAAAGCATAAAGTCCTTCAAACCTGCCAATCCAGAACCAATTTAAAGGATTACAGGAAGTCTGGCAGCTGGGAAAGAAAATAGAAAAATATACGGAATTGTGGTCTAGATCAGTGGCTTTGGTCTCTTCCTTCCTGAGCTGATCCGTTCTGTTTGGTGTTGATACTCCAAAGTTCAGCTCTGATTGTGGTTGTTTAATGGTTTAACCTTTGGCCCCCTTCGGTTTCAGTTTCCCCTGATCTCCTGCTGCCGGTTTGGTTTCTGACACAGAACTTAATTATATTTCTGTTTTGATTTGCAGAATCTCTCGTCTTTTCTCCGATGCCAAGAAGATCCTCCTGTACAGCCAGAATGACAAGAACCTCGAGGGCTTCAAGGACCTTGCTCGAGCCCTGGAGGCCATGCAGACCAGCCGCTCAGGTAGGAACCCAAACGAACGTGCTCAGAGAATGAGTCAGTGCAGAGAAGCAGGTGGAACTTCATCTGGGGTCTGACATCAGAGTCTAGTAGTTTTTTTGGCTCACTGAAAAAAGCCAAACCTGTGCTGTATCGGTTCTGACCCGGCAATGAGGCGATTCTTCTCTGAACCTGCTCCAAAATACTGGATCCCCACCCTTCTCAGACAGAGCATATTCCTGATATGAAGAACGACAGCTTCCAGATGGTCAGTGCAGCTGGGTGTGATGAGGGGGCGTAGCACGGTTTTACCTGCTGCTGAGTCATGTGACCTCACCTGGTTCTCCCACAGAACCACACAGCAGCTAGAGCCAGCCACAGAAATCCAGAAGTGATGTTTTTGGCACTGGTTGGACTCGCTTCAGGTCCATGATTGAAGCAGACAGCTCGCCTCTGTTGGAGCTCATTTAACCAATCACATCACTCAGAACCGCTGAGGTGGTACAACTGGACCTGTTCTCTGACCCGTTAACAATCCACTCAGAACCCGAAGCCAATGCTGGTGGAGACAAACAGGTTATTCCACAGAAGGTACTGATCCAGCAGGTCAGATCGGATTGGATCAGAACCATCTGGACTGAAGTTCTTTTGTTTTAATCAGAAACAAGGAAGAAGAAGAAAATATTATTTCTATAGCGCCTCTCAATATAAAAATCACGAGGCGCTTCAAAAAAACAAAAAATATAAAAAAGCATTTAGAAAATGTTTAAAAATATATTTAAAATGAGCAAAAATAGGCAATTATGATTAAAAAAATGTTAAGAAAGAGAGAGAGTGAATAGGAAAGAGGGAAATCAGTGGATCCTGAGGAAAATGGAATTGGTGGGGAGAGCAGAATAAAGAGAGAGTGGTGAAGAAGGTCATATAAAAGCCAGCTTGAACAAGTGAGTCTTCAGCTGCTTTTTGAAGGAGACCACTGATTCCACTGATCTCAGGCTCAGGGGGAGAGAGGTCCAGAGTCTGGGGGCCACAGCAGCAAATGATCTGTCACCTTTGGTCTTTAGCCTGGTGCTGCACAACCAGTAGGCTTTGATCACTGGACCTCAGGGACCTGCTGGGGGTGTAGGGACTAAGAAGATCACCAATGTAAGATAGTGCTTGTCCATGTAAGGCCCTATAGACCAGAACCAGGATCTTGAAATGAACCCTGAAGTTGACTGGCAGCCAGTGAACCTGGAGGAGAAGCGGGGTGATGTGGGTGTGTTTGGAGGACTTGGTCAGAAGCCGAGCACAGGCATTCTGAACCACCTGTAGACGGTTCAGGGAGGTTCTGCTCAGACACGTGAAAAGAGAGTTACAGTAGTCTAAGCGTGAGGAGATGAAGGTGTGGAGAACTGTCTCAAGTTCAGAACGGGACAGAATGGGACTCAGCTTAGCAATGTTCCTGAGATGGAAGAAGGAAGAGCGAACAAGAGAACTGACATGAGAATCCAGGGTGAGAGCTGGGTCAAAGGTCACACCAAGATTCCTGACAGAAGGTTTGGTGTGAGAAGCAAGCTGACCAAGAGAGTCTCTGACTTTGGGAACCAGCTTGTCTGGGGCAAAGATGAGGATCTCAGTCTTATCTTCATTCAGCTGAAGAAAGCTCCCAGCCATCCAGGTTTTGATAGAGTCTAAGCAGGTGTGTAACAGCTGCAGCTTAGACATCTCATGGGGCTTAGAGGAGATGTACAGTTGGATGTCATCTGCATACAGATGGTAGGAGGTTCCTTTGAAGGAGCTCAGGATGTGCTGAAGAGGAAGCAGATGGAGGAGGAAGAGCAGAGGCCCCAACACAGAACCTTGTGGGACACCATGGGTAAGGGAGGTGGTGGAGGACCTAAACTTGGAGACGGCCACAGAAAAGGAGCGCTCAGAAAGATAAGAGGAGAACCACTCCAGAGCAGATCCTGATAGGCCTACCCAGTCTCTCAGCCTCTCCAGTAGCAGGCGATGGTCAACAGTGTCAAAGGCTGCAGTCAGGTCCAGCAGGACCAGAACAGAACAGTCCCCTGCATCACTGTGAGTCAGAAGGTCATTAGAAACCCTAAGAAGAGCTGTTTCAGTAGAATGAGCTCTACGAAAACCTGACTGGAAGCTATCATAGATGTTATGTTCAAAGCTGCAGGTTCACGTTTCTGTGTTGTAGGAAAACCTTCTGTTGGGCTGAAATCATTTCAGATGCGTTCACAATAAAGCCCACCTGTTTGACTCAGCAGGTTTTATTGTGGCTCTGATACTAATGAGATCTGGGCGGAGGACTGAAGGGCTCTGATCAGACCTGCTCAGGAGCTGTGAGGACCTGTGAAGTTTCAGCTCTGTATAAGTCAGGGTGAGGACTTGGGCTGCCTGTACAGACCTGCAGAAGATGAAAGCAGCAAGAAGAGGTGGGCGTGCACACTGGGGGCCTGGGGGGCTCCTAAGTGGAAATTTTGCAGTTTCGCTTGCAGCAACACGAACCTCATTCACCAGAAAACCCAAATAAGGTTGGCCCTTCCTGCGTGACTCAGATGAACACAGCTTGGCACTCCTGGAAACAGATTCAGCTTCATCGCCAACAGGCCATGTTTGTTCTTCTTCATTTACTCTGGATTTTCTTCTGATCATTAGCTGAAAAACACACATAAAGGGTTTTTACGTGGAGTCACCAGCAAACACTCAAAACAGATCTATGAAAGCATTTTTTTATTTTGTCTGAACATATTTGAGTGAAGTAAAAAAGTGGTGGACCGCAGGTCACCTGTCCTCTGTGGACATTCCCCTGGTCCTGTAGCGACAAATCTGTGTAGTTTAAGTACAAAGGTGAAGGATTTACAGGAGGAGGCGTTGGGTTTCTCTAAACGACTGTTTGTCTGTTTTTCCTCCCACAGGATTCAAGTTGAAGCATTTCCTGAGAAACAATGAGACTCTCTCGAGCTTTCTGCGAAGGAACGCCTCTCTGCCTGAACACAGCGTCCAGCAGATCAGAGAGGCTGATGTCAACCTGGACAAGGTGAGCAGGAGCTCTCAACACGCTCTGTGTGAATGCACACGCCAATCCAAGGTCATCGCGCCAAAGACCTGAGAGACAAAGTCCACATCAGTAGAGAAACGGACAAACAGACATTTAATCTGATCATTTCTAACAAACTAAACAAACGAGTCGCAAGAGTCTGATTTAGTCCTGGATTAGTTCTAGAAGTTTAATTTAAAGTCCTGGATTAGATCCTAGAAGACACAAGGGAAATGTTATAAGATTAAAAAGTTAGTTATGGAAGAAAGTCCTGTTCTGTTCTGTGTAATTAAACAAAACCTGAGTGAAATGGGAACCTGATCCACTTTGGAGCTCAGAACCAAAATCTAAAGTAAGCTGAGATCGGATCACTGTGACCTAGAGAAGTTCTGATGTTCAGTAGACAGGACATGTAGGAAAGATAACGTCTGAATGAAAGTTTCCAAACAGTTTCTGTTCTCTCTTGTGTCTTAGGTCCTCCTCAGAGGGTTTGGCGTCCATCTAAGAAACATGTGCCCCAGGAAGGGGGGCAAACAGAATGTGTCAGACTTTGTGATGATCTCAGATCAGCAGGTCGCATCGCAGGTGCAGGATATCCTGTGCGAGGCTCCGCCCACCTGGCTGAACCGAGCTGAGGAGAACTTCATGAGCAACCTGGACTTCTTCCAGCCCATCCGGGTAAAGACTGACCATCTGCTCCAGACTTGTTTCACAGCTCAGCTGGTTCTGATGCTACTGATCTTGTTATTCATCTGAATTGATTCAGTGTTTCTGTGTTCTTGCTTGTGTGTTGCTTTTCCTCTTCTTCTGTGGTGTTTTGTGTACACTTTGTGAGCTGTTCATAAATGTGGTACAAATAACTGACCATGGCCTACACCAGTGTCCTCAGCAGGTTCAGTCACAACTTAGTTGAACAATAATTCCTGGTGAGCAGTGCACCCACAGATCCACATCCTCATGAAGGATGTTCCCACGTTGTTGTTGAGTCCCTTCCAATCTCCTTCTTATCAGCCTGGTTTCCATGGGAACATTTTCTAGCGTTCTCAGCATTCTTGCTGTGATCCACTCAGAGCTTCAGGTCATGTCCACAGAGTCCATCAGTCTGTCAGAAGAAGCTTTGTACTGCTGGTCCCAGAGATGGACCAGAACTGGGTCAGGTATCAGGTTCTGTTTTTATCACCAACAGCTCCATTCTCCCTCAGACAGGTTGCTGTCAGGAATATTCCTGACAGACCAGAACCAGACATAGTTCTGGAACGGGACTCTTGATTTAGTTTGCGAGAGGTGTTCTGTTTGTTCTGGTGCTCTAACAGATTGAGTTTAGTTCTGTAACACGGAGGCATGTCTTCTTCCTCGCGCAGCGCTCAGGTATCACAGCCCAGGTGTGTTCTGTGTGCTCTTAAGTTCTGTGTGTGGGAGGAGGCGTGTCAGGGCCCGCTCAGCTCTTTGCAGGCTCAGTTTTTGTAGCCTAGAGACCAGTTTTAAACGGGTCTGAAGGTTTCTGTGAGGTGGGATGTCACAAAAGCCTCAGCCTCTTTTGTCCGTAGAAATCTATGAGCTGCAGACGGGTGAGTTTCCAGAGCAGCAGAGGGAATGCCTGGAGGCCTGGTGAGGTTAACTCAGGACCAGCATGATCCGGATCTGATCCATAAGAATTACACCCGGAGGAACAAATGGGTTCTGTACAGTATGTCCAATGAGTCCTGAAGGTCCAGTTACTTTCTTCTAATGCTCAAAAGATCAGAATCAGTTTTCTGATGGAGACAATGTCCCAGAGGTCTGCTGGCTCTGAGTAAACATTCCTTAAAAAAGTCAATGGTTTGAAACAGAGCCAGCAGACCTCTGGGACACTGTCTCCATCAGAAAACTGATATGTATATGTATGTATATATATATATATATATATATATATATATATATGTATATATATATATATATATATATATATATATATATATATATATATATATATGTATATATATATATATATATATATATATATATATATATATATATATATATATATATATATATATATATATAGTAATAATGAATAAGAATGGTACCCCTAACTTCATGTTTTGTTGCACAACTGCAATCAAATGATTCTTTTAACTGTCAGTGAGAGTTCTGTACCCCTCAGCAGGTATTTTGGCCCCCTCCTCAGGATCAAACTGCTCCAGTTGTCTCAGGTTTGAAGGGTGCCTTTTCCAGATGTCATGTTTCGGCTCCTTCCAAAGACGCTTAATAGGATTGAGGTCAGGGGTCATAGAAGGCCACTTTAGAATAGTCCAACATTTTCCTCTTAGCCATTCTTCTGTGTTTTTAGCTGTGTTTTGGGTCATTGTCCTGTTGCAAGACACATGACCTGCGACTGAGACCAAGCTTTCTGACACTGGCCAGAACATTTCTCTCTAGAATCTCTTGATAGTCTTGAGATTTCATTGCACCCTGCACAGATTCAAGACACCCTGTGATGCAGCAAAGTAGCCCCAGATAATAACAGAGTCTCCTCCGTGTTTCACAGTAGGGGCAGTGTTCTTTTATTGATAAGCTTCACTTTTCTGTCAGTGAACATAGAGCTGATGTGTCTTGTCAAAAGTTCCATTGTTGTCTCATCTGTCCATAGGACCTTCTCCCAGAAGCTTTGTGGCTTGTCAACATGTAGTTTGGCAAATGCCAGTCTGGCTTTTTTACGATACATATACATATATATATATATATATATATGTATATATATATATATATATATATATATATATTTCAACAATGGTGTCCTCCTTGGTCGTCTCCCATATAGTCCACTTTGGCTCAAATGACAGATGGTGACATCTGACTCTGATGTTCCTTGAGCTTGAAGTTAACCTTGGATCTTTTTGCAAGTTTTTAGGGGTCTTATTCGGATTTTCCGTCTCTTTGATTTGTCATTGGGAGGTTGGCTACAGTCAAAAGGATCTTAAATTTCTGAATAAAATGTGCAGCTGTAGTCACAGGAACATCCCGCTGCTTGGAGATGGTCTCTCATAGCTGTTACCTTTAACATGCTTGTCTATAATTGTCATTCTATTTTCCTGAGACAGCTCTTTGCTTCCTCTGATCCATGTTGAGTGTGGTACACACCATGTCACCAAACAACATGACTACCTGGAACCCCATATATAGGCCCACTGACTCATGACAAGACTGCAGACATCTGTGATGCTAATTAGTGAGCACACCTTGAATTAACATGTCCCTTTGGTCACATTCAGTCTTTTCTAGGGGCAGCATCCTTTTTGTCCAGGCCAGTTCCATGAGTTCATTTATATATTAATAATTCTGCTGAAGCATGGTGGAAAAACATTGTTTGACTTTCATTGGTTAAATTTTGTAGAATTTTTATTTAATATTACTTTTGTCGGATTGAAGTCATTTCTGTGACCATCGTGGGTTTTTCTTTCATTGACCAAAGGGTACCGACAGTTGTGTCCACATCTGTATAAATATATTGGAGGCAGATTCTCCAACTTGTGATGAGTTCTGATCAGCTGGATTTTGACTCTGGTGCTGGAGGTCAGAGGTTAGGCTCTGAGCCTCTAAATGCAGATTATACACTTTACAGGGATGCAGCCTTCAGAGACACTGTCTCTCTCTGGAGCTGGAAACTAAAAAGTATTTTCGTCTTGCAGAGGGATATGGGGTCGGATCCCGAAGCCATCCAACAGGTCGCAAAGGCAGCCAATAATCTTCTGGACAGTCTTGGTTCTCTAGCCGTTGAGGTAAGACAACAGGAGAAATATGTCCTACAGACTGGAAGACATTGTCCTAGTGGACTGTCCACATTAGCAGAGTCAGGGCCACTGGGTTTACTTGGCAGCTCTCTGGGTCCTTGTGAGTCTTTGTATTCAGATACTACAGCTGAACAAAGACTTGAATGTCTCAGCAGGTCTGTCCCCTCGCAGCTGTCCAAATAAAAACGCTAACACTCAGCGTCCGTCCTCTGCCCACTGAGAAGCTGAAGACTGCAGGTGGTTGTACGGTGGCTTCGGCAGGTCAGACAGGACGAGGGGCACGATCAGAGACAGAGAAACTATGAGACAGATGGAGAGAGACCAATAGACACAATCTGAGACACAGAGACCTTTATTAAATCAAGGCTCTCTTATCAATTTCCTGATGTTGTGATTTTTGCACATATGGCAATAAAACCCTTCTGATTCTGATTTAAACCAGCAACTCAGCAAAACCACTTCAATACCTCCAGATGGGTTTTTCTCATAGACACCAGAGTTCTAGCGTCTATTCAGACCATCCTCCATGCCCCATTGAACACCCTCTAATAATGAATTTGCCACTGATTTGTCTTTGGGGGGACGTCTAGCTGCCTCTGGTCTTACCATGCCCCTCCTCTACAGCCGCACGATCTATCAGATCCAGAAACCCAGGCCGTGTCCTCTAAATCCTTTCTAAAGTAACAGAGGAACACACTGGATCTCCTCTCAAGGTTTGACACATATCAAAAGACTGTGGACACTTCCAGTGTCTCGACACTAAACAAATGTGTAGTAAAACATATGAAACAAAGGCTCTGCTCCAGCATGGTGGTCTCTCAGACTTCTCACTAGTTTTCCAAGTTCGGACAACAGGACAATAAAATCAGAAAGTTTATGTTTATTCACACACTTTTGTCCAAAGCAACCCAACGTGCATGTTTTTGGTCTGAGAGGAAGTACCTGAAGAAAACACACGCGTGGGGAGAGCTTGCTAACTCCACTCAGAAAGGATTCAAACCTGTGACGTTCATACTAAAAGGCAACAATGCTACCTCCTTTTGTGAGGAAGTCTGTGAGGTGTCCAAGCCACCTAAATCTGTCTGCCGTGGGACAAAAGTCCCACCCTGTGGAACAGCAGAGCTGCTGTCTGAGGTATAAAAGACATTGAGCTGTTTTGAAGATGGAACGCCATGTTGAGGCCGAGACGTTCTTCCAATCCTAGCACAGTAGATTCGGTCCAATGAAAACTGTCCCAAAAAAAGCTAACCAGTCTTTTTGATTTCTGTGATCAGCCTCCAAGTTGTTGATAACCCTAACTCATTCCTATATTCAACCACTGAACAGTTACATTATTCTTTCCCATTAGCTTCAGTAAGAAAATGTGTGCATGTTTTTTTGGTGAGTCACCTAAACTGTGTGACTTTGACAACATTCTCTGTCATCCAGTGAGAGCGTCATGATTTTCTCCAGCTTCCTTCTCTTTTGGGTTCACAGAGTGGTCATCAGGTTAACGGGCTGGCTGCACATGTGATTTTAAGAACAATCGGAGACATCCTGATTTTGCTCTGTCCTAAACATTCAGAGTAACTTCTGTGGTTTGAAAAGCAAAAATAAAGCTCTTGAATGGCTGCACAGCAAAGTGTTTTAGGCTGTAAATCACCCTCACAATCCCAAGTCCCAGATCTGGTGGTGGGTGTTGGGCTACATGGGTTTCAGTGTCCTGCCCAAGGGCACACTGACATGTGATGGGTGAACCTGTATCTGGTCACTGACCAACAATCAGACAGTAACAGGATGCTGCAGAGGACAGTGGATGGGAGGATCACATGACCTGTAGCTTCAAAATGGTCCTCAGAGGATGATGATCGACCAGACCATACTGGATTGGACTGGACCAGATTAGTTGTTTCTTTCTTTCTAAGAGAGCTTACACAGAATCAGTGAATCAGTCAACAGACCTGTGGATGAAGACAAAATCACTTCCTGTTGCTTTAAAACGGTTTCACTTCTGCTTCCTGAAAGAAATGACCTGCAGTAACCTCCTTGTCCTCAAGCTTCTTCTGCTTCTTCTTCTTTTCTTCCTCCTCCTCCTTCTGCTCTTGCTGCTGCTCCTCAAATTCACCGATTTCCTTCTTCCTTACAAATTTTTAGCTTGTCTCCTAAAAATGTTCAGTAAATTTCCCACATACAGTATGCTCTGTTGCATCCCAACAGATGTTCCGTTTTATCCCTGCAGACGTTTTCTTGTTCCACACAGATGTTTTGTTCGTTATCTGCAGGTGTTCCATACAGATGTTCTGTTTCCAACAGATGTTTTTCTCCATAGATAATCTGTTCTTGACAGAAGGTCTGTTAGTTCCCCACAAATGTCCAGTATGTTCGTACACATTTTGTCTGTTCCCTATCCACCTTTTTCTAATGGCCCAGAATGCTTTGTGTGAAAGATATAGTAATTTTATGGTCTGCGTTCGTTTACTTAGACGATGCGATCCCAAATCCTCTCTTTATGGGCGTTTAGAGACGGAAAACGTGCAAACACCCGTTGTCACAGCTCAGACAGAATCCTTCTGAGCTCCTCATCTTTGGGGAGATGTTGAAAACTACCGACGCTCGTAGTCAAACTCTCTTACTCTGAGGTGCATGTAATAAACATCGCTCTTGTAGCCACAAATTAAATTTTCTCTGGTTGTTTGTACAACTGCAAACAGCGCAACATCACAAGTACATTTTTTGGAGGTAAATAATTTTAAAATCCTTTTCAAATGTATAAATAAATTGATACCAGCAATGAAACGTCACCATGCAAACCGATGGGGATGCGCTGCTTCCGCTGTCTCACCAGATGTTGCTTACATCATTGTTTCTCCATAAGGAAAGGGAAAAGGGTGGATAAACATTCTGCTTGTTTCTCACAGATGACCTTGTAGTTCCCTGCAGCTATTCAGTATGTTCTCTACAAAAGTTATTGTCAGTGACTTGATGCAGTCAGTGGCTTAATGAACTGACCTGGATTGGAGTGTTTACCATGTGAAGTGCCTTGAGACGACTCTAATTGTGATTTGGCGCTATATAAGTAAACTTGAATTGAATTCTTTTGTTTTTGTTCAGCTTGCAGAACAAGATGTTCATTTAGTTTACCACAGATGTTCAATAGGGAAACTACAGATGTTCCACTGGTTCCCTAAAAAGTTTAGTTCAGTCTCTACACTTGTTCTGCCAGTTCCCTACAGATGTTTTTTTTTTTTTTTTTTACTGTTTATAAGCTGAAGACACGTTTTAAATGGTACTGAATGAAGATCTAAGTCCTGTATTACTTTGTGTCCCCCATTCTTAGTCCTCACCAGTTCTGTCTGTGTCTGTGGTTGCTAGCTTGCTGGGATGAAGAGCTGGGTGGATCTGAGGAATGAGATCATCTTCCTGACCCGGAACGCCACCTCGTCACCCAGCGCCATGTACCAGGCAGTCTCCAGGATCGTGTGCGGTCACCCTGAGGGTGGCGGTCTGCAGATCAAGTCTCTGAACTGGTACGAGGACAGCAACTACAAGGCTTTGTTTGGTAATCACAACAGCAGCGAGGACGAGGCAGCGGCGCACTACGACAACTCCTCCAGTGAGTCCTTGTTGGTTTTCCTGATTTTCATCAGTTATTTCATGTCGCAGTTTTAAAGCAATTTAATCCAGTTTTAATGAGCTTCTAAGATCCAGCAGCAGCCTGGTGCTGCGTTTGCTGACGGTAGGTTACTGCAGCTTCCTTTATCCCAGTTTAGCTCAAGACATGCCAAACTGAAACAGGATGTGATGGAGCTGGGTACATCAGTGTTCCTTTTGTGTGTGTGTGTGTGTGTGTGTGTGTGTGTGTGTGTGTGTGTGTGTGTGTGTGTGTGTGTGTGTGTGTGTGTGTTGCAGCTCCATTCTGTAACAGCCTGGTAAGGAGCATGGACTCAAACCCAATGTCCCGGATGATCTGGGAGGCTCTGAAACCTCTGCTGCTGGGGAAGATCCTGTACACTCCTCACACGCCTGCCACACAGAGGATCATCCATGAGGTATGACCATCGACATTAATATATGACATTACCTCCTGTCTCAGACAGGTTGGTGGGGGGTCAGAAGAACTCCTTCAGTTCAAACAGAACCGATCAGATTTTTGTTGAACTTTAAGTTTCTCGTTAAAACATTTGATCTAAAACCAGATATCAGAACAAAAGTAAGGACTTTCTAGCAGACCATAGTGTTCACCCTTCTGCTCCAGGTCTCAGCTGGCCTGTCTAAGGTTTAAATGAGACTCACTGGGATGACTTTAGCTCTGCCGTGTTCCACGTGCTTCCCTCAACAAAGCACGTGGCCCAGTGTTTCTGATAGAGCCATCCCAGAAGAGACAGTAGAGACCAGAATCAGAATCAGGAATAGATGACATCATCGTGAAACGCTTTAGGCGCAGTGCTTTATTCGATCAGGTCGCTAACAAGAGCAGACCTGTGGTTGTGTGAGTTGGGCCTTAAAGAGACAGGTGCAGCAGGGAGGTTTCAGTTGGAGGGTACAACCCTCAGCCTAATAAACCTGCTGTGAGGCCTTCAGAATAACACAGAACCAGAGAACCAGCAGTGTGAGGGTTCAGCGAACAGGCAGCTTTCTTTCAGCGTTGTCATTGCAACATTGTCTCACCATAGTTTCTACTCGCCTGTTTTTGCTTCTGTGATGGATTCAGGTGAACCGGACCTTCCAGGAACTCGGAGTGTTCAGGGACTTGGGCGGCATGTGGGAGGAGATGAGACCCAAAGTCTGGGACTTCATGGAAAACAGCGAGCAGTTGGACCTGGTCAGGGTAAGAGTTGGGTTAGGGTTAACCTTAACCCATCACCTCACCTTAATAATTTTTGTTGTTAGACTTTTATTTTGGAAATAAATGAAAATATTTGTATTTCCTTCCTTCCTTTACCGTCACACCCTCCCTCCTTTATTCTCTGTTTTTCAATCTTTCTTCCACCCTTTGTTCCCTCCCTTGCTTTCCTTCTCTCTCCTTCCTACCTTTCCTTCCCTCCTTTCTGTTCCTGTCTCAGACTCTGTTGAGGAACAATGTCAGTGCCAGCTTCTTCCACACTCGGCTGGCCAGCACTGATTGGACGGTGTCGGACGTGTCGAACTTCCTGTCCAACCAGCCGTCAGAGCGTCTCGGCGGAGCTCTCACCTGGAGGGAGGTGTTTAATGAGACAGACCAGGCCATCATGAGCATCTCCCGCTTCATGGAGGTCAGTGTTCCTGCTACAGTCCCCTCTGCAGCATGCTGACTGGACTGCTGTTAGAAAAACAGAATAAAAGAACTTGATTCTGTGATTAGAACGTTTAGTTCTTTTAGACTCTTCAGTTATAAAAAGAAGGTTGCCATGTCTTGCAGGAAGTTTTGTGAAGTTCACATGACCTGACCTGTGTGGTGTGTATTTGTGCATGTGTGTTTGTGTGTGTGTGTGTGTGTGTGTGTGTGTGTGTGTGTGTGTGTGTGTGTGTGTGTGTGTGTGTGTGTGTGTGTGTGTGTGTGTGGTGTGTATTTGTGCATGTGTGTGTGTGTGTGTGTGTGTGTGTGTGTGTGTGTGTGTGTGTGTGTGTGTGTGTGTGTGTGTGTGTGTGTGTGTGTGTGTGTGTGTGCACCAGTGTGTGAACCTGGACAAACTGGAGCCTGCCCTCAGTGAAGAGCGCCTAATTAATCAATCCATGCTGTTACTGGAGGACAGGAAGTTCTGGGCGGGGATCGTGTTTTCCAACATTACTCCCAACGCCACCGAGCTGCCGCCTAAAGTAAACTACAAGATCCGCATGGACATTGACAATGTGGAGAGGACCAATAAGATCAAGGACGCGTAAGGATAAACACACACTGATAGCTAACTAGGAAATTTTACTCAGACCTGATGCATCTGGTTCTCTTTTGGATCAAATTAGTAGAATGTGTTCAGATGGACTTCAGTATCCCACGTTTTCTTCTCCAGGTACTGGGATCCAGGTCCTCGTGCCGACCCCTTTGAGGACATGCGTTATATCTGGGGTGGGTTTTTATACCTGCAGGATGTCATTGAGCAAGGCATCATCAGAGCGATGACAGGAACCAAAGAGAAGACCGGAGTTTACATCCAGCAGATGCCATACCCCTGCTACGTGGACGACATGTAGGACGGGCTTCTTGTTCACCCTTTCTTCCTCTTGTCTTCATCTCAGTCATCTCTCTTTTGCCCCTGCCTCAAACATCTCTATCTTTCCTCTGTCTCAAACTTCTCTGTGTGGTCTCCGCTCCAGATGTCTCTCTGTCCTGTTACTATCTCAAACATTTGTGTCTGTTTCTCTCAGCTTCCTTAGGGTGATGAGTCGGTCTATGCCACTCTTCATGACCCTGGCCTGGATGTACTCTGTGTCCATCATCCTGAAGAGTGTGGTGTACGAGAAGGAGGCCCGTCTCAAGGAGACAATGAGGATCATGGGCCTAGATAACGGCATCCTGTGGTTCAGCTGGTTCATCAGCAGCCTGATTCCTCTACTGATCAGTGCTGGACTGCTGGTTCTGGTGCTGAAGGTGACAAATGCACACACTCACACAAACACACACACACACAACCTCAAACAAAGTAAGCAGTTTATATCTCAAACATAACGTCCAATCAAGAGGATTTCAGGAGTTTTACAAAGGGAACTGTACACGTTGGCCCACAGAAAGGCTGTTGGTCCACACAAACCCAAGAAGTCCTCTTAGAGGTCTCATTTTTTTGGATGGAGTTTGATACAGGTAAATATATTAACAGTGTATGTGTTGTGTGGCCTTGTGGGCGTCTGGTATCCGCCCCTTATGGGGGGGGGGGGGGGGGGGGGGGTACTGTCACGATCTGCCCCTGCCTTCCTGACTGTGTTCCTCTCCTGCCCTGATTAGCCCTTATTGTTCCCACCTGCCCCTTGTTACCCTGCCCATGTGTTCCTGATTTCCCTGTATATTTATACCTCCCTCCTTGTGCCAGTCTTTGTCAGATCATTGTTGTTTGTCGTGTTGTTCTCGTTCCTGCCGTATCCTGTCATTAAACCCATTTTTACTTTATCCGTGCCCGCATTCCTGCCTCCTGGAACTCTCCACCACACATGGTCCATCATCTCCACCATCACAACGTGACACGCATATATATACATATATACACATGTATATATATATATTTATAATAACAGCTAAACTCACAATTCCCTCACCTGAGCATTCCACAGATAGACATTTCCAAGACTTTACACGTCAGAACAAAGCATTTGTCCTTACTAACTATTAAAAAGGTTCAGTACAATCTCAGCCAAACTTACACGAGTGGACATTCCTGCAGGTTGACCCCAGGTCAGAGGTCAATGCTCAGAAAAGTCAGTAGTTAGAAGATCCTATCTGGCTGCAATGTAGCTGATTACCATCAGTGGGTGAATAAATGACTGTATAAATCGCTTTGGAGAGCAGGTCACCTGTCATTTACCTTGGTTTCTACTGGTTCTGCCTTCAGAGGACTAACCAAGCCCACCGTGAGCTCCTCTGGACACCAGATTGTCATATCAAGTCTAATGTGAGACCTGCTGTATGAAACTCAGACTGAACCTGGTCATGAAACAGAACCATGATCTCAAACAATCAAGGTTCTGCAGTGGTCCCGACCAGAACCTGACAGATGGTGTGGTTGACCTTCAGAGGGCTGAATGTCTGTAAATCTTAACGGTAGCAGACCAGATCTCCTCCAGAACCATGTGAGGGATTGATGATGCTGCTGCTGAAGAAGGTTCTGTTGGATCAGCAGCTGGATTCTGGTTCTGTGTTCTAGTTTAGTGTTCTAGTTTAGTGTTTGATAATGAAATGTAACATGTCTTGTTATAAAGAAAGGCTGACTGTGAACATGTTTCCTGTACAGATGGGGAACCTGCTGCCCTACAGTGACCCCGGTATCATCTTCCTGTTCCTGGGATCTTATGCTGTTGTCACCATCATGCAGTGTTTCCTTATTAGCACAGTGTTCTCTCGCGCTAACCTGGCGGCTGCTTGCGGAGGAATAATCTACTTCACCCTCTACCTGCCTTACGTGCTCTGCGTCGCCTGGCAGGACTACATCAGTTATGGAGCCAAAGTATTTGCTGTGAGCTTCTCCACCTTTCTATTGGCTTGTTGTTTGAAAGCTGTGCAGTGATTGGTCGGAAGAAGTCACAAGTTCCTCTGTCTTCCAGAGCCTGCTGTCCCCTGTGGCATTCGGGTTTGGTTGCGAGTACTTTGCATTGTTTGAGGAGCAGGGGGTTGGCATTCAGTGGAAGAACCTGGTGTCGAGTCCTCTTCAGGAGGATGAGTTCAGCCTCCGCACCACCATCATTGTCATGTACTTTGACTCCTTTTTGTATGGAGTGCTCACATGGTACATTGAAGCTGTCTTTCCAGGTGAGGTCTTCTGCTTCTCGGCATTTTATCCCAGAAGGACTTTTTGCTTCTAAAGTTGGGCATCTTGTCCAGAGGTGGCTTAGCGAGATGTGCTCGCAGATGGAAATAGGATGATTTTTTTGTGTGTCTCTGATTTAAGATTTGTTGTCACTACATTTTGCAATGTTTGTCATCAGGTCAGTATGGGATCCCTCGGCCCTGGTACTTCCCCTTCACCAAGTCCTACTGGTTTGGAGAGGATGGAAAGTCCAGCAACATTCCTTTAAGGAGAAAAGGAAATGCTTCAGGTGAGTGTTTAGTTGCTGCAAAAGAAAACACAGGATGCTTCTGAAGACTCAAACATTACAACATCTGCAACCATGTGACCAAAACAAAAACAGAGACAGTCAAGCTTCACTGTAAGGTGTTTGTACATGTTTGTAGCTGTGTGTGTGGAGGAGGAGCCAACTCACCTGAAGCCAGGAGTCTACATCGAGAACTTAGTGAAAGTTTACCGTCATGGGAAGAAACTGGCAGTGGATGGGCTGACACTTGGATTCTACGAGGGACAAATCACATCTTTCTTGGGACATAACGGAGCTGGAAAAACCACCACAATGTAAGTCCAGAACATCACCTGCTAGAGCCAGGAAGGTACAGATGGATGGAGATAGACAGAGGTGTTGTTTAATGTGTCGTGGTGGGATATCTACATGTATCATTCCTGCAGGTCCATCCTGACCGGCCTGTTTCCGCCCACTTCTGGCACCGCCTACATCCTGGGCAAAGACATCCGGACCGATCTGAGCACCATCAGGCAGAGTCTGGGTGTCTGTCCTCAGCACAATGTGCTCTTCAGCATGTGAGTCCATTGTCTTCCTTTAAGTGTAAACATCTTCCCCAACCATGTAACCTTGTCTGTTTTGTCCACGCCCCCTGCAGGCTGACAGTGGAGGAACACATCTGGTTCTACGCTCGGCTGAAAGGCCTGTCGGAGGAGCAGGTGAAAAGCGAGATTGAACATATTCTGCAGGACACAGGGCTGCCACACAAACGCAGGTCCAGGACCAGTACTCTCTCAGGGGGCATGCAGAGGAAACTGTCAGTGGCCCTGGCCTTTGTCGGGGGGTCAAAGGTGGTGATCCTGGATGAGCCCACGGCTGGTGTTGACCCTTATGCTCGGAGGGGAATCTGGGACCTTCTGTTGAAATACAGACAGGGTGAGGCTGATTGGTCAGTTTTATCTGGCTGCTTTCTGATTTGCACTATCATGTGAGCTTAGCTTCTGATCTCCGGTCAGGTCGGACCATCCTCCTGTCAACACACCACATGGACGAGGCAGACATCCTGGGAGACCGCATTGCCATCATTTCCCACGGCAAGCTGTGCTGTGTGGGCTCATCTCTATACCTGAAGAACCAGCTGGGGACAGGCTACTACCTGACACTAGTGAAAAAAGGCCCAGAACCATCACTCAGCTCCTGCAGGAACTCATCCAGCACCGTGTCCTTCACCAAGAAGGTCTGCTTTAATCCACACTCACGGGACATAGCCACTGAGTCATGTAGGACTGTCGCATGTGTCTGTTGTGGTTTATGTTGAAGTATTTATGGTAGTACAAGGACTAGCTAGTCTTTGATAAAGATGAGGACAGTGTGTGTGTGTGTGTGGATGAGTCAGCAGCATCAATGCTATGTTAAAATGTATTATGTTTATGTACATATCTATTAACTGTAATATGGACGTGTGTGTGGTTATATTTAAGGTATTGTTCTTGGTAAAACCAATAACTACTGTATTTGGTCTCATTTCAGGACGAGGACAGCACCTCTGTCAGCAGCAGTGATGCAGGACTCGGCAGTGACCATGAAAGTGAGGCAGCCCCCATCGGTGAGCTGTGTGTTTTAGTGGAGCGTTTGATTTGTTCACCCTCAGGTGGAGCTGATCCGCATCTTGTGTCTGCATCCTCAGAGAACGGGCTGGCAGCATCTGTTTGTCCCTCCTCGTTTGTGCCTCCATATGCGTCTCTGGCATCAGCACTAATCCTGAGGCATGTCCCAGCCGCCCGCCTGGTGGAGGACCTGGGACACGAGTTGACGTACGTTCTGCCATACAGTGCTGCCAAAGACGGAGCCTTTGTGGAGCTCTTCAGAGATCTAGACCTGAAGCTGCAGGAACTGGGCATCTCCAGCTACGGAGTGTCTGACACCACGCTGGAGGAGGTTTGTTTTTAGTGACGTTACTACAGCAAACATTTTATCCATGGTTCAGATGAATGCGGTTTCTATGTTTCTGAGATGAATTTGTGGCACAAACAATTTCACGGTTTCCTGTTTTGGTAGATTTTCCTGAAAGTGGCTGAAGATAATGGAGTTGACACTGAAGTACCTTCAGGTAAGAAGGAAGTGCCCTCTGACTCTGATCTTGCACAATAAAAGATTAAATACTCATTTATTTGTGTTCAGATGGAACACTTCCTGTTCGGAGGCGGAGGAGGACTCATGCCTTTGGCGGAGGAGATCATCAGAGCTGCTTAAGGCCTACATCTGAGGATGAGGATGATGGCAACGAGTCCGAAGGAGATGCTGGTACACATACCCTGACAACACACACACTATTAACATACAACAAAAGCAGAGCTACACTAATAGAGGACAGGAAATCAATCATTGGCCCTAGGAAGTAATGCTGAGGTTGAGCAGGTGGTCATGTGATTGGTGTTTCATGTCAGACTGCAGGGAGTCAGACTGGCTGAACCGCACTGATGGTAAGGGATCCTATCAGATGAGTGGGTGGAGCCTGAAGAGGCAGCAGTTTGTGGCACTGATGTGGAAACGCTTCCTGTATGCTCGACGCTCTAGAAAGGGTTTCTTCGCTCAGGTGGGCCTACACCTGTCTCACACCTGTCCCACTTGATTACCCTGGTACATGTTCTGTGAGCATTAACTACACAGAGCTGTGTGTTTTCAGATAGTACTTCCTGCCGTGTTTGTCTGCATTGCTCTGGTCTTCAGCCTCATTGTGCCGCCGTTCGGAAAGTATCCAAGTCTAGAACTGCAGCCGTGGATGTATGAAGACCAGGTCACCTTTCTCAGGTCTTTGTCAAACCTGCCCTTCAGGTGTGCAGTGCTGACATCAGGTTTATTGTGATCTGACTCTTTGTGTGTGTGTCTCACAGTGATGATGCCCCTGGAGACGCCAACATGCAGAAGCTGCTGAACGCTCTGATGGACCCGCCGGGTCTTGGGACTCGCTGTATGGATGGGTATTCCATCCCGTAAGAACTTCTCTCAGAACACCTTACCCATCTGCCCCCAACACCACCTTCACCCCTGCTTTTGTCTGGCTCCACCTTCATCAGAGAGGCCCCCTGTACAATGGGTGATGAGGACTGGCACACCCCTGATGTCCCCATGAGTGTCCAGGAGATGTTCAGCTTCAGAAACTGGACCATGGAGAACCCATCTCCAGCCTGTTTCTGCACCTGTGATGGCAAGAAGAGGATGCTGCCGGAGTGTCCTGCAGGAGCTGGAGGTCTCCCCCCACCTGAGGTTAGATCTCCTGACATCTGTGCTTGGGGTGGAGGAGCAGTCGGTCAGTTCTTGACTTGCATTAAGAGTCTGGACAGACTGTGTGTGTATGCGTGCATGTGTGTGTGTTTTGTGGAGTATCACTGATTGTATCAGTGAAATTCTTCAGAACAGAAAGCAGTGCCGCACGATGGATTGAACAACGCCTCAGATGGAGGTCTACATTTTGGCCTGAGCAGGTGAACGCATTTGTTCCTCTGTAATTTGAACCTAAAGGTGTTTAAATTTTTCTCTTTAGATCAAACTTAGTGCAACCGATGCTCTGCAGAACCTGACAGGAAGAAACATCTCAGACTACCTGGTGAAAACCTATGCTCAGATCATTGGAAAGAGGTAGACACAGGACTCACCTGACCTAAGTCACCTGAACATGTCCAGGTACTAAAGTGTTCTGTCTGTTTACAGCCTGAAGAACAAAGTCTGGGTGAATGAGTTCAGGTCCGTCTCTGGAACGATCTACCTTCATTAGTCACTCGCTGCTCCTGGATGCTCTAATGATCTGTTCCCTCTGCAGGTATGGAGGCTTCTCATTGGGTGCCAGGAGCACACAGGTCCTCCCACCAGCCAACGAAGTTGATGATGCCATTGAGAGAGTCCGAAAGATCTTTGAGTTACAGGAGGTTAGTTGGAGACAAACCTGCTGTCAAATTCTCAACTCAGTCCAGTTGTTCTTCTACAAATAACAGTGCAGCTTCCTGATATAGAACCAGAATCTAGAAGCACAGCCTGATGACTGAAACTGTGTATTTCCTGCAGGGCGCCGCTGCAGACAGATTCCTGGACAATCTGTCAGGATTCATCAACGGCCTCGACACCAAAAACAATGTGAAGGTGGGTCAAGGAGAAAGTTGGGTCAGAACCAGGAAACCAGGAACTAGGTTCTGTTCATGGTTTTTGTTTTGGAGAGAAATCCTATGTTGGTATTGAGATATTTAACCCTCCCACTGTCCTAATGGGTGTGGCCCTGCGAGGAAAGTTGACCATTGGGCAGGATTGGTGGTTTATCCCTTGAGGTCCATGTGACAGGGGTGAGGAGTGAGCACCACCTCACCCCTGTCACATGGACCTCAAGGGATAAACCACCAATCCTGCCCAATGGTCAACTTTCCTCGCAGGGCCACACCCATTAGGACAGTGGGAGGGTTAAAAGGAAATCACAGCTTGCATTAATTCAGTATGACACACCAGTTATCAGTTACCCGGCTGCTTCTGCTAGTTAGAAATGGGAGTGTAGCCCAGCACAGCTTCTTTACCTGTTGTGGTTCACTTCACTTTACAATTTGGTCCTAGATGTTCCAGATGCTACAGATCTCGGCAGGGATCGCGTCTCTAAATACATTTTAGGTCGTAACCAGCTGTTCCCCAACTTTACTAAAGCATACAGTATGCATGGATTTGGACTTGGGTTGCAGGTTGCAACAGGTTGGACAGATATTCTTAGATTCACACTTCCAGTATCAATCTGATCTAACCAGTGTTTTTAACTCCAAACAGTTTCTCTATTTAGCTGGGGTGAGCTGATCAACACCCTACTGGGTCATTTTGTATTTGTCTCCTTTGTGTTGACCAAATCAAAGAGGTTTCATCCTGCTGAGAGGTGTGTAAAGAGACCATCTATAAAGTGATTATTTATTACAATTAATGTTATTTGCTGATTTGAATGGCTCAGTCTCAAAAACCAAAGAGACTTGATAGTTAAGTGAGAGGCTCATACATCTGCAGACTGAGTTCCAGTTGTTGCCTTCAGATCAGAGATATCGCCTTCCTAAATGCAGCACCAATAGGAACAGACTGACCTTTATCCCATAGGCTACTGCTGCTCTCAATAAACATATGTCACAACTCTGGATTCTATGAATTTAACAGACAGATTTATTTCTACGCCTAAGCCCTGGCTGGCCCCACATGATCCTGCTCAGCCCTGTTCTGTTTGTTTTGCTGATCAAAAACTAATAGGTTAAAGGCAAAGTGTTCTCCTGGTTTTGTTGAACTGATGTAGTTATTTTTCAAACACACTAAGAACTAGGTGGGTTAGAAACACCTGACAGGTGGTTCTGACCTGATTGATTCAAATATGTGCTTTACTCTTGGGACAACATTTGCATGTCACATTCAGACTGTAGATGTCCAGGTCCTGAATTAATCCTGAACCTGGTCTCCTCAGATCTGGTTTAACAACAAAGGTTGGCACAGCGCAGCAGCGTTTATCAACGTGATGAGCAACAGCATTCTGAGAGCAAACCTGCCGACGGGTTCGGAGCCCAGCAGCTACGGCATCAGCGCCTTCAATCACCCACTGAACCTGACCAAGGAGCAGCTGTCCCAGGTTGCACTGTAAGTACACACCTGGACACAACCCACCTTACCTAAACACACCTGGACACAACACACCTGATCTACTCACATCTAGGGATGGGTATATTTGACATTTGAATCGATACTGTGCCAATTTCCGGTACCTACGAATCAATACCGGTACTTAACGGTACCAATTTTTGATACTTTTGAGTGTTTAATAATTATTTAAATAGCTTTTTAAATTATATATATATATATATATATATATATATATATATATTATTTTTCCAATATATAACCATATTTGATAAATATCATAATAACATACAACTGTTTGTATTTTTCATCGTAGTGTTGTATAAAATTCTTCATTATGAAAACCTTTAACAACAACTGTTTCTAAATGATGCAAAAACAAACCCAGCTCCATGTACTCCTAATCCTCTTCTATGCCCTCTGGAGGAACTCTGATGAGGAGACCATATATTATAAACTACAAATGAAACTAAAGCAAACGTTGATACCGTACAACAGTTTGTATTATAATACTGTGGTGTTCCACAAACTAAACCCAGCTCCATGTCCTTTTTCATCTGGACAAACTGTGTGATGGTGGGTCCTTGTAGTTTTATAAACTCCAAATTACACTGAAGCAAACATCTTTGCAGTGAACTCAATTTACTGTGTATCTTCATTCCTTTTGCCGTTCATTTTCAAACTGTTTATTTTTCCTACTCGGAAGGTGGAATTTCCGAGGAGACAGTGAACGCACCATTAGCTATGTAAAACAAAAACTAAACTGTCATGATAATGTTATCTTAAACAGTTTATTTAGCTGCTGGAGCAGATTAAGATGCCTCATCCTCAGATCTGTATTGCTGGTTTCATCATCACCCAATAGCCCATCGCATTTAGTGAAGTGGGCCCAAACTTCAGAACGCTTCCTCGCTTTGTTTACAGCTCGCCCACAGTGACTGACGACGTTACAAGTACCGAAACAAGGCACCGTTTCATATGACATGAATCAGTACTCAGTCGGTACTATGGAATTCAGCCGCTGCCTTAAAAAGTACCGAATTCTGTACTTGTCTCTAATCACACCTGGACATAACACACACCTACTGGGTGACAACTCTGACAGAAGTCTGTTGCCTTTGTCCTCTGTATCTCCAGGGTAACAACCTCTGTGGATGTCCTGGTGTCCATCTGTGTGATATTTGCTATGTCTTTTGTTCCTGCGAGCTTTGTGGTCTTCCTGATCCAGGAGCGTGTCAGTAAAGCCAAACACATGCAGTTCATCAGCGGTGTCCATCCACTGCTCTACTGGGTGGCCAACTTCATGTGGGATATGGTGAGAAGCTAAGCGCCGCCCCCCTCTGCATGTCAAGGTGTGTGCTTTTTGTCTGATGTTTGTGTGTCTCTGCAGTGTAACTACTTTGTCCCGGCGACGCTCGTCATCCTCATCTTCATCTGCTTCCAACAAAAAGCCTATGTGTCGTCCAGCAATCTGCCGGTACTTGCACTGCTGCTGCTGCTTTATGGGTCAGTACTACACAGAAGTACACTGTACAACATAGTACTCCACCGTACTGCACAGGTTAATGGGTTTCTAGGAGTCAGGGTGTTTCATCGTCCAAACTGTCTCCGTCTCGTCTCCAGCTGGTCCATCACTCCCCTCATGTACCCCGCATCGTTCTTCTTTAAGATCCCCAGCACGGCATATGTTGTCCTCACCAGCATCAACATCCTCATTGGCATCAACGGCAGCATCTCCACCTTCGTCATGGAGCTGTTTGGAGACCATGTGAGTTATCACTGAGCAGCCATCTTTTACCTGAGCTGAAGTTTAGTCCAGCGGCAAGCAGAGTTTTAAGTTGTTGTTTCTGCAGGAAATCGGCGGCATCAATGATATTCTGAAGAACGTCCTCCTCATCTTCCCTCACTTCTGTCTCGGGCGAGGACTGATCGACATGGTGAAGAACCAGGCGATGGCGGATGCTCTGGAAAGATTTGGTAACACAAGCAGGCCTAGTGTTTTGAAATATTGACTAGTCACCAGGTGTTCCCTTCACAGGTGAGCACGTGTGAGGACAGGTAGCTCACTGGGTGTGTGAATATGACTGTTCTCCAGGTGAGAACAGGTTCCGCTCTCCTCTTGAGTGGGACATGGTGGGAAAGAACCTGCTCGCCATGGCTGTGGAGGGTGTCGTCTTCTTCATCATCACCATCCTCATCCAGTATCGGTTCTGTATCAAACCCAGGTACGTTGAGAATGGTTCTGTCCTCCGCCCTCACCTTTGGCAGCAATCACCGCTGACACTCAGAACTTTGTCTCATACCCATATGACACGTGTGTGTGTGTGTGTGTGTGTGTGTGTGTGTGTGTGTGTGTGTGTGTGTGTGTGTGTGTGTGTGTGTGTGTGTGTGTGTGTGTGTGTGTGTGTGTGTGTGTGTGTGTGTGTGTGTGTGTGTGTGTGTGTGTGTGTGTGTGTGTGTGTGTGTGTGTGTGTGTGTGTGTGTGCACGTGAAGGCCTGTCAGTACACTCACCAAATTGGGAGCACTTGGAGAAGAAGATGAGGATGTCGCCCGAGAGAGACACAGGATTGTCCAGGGTCTTGGACAGGGAGACATCCTGGAGCTGCGGCAACTCACTAAGGTGGGCAGGCTGTAACACCTGACCAGGTGGTTTCTAAGACCCGGTCTTAGGAATTTGTTGACCCTGAGTGATGTCACCCACAGGTGTTTAAGAGGAAGCAGAAGCCAGCTGTAGACCGACTCTGTGTTGGGATTCCACCGGGAGAGGTGAGCCTCACTTTGGACAGGTAGTATCTCTCTGAGAAGAACATGGAGCCATGAGAAACTGAGCACCTGTGTGTGTTTTCTCAGTGTTTTGGTCTGCTCGGAGTGAATGGAGCTGGAAAAACAACTACCTTCAAGATGTTGACAGGAGACACAATGGTGACCAGTGGAGAGGCATTCTTGGCTGGGAAAAGGTGAGATGATACCTGAGCAGAGAGTCCAGGTCCAACATCAACAACATTTTTGACAACTGGGTTAGGTCTTTAGTGTGCACAAAATAGAGAAAGGAATGATGATGAGGAGGAGGCAGTAGAAAGAGGAAGAATGCAGAGTGGGGTCATGTAAAATGCGCTAAGTTAAAACAAAGTATAGAACTTAGGAGAGCACTTCATGCAACCTCAGGTCTGGACTGAAGAAGAGGAGGTAGATGAAGCACAGTTTTACAGCCACGTACCATCTGAGTTTTTTAGAAGTTAAAGAAAATTCTTGGTTGAATGACGCAGTAAGCTGTCAAGCAGCATGATGTTTCAGGGAGATTCGAAGAAATCCACCAAATTTTCAGCGTAACTTAGGGTCTTTTTTGCTAATTATGTTCCCATGGTAACTCAAAATAAAAATAAAGGTAACAGAAGTCTTTTGGTGGCTAAGTCTGTATAATTTATGTGGGTGAACGCTTCAGGCCACATTAATGTTGATGTAAGATTAACAAATAAAGAAGCCGAGCTGAGGAATTTGTGCATCAAGGGTCTTGAGATCACAGGAAACTGGTTTTAACCCCTAAAGCAAAAGGAAAACTCGGGGAGCGTGTCTTCTCAGGAACTCTCAGCCTCAGGTCATCAGGCATGCATGCTCCGCCAAGGCTTTTAAAGCCAAACCGAAGACCTGCTTAATTAGTGGCCCTCTCTAATCCAGATTCTGAACAAGTCCAGAAGGTTCTCCACGTGTTCCTGAAACCTGCAGAGCCACTAGTCTAGACCTGATTAGCTGTTCTCACAGATGAAAAGCCACCCCACCCTCAATAGGATAGAACACGTTCCAACTCGAGTTTTAGTTTTACGTCTTTAAAGATGGACCAGCTGATGCTGGTTTGTTCTGTATTCATGTGTGTTCGGATCTCTGTAGCATCCTGAGGGAAATCGACGAGGTGCACCAAAACATGGGCTACTGTCCTCAGTTTGATGCCATCAATGAGCTGCTGACAGGAAGAGAGCATCTTGAGCTGTACGCCATCCTCAGAGGTGTCCCGGAGAAGGAAGTGTGTGACGTGAGTCAATAACACACACACACACACACACACACACACTGCTGGGTGGGGCCATGCTGCCAGGCTTTGATCGACTGCTGTTTGATTGACAGGTGGCAGAGTGGGGCATCAGGAAGTTGAGTTTGTTAAAATACGCAGATAAACGAGCAGGAAGCTACAGCGGAGGAAACCTGAGGAAGCTGTCCACAGCCATCTCTCTGATTGGAGCGCCCCCTGTTGTGTTTCTGGTAAATAACCTCTGTTGCTTTCTGACACACAGACACACACACACACACACACACACACACACACACACACACACACACACACACACACACACAGTGAAATGTCTGATCAGCTGTCCCCTTCCAGGGCAATTGACCTAGAATTTTGTCCCTTTTGGGGCACCATACTCTAGCAAGGTAACAGGCTGCTTTTCAAATACTCCCTCTACCATTCTGTTTCTGCCCCCCCCCCCCCCCCCCCCCAATACACTGAGGATTAGATGTATTTTAGATTAGTTTTTAGTTTAGTGGCACATAAAAATCCACCAGCAGGATTCACCTGAACACCTTCTTGAGTCTCTGGTGAGGGGCAGAGTTGCTCTGCTGTTTTTGTCATCATGGAGACATCACCCATCTCTAACATATGTGCCTCGACAGCTAATCAAAGAAAAACTTGAGCATGTGTGTGTTTGTGGAGGTGGGGGAGGGAGGTGACTAGTATGGCCCACCTCCCCCTCCTCCCCAGGGATCCATCTGAACGTGGCTCTGATCCCTGTTGCAGGACGAGCCCACCACAGGTATGGACCCCAAGGCCCGCCGAGCCCTATGGAACTGCATCCACAGTGTCATCAAGGAGGGGCGCTCCGTGGTCCTCACATCCCATAGGTGAGTCCCAGATGGAACCAGCGTTCTCTATGTTTGTCCTTGGCTCTTTGTCTAAGTGTGTGACCTCCTGACCCTTGTGGTGGGACTTTGAATGTGTTTGTTACAGCATGGAAGAGTGCGAAGCTCTGTGCACGAGGATGGCCATCATGGTGAACGGCAGGTTCAGATGTCTGGGGAGCGTCCAACACCTGAAGAACAGGTGACACTCAGGGATTCCTAGTGAAACTTTTCTGAAACCTAATGAAAATAATTTTTTTATTTCATTTAAAATGAAACATAAAAGCGTTTAACGTTAACTTTGCTTAGTGACCACTAGGGGCCACTAGAAAGCTCCTATCCAATTTAAAGTCTGAGACAATGTTTTCCTGTGGCAGGTTTGGTGATGGGTACACCATCATCCTGCGGGTGGCGGGACCCGACCCAGACCTTCTGCCTGTCATGAAGTTCATCGAGAGCGAGCTGAGCGGCAGCACGCTGAAGGAGAAGCACCGCAACATGCTGCAGTACCAGCTGCCATCTTCACTCACGTCACTCGCTCACATCTTCTCCATCCTCGCCGAGAACAAGGACATTCTCCGGATTGAGGACTACTCTGTCACTCAGACCACTCTGGACCAGGTACAACCCACAAAACACACCTGGAAAGGAAGACGAAGGGGCTGATGGGAAATGTGGTCCTCAGAAATTCTGAACTATGTCATTTTTGGTTCCAGGTCTTCGTAAACTTTGCGAAGGACCAGAGTGATGATTATGTTTCCAAAGATGCCTCAGTGAGAAGGAAGGACGTGTCCATTGATGTTGCAGCGCTGAGCTCTACCTGTGCAGCTGCTGAGGGAGGTGGAGGGCAGCAGGAAAGCATCATGTGATTACAAGTGATGTCATGTGACAATAGTAGGCTGATCTTCAGCCTGGACTCAACGCACAGCAGAGGACTTCTCCCATTTACCTGCTGTAGAGTCGCACCAATTTAAAAATGGTGGTAGGCAGAGCCTCCTGCCACCCGATTCCACTCAATGCAAGACTTCCTGTGGAGGCGGCGAGCAGCTCCGAGTTAAAAACTTGAACAAGCGTGAGCATTTGCTGTTCTGAACCAATGATGAAGAATACAGATGATTTCAGACGGCTGAGCTTTGATTCCGTTTTTGTCCTCGAACTCTTATTTATATTTGTAGCTGGAACTCTACCTTGTAATCCTGTTGTTTGGGCAGTGTGTACACTGCTTCTATAGTGTTAACAGCCAATCAGAGTGCTCGATGCAAAGATTGATTTTTATAGTTTTTTTATTAATGAAAGAGGAGCAGACCTGAAAGCTTCCGCTGTGAAGCAGCACAATACCTCTTCAGCTCCTAGACAGCACATTGCAGTATTGATCAGCGATCAGACCTAAATGATCAGAGATCTACTTGATGACCGATTTAGCTGATCAGACATCAGCCCATGTGTCTGACTGCAGCACTTTAAGTGTTTGAGTCATTTGTTTTTGTTTACACTGATTCTGTTTTATGATCACACGTTAGTTGTTGAGCTGCTGATGAATGAACAGCTGTTACGGCCCAATGAGCAGAATAAAACCAGTCCAATCCACTGGCTCCGCCCACTGCTTCAAACACTCTCTTCCTTTAAACTATCCCTGTTTGCCCGTTAAAAGGAACCTGAACATTTTTTACGCTGATCATTTCTGAGCTAAAACTTGTATTTCAGGGTTTCATGGTGGCACAGTTGGTAGCAAGGTTGCCTCACAGTGAGGTTGCAGGTTTGAATCCTGGCTGTGGCCTTTGCACATTCTCCCCATGCATGTTTGTGGGTTTTCTCTGGTTTCCACCCACAAGCCAATAACATGCATGTCAGGTTGATCGGCAAATCTAAATTGTAAGTGTGAATGGTTCTATGTCCCATTTGTCTCTGTGTCCATGTGACGGACTGGAAAGCTGTTCACCTGTTGCCTGGTGACAGTTAATCAGGACCAAGCAGGGCAGAAAAAGAATAAACATGTATTTAAATTTCAATCTCCTTCAGTCCAGATTCCCTCGGTTTGGTTTTCCTGTTCATGGAGACGGATGGATGAAAGAGTCACATGACTGAAATGGTTTTGTCTTAAAGAATCCATTTGTTTTTAATAAATGAACATTTCCAAACATTTAAACAGTCTCACTTTATTTTAGTTCTTTGACAACCATCAAAAACTCTTCGGCTTATAGTATATGGTAAGGTTTTGAAGCCCTGCCCACCACCAGCAGGATTGGACCGAGTTGCTGCAACTCAAACACCAACAGCTCCATGTTGGTTAATCCTGATGAGCTGCTATTAGCTCGACCACCGATGGAGGCTGGCTCAGTAGTCCAGAGCACATGTCAGCATCATGAGACCATTTCCACAGAGATGGAAGGAAACTACTTTATCGGAGAGAACGGACATGGGAACATGAGCTGATTCCTCTGAGATTCCAGATAGTTCACACTGTTCCTGACTGAAAGAGCAGGTTGGGAGAGAGAGAGACGGAAAGGGAGAGTGAGTAAGAGAAAAGCAGAGGAAGAGTGACTGATTATGAACGGACCACTGTTTTTCCTGAGATTTCTTCTTTTCATAAAGATGACTAAACAATAGTTTTCAGCCTCAGAATCAGTCACTTCTCTGACATGTGTGATGTCACCAGGATAGTGGGCGGAGTCTCACCTGCAGCCACCACTCTGGCATCAGTGTGAGCCTTGTGTCGAACCTCAGCTCGCTGGTCGGCGCTCTCGTACCACCAGAGGGTGTGAACTGAGACACAGACACAGTGACATCATGGTAAACAACATCTAACATTACAGAAACGAACAAAACCCGTCTGGTTCTGCTCCAAACACAGTCCAGTCAGAAGCATCTGGAACTGGAACAGATGCAAAAACATTTCCACAGCGAGGAACCACCAGAGGAGCTGCTGATGGCCCAGAGCGCCATCTATAGGCAGACCTCGACATTTGAGAAAAGAATCAGAACAAAGGTCATCAGGATTTAGGTTCTATTACTGAAACATCTGATGAAGTTTCTGATTATTCCTTCATTGTTTCCTTTTAATCTGAAGAGAATAACTTTTGTAACGTAAACGCAAATTAATCGTTGCTGAGACTTCTGTCAGGGAACTGTTGCAAATGTGAATCCAGTTTGCTTTGAGAGGAAAGAGAAAAAAACAGTGTTTATATATTTTAAAAATAAACAGCCTCAAATCCTGTAAACTAAACAACTATTAAAATTCTGACATTTTCATCTATATATTTTATCTATAATTCTTGAAATGACTGAAATCCGATTTCAGACTTTACTGAATAAATGGTGGTTATGTTGTTGCTAAACATCAGCTGACGTGTGATGTCACTGTGCCTCACTCACCTCTGTTTAATAATCCAAACTCACTGTGGAACGCCCCCAGCAGCTTGCCGTACCCTGGTGCATCATGGGAAGTGGTTGCAGCCTGAAAAGCGCTGCCCCAAACTGCCGGGCCCCCAGGACGCATCTGGAAGGAAACCAGCTCATACACACCTGGAACACAAACACCTGTTGTTACACCCGGTAGGCAGGATGCCGCTGCAAGATGGTGCAGTCTGGAGGCAGGGCTTACCTCCCTCTTGTGGAGGTTTCTGCAGGAGACTCCATGGCACCAGGTATGTGACCTCGTTGTCCTGTGATGTAAGCATGGGCAGGGCCTTCGAGATGTACTCTGACATCCAGGAAGGGTCCTGTGCCAGGGCTGTCCGTACTTTTGCCCGCTGTGAGTAGCTGTCTAAGGGGGCGGGGCATGTGACAAAAACAGGCTGAAAACCGTTTTATCAACTATGAACGGGACTTGATCTACACTCTGGATCACAACTTAATCAGTTTAACTTCAACTGAAGGTTTGACCACATTTTGAATTTACAAACCAATCAGTGATCTGCGATTGGTCTCAGGAGAAGAAGGCGTGTTCTCACCATACTTCCATATATGGAAGACCTGGTTCAAGCCACCATACTCGACACTCCAGTATCCAATCAGCTCTGAGTAAGCGGTGCGGAGATGGATCTTCTCATTGGTCAGTTTAAGGAAGGCAGCGTTCTGGTCCGGGCGGATGCAGTAGGTGCGGAACTCGTAGAAGGTTCGGGTTTCCTGCTGAGGCCCTGTGAAGAGGCACTCCTGAGGCTGCAGAGAGGAGAGGGCAGAGGTCTGAGACACAGAACAGGTGTGTGTGTGTGTGTGTGTGTGTGTGTGTGTGTGTGTGTGTGTGTGCGTGCGTGTGTGTGTGTGTAAAGCACTACAGGGTCCTCTGAATCAGAAAGGTGTATACAAGAGCAGGTAGTTTATCATTATCATGGCATCATCACGCTCCTGGAGCCCAAAGTCAGAAGGGCATGAAATCTGAGGCTCTACAGATGTTGAGGATATTTGCTGGAGAAACGGAAACAGCTGGCAGAAGGGACAGTGTCTATGAAGTAGAGCTCTGGATGGAAACATCTGGATTCATTTACCAAATCTTCACCTTCTACTCCTCAACCCTGTGGTGCATTTCACTCCAATTCAAATTATGCTTTTGTTTGGTTAAAAAACTGGTAAAGTTCATACAACGTATAAAAGTGTAAACAGTCCACACAACATGCCCTGTGCTTAGGAATTAGATTTTGGGTATAAGGCCTGAATTCCCAAACCATAATCGGAACTGAAGAGGACTTTTGGTTGGGAAGTAAGGCATCTTCAACAAACAAGACATAATCCTGGCTTTTCCTGGATGAATGAGAATCATCACAAACACATGTCCAACACAACGTGTACCACGTCTCTATCTCATCTAGACGTGTCTCCAACTCAATCTCTGTAAAGCTCCTCCCCTTTTCTGAGGCATAGACATGAATTTTGAACATCCAGTGGAGGATCACCACTGGAAGACATGTCAGCAGTTATTCACTGTTTATTCTGAGATGTAACAAGGGGAGGAGGTCTGGTATTCACTCATGTGGTTCAAATCCATGTTGATCAGAATTTACAAATGAATTGTTCTTGAATCCATGTGTAGGAGCAGTTTGATACACCTGATTGTGTCCATAGCTACTTGGTGTGACACCCATGCAGGTAGATGGGTTGAGGGATCAGGTTTCTGTTTAAGACCCTATAGCATCAAGAAAGTCATGGACATGCCAAGGGTCATCAGGCATTACACTGCCCAGCCATCTTCATTTACCTGAGAAACAGTGTGCTCCGTTTATTACCATCTCTCCATAAGCCAGCCTCGCCACCTGGGGAACCGCCAGAACAAAGTTCCTCTCCTGCTTCCCTATCTGCTGCAAGCTACAAGACATCTCCAGGAGAAGACAGGACTTTAACCTAAGAATTGTACTCTTTCTTTACGATTACTTTCCTACTTTACAGATTAATTAAAATCATAGAACACTGAGTGTTTTATCTAAGGTGACTTTAAGACTACTTGATTGCTTGAAAGTAATGATTGAATCAAAATAACTTTTTATTGTTGAAATGCATTATTTTAGATCTTAAATAGAACATTCAACACAACAGCACCATTCAACCCCCCACATCCCCATAAGTAATGTGGACTAATCTGTTTTAAATCCTTTTAAACTGTTGTTTTAGCAGATCTGAATCACTGGTTTGCACTGCACTTTCTTGATGTTCTGTAAAATGTTTTTAATTGTTTTTAGTCCTCCATGGTTTTGATATTTATTGTTATTTATTGTCTTGTGCACTGTTGATGACGGGCCATCTATTCCATTCTAAATACACCAAACAAATCTTCTTGATAAGTTAAGGATGGTTTTATAATCAGCCATGTCACATATTTTGTCTCTTAGGAAAAGATGTGGGGCAGAGGAATTTGATAACACTTCCTACATTTTTCCTGGTCTGTGATTGGTCAAACACAGACCTTAAAAGTTAGAGACTCACTCTATTCTGGGGTTCCAGTCAAAATGCTAACTGAACATCTTATGTGAGATCAAGCCAGCTCTTACAACAGAACACTTTCAGCTGCAAAGATCCACCTTTTTCAGAATCAAACAACCATTATTTGCTTTAACCTGCTACAATTTCATCAGACGCTAACCAACCCGTCAACCTCCAGCAGAAGCGAACTTCTATATCAGGGAGTATCCTCAGACCAGCCGAGCTGTATTCAAGGGACCTTGGAATACCCCAGAAGTCCAACCACTCCTCAGTCTTGTCAAGACTGGCTTCGCTTTGCCAGTTGGATCTATCAGAAGCTCTCATCACTGGTACAGCAGGCGCTGCCCACCAGATAAAGGACACATAATAATTCCTGGCTACCTTATCGTGGCTGGAACAAGGTCTCATGCAGAAGATGAGACCTTTTACTTTCACTCTGAATAAAATTCATCTTACTTGAATCATGAATGACTTTTTTAAACTTGATAATTGCATAAGTGTCATATAATCATCTCTTGTTAAATCCCAAAGTGTTTGAATAATGTGTGCATTAATCATTGATGTGGTAAAATGAATATTTTTCCTGCAATGATTCATTTCAGATCATAAACTACACCAGATCAGTAAATGTTGATTCAACAAGTTGATCTATCAGTATACTCATACACATCATAATAAGATTATTATTCAATTCAATTTTCAATTCAAGTTTACTAATATAGCGCCAAATCATGACAAGAGTCGTCTCAAGGCACTTCACAAAGTAAGCATTCCAATACAGGTCAGTTCATCAAACCAATCAGTAAAACGTTTCCTATATAAGGTTACTTCACACCATGAGTGTGCAGAGAATGCTCTCTGAATATCTGAGTGGACGTGACTTCTGGGGTATTTTTGGTAATGCCCTTTAAACGGGTAAAATTCTGATTTGTTTAAGTTTATAAACAATGAAGGTGATAAAACAGGAATTACTTCCTGATCTAGGGAATCTTCGCCGTTGCCTTGACAAAACCAGTCGGGTGAACAAGCATTCTGAGACCATCCTATATTTTGAGCTCAAGGTCAAAGCTTCTCTGCGAGTGATTTCAGACACAATGGCTCTTTTAAGGAGGGTGCTCGCTGCAGAACTACAAAGGCGGAGCTGCACCAGAGTCAGCCCCGCCCATTCACGCAAACTCAGCCTAGCCCACTGACTTCCGTTTTTGTTTTTCAACTTTATCGCAAACTAACCTGACTCTCATGAATTACGGCTGTTACTAGTTTACAGTCGTTAATGCTATGTTCTGTGCTCCAATTAAACAAGATAAATATAACTTGCTACATGACAAAGTCTGAATATATCCTGAAATGAAAAGGTTTCTTTCAGCGAATATCTGCCCACAGCCGCTCCAACAAAACTCCTGTACAACAACATTTGACAATACTATGAGAGTTCTGGTAGTCCAGTGGCAAGGTCGTTTGACTTAAGTTTTGCTTTCCCCTCAGCTGATGCTGGTTCGATTCTCGGTGGGGTCGGCAACAATCTATTTAGCCAGCTGAAACATTTAATTTGTTCATATTTTAGTTGTAATGTTCATTTTCAGCAAAATATTTATGTCTCTACAAGTTCTTTGAATTTGGTCGTTCCTAAACAGCATTTTAGTTGAAACTCTGCTCACAAATGGACTCACACTGGCTAAATAAACAAATGAATAAATAAAAAAACACATTAGTCATTATATGTTAAACGGCATACCAATAAATTGTTGTAAACATAGTACTGGCAAGTGTAGCTAGAAATGAGGAAAAGGGGTTATAGAATATTTCCACCACTGCGAGGCGAATCTACGCAAAACTGCATGTCAACCTGACACTATAACCACTACACCACCACAACTGATAAAAGTTAGGTGGCATTACATTTGATTGTGCTATCCGGCAAGTCTTTGTAGATGGGATGTATGGTTTATTGGCGGTGTCTCAGTAGTAGTCATTTCAGAAATAATTTGTCAGAAAATTCACAGAATATCCAGATTTGAGAACCAAGACCAGACCCGCTTCGGGGGAGGAGACCAAATTGAAGCTGAGATGGGAAGAAAATGCATGAATGAGGCCAAAAATGGCTTTGGCGTGTTTCTTATGAGGAAATGACAATATAACATGATTAAAAGTTCCAAAGGTTAGATTTTTAATTATATGGAACCTTTACAAAAACTGTTCAATTCACTTCTCAACTCCGTCCCCAATCCTGCATTTTTTAGCTATAACACCCTCTTTGGTTCCAGAATGCTATAAAGTCTGACAACTGGAAGGAATTGGACTGACTATGATAGAATGGGCGGGGCTAATTCTGGAATGGGTGGGGCTGACTCTGGTGCAGCTCCACCTTCTGGTGCAGCTCCGCCTTTGTGGTTCTGCAGCGAGCACCACTTGCTTTTAAGAGCCACCGAACAGCCTTAAATGCAAAACAAGCTTTCCAGCTTCCCGCAGTCACCTGGAGATAACCCAGAGTGGACGGGTCATAATCGGAGCTGCCTACGGGCTCCGGTACCAGAGGTCCACGTCATCAGCAGTGTCCATCCCGAACTCTTGACCCCCTGGATCGCACAGGGATCTCCACACAAGGGTGCGTAGACCAGCACAAATTGTGTCAGATGGTTTTATAAACAAATCTCTAGCTTATCAAACCATACAGCCAAACTGATTTTACAACCCACACTCCACTATCAAACATCTAGCTCACATTCAATCATTCCATTCATCGTCTGTTATCTATACAACTATCATTTCATTCATACTTTGTCATGTACAATCATTTAGTTTAGGAAAATCAAAATAAAATCATTTTTTAACTATATTCTTGACTCTGTATGAATTAATATGAAGTGTGTATGTTCCCTGAATAAGTCAAAGAAACTAAAGTCTTTTGATTAAACGTTCACAGACCAATCAGATTGATATTTCATATTTATATGGAATTATCACATCTTATTGATCATTTAATATATGTGTAGCCAATCCTTAATGCTACATTATCTTGAATAATAATTTAACTTCTGATATTCTGTGTAATCGTTAGTGGTATGAATATAGTGATAAATTGATTTTTATAAACTATATGTTTGCTTCTGCATCAAATTATTAATGAGTTAGTTCCCTGGCTACCCTAAGTGTCTATTTCCTGTCAATCGAATAGGTCCAATAATATTAATGACTCATAGTTTGATGGAACATTATACTTTGTTGGATAATTTTCATATTTTATTGACAGTTTATTAATTGTGACCACTTACAAAACGTTACGACCCTCAGGCCTGTTTGGTGAGGGTCTGGTTTTTGCTGCCCCCTGCTGGGTGTCTGACTTCACTGCAGGGGGCAGAGACGTGTGGACCATGACCCTCGGCGCGTGAGCCCGAGTATGCTTTTGACACAAACACATTTAAACAAATACACGCGAGCGCGAGCACGCGCACACATGCACCCTGCGAGTTTGACCGCTGAAGACTGTGGGGCGTTCAGGGCCCCCGTACCTTCTGGATAATGTTAGACTGAGGGTTCTGGTCTGTAACCCAATCAGAGACCAACGAGACAAACATCCGAGAAATAACAAACCTCACATACACACACGCGCGCGCGCTTACTGCTGCAGCTGTAACCGAAGGGGGTGTAGCCGCTCTCTAAAGCTACATACCATTGTGGGACTTCTGTTCTGGCCTCGGCGCAGGTGTGGACTTAAAGGCTCACTCACCTGAACAGTAGCAGCAGGAGGTCTGAGTAGGACCGCAGCGGGTCGCAGATAACGGCTCAGCTTCAACATTTTACTGGAGACAGAGCACAAACCCAGGACAAGTCGAACAGGGAGGTTAATCTTTTGAAGTAGGAGGTTCCTCTCTGATATCCTCTGAGACAGGAGGTCTCACTCTGATCTTCGATTGGAAACAACTTTTCGTTCAAACCTTTGCCACCAATCATATTCATTTATATGGTCACCACCACAGTGAATCCAGGTGGCTCCAGCTCTACACCAGGCGTCTCTGAGTAAACTTGTGTGGCTCCCAGGCCAGCTGCATTTCTATAATGTTGGAATTTTGTCTCTACAGCAGGAAGTTGGTTTAGATAAATACTTTTAAACATTTTATAGATATAGATATGTCTACTTTAGACCTGTTTGAACAAATATATATATATATATATATTTAATTTTCAAATGTGGAGTCCTCTGTTCTACATCCTCTACTCTCCCACCAATTAGCATCACATTACCATCTCATCGGCTCTGATGACCCATTTCCTGATTTTTAACCACCCCACCACTCCAAGAAGAATCTCAAAATTTCCTCTCTGCCTCCTGTCTTCTCAGAGGGTCCGTACTGTTCTACACATTTCCATTCATTCTTGCTGAAACCCTTTTATCGTACATCACACCTGACATGTTTCTCCACCTATTCCTGCTTGAACACGATTCTTCACCTCTTTTCCACACTCTACTTTGGACTATTGAACGTCCCACTCAAAAGCACTCCTGACCCCTGTGACCTTGAGTCCCTCTCATCCACACATGTGCCTTGGTGTATTATCATCATGAACTGTTGACATGTGAATCAAAGTGATACAAATAGTAATAGTATTTTGTACGTTTGCGTAAAAGAATAAAAAATACAAAATTTTGATTTCCTATAAATAAACCTGTAAGATCCAGTTTTCCTTTCACTTGAAATCATCAACGAGCTATGTCATTGTCATGTCAACCCAGTAATAAAACATTGTCCAGACTAATCTCAGCAGAAATCATTCAGATTACACATATCTGCATTGCTGTGTTTCTACAATGACTCTTCTCAGGGCAACACATGAACTGTCAACTGTTTACGTCTTTGAAGGTTTTCAAAGCTCCTTAGACTGTCAACTGTTTAATTTCTAGATCATGAATAATATTCCTACTCTTTGATAATTATGTGTTTTCTTCTGACAGCGCTCTGTTTGTTTTTTCTTTATACTGAATCTGTTATCTCCGTTTGTCTGATTTAAGTCTATTTTAAGTATTTGGACACCAGGATATATGTGTCAGAGTGAGACCTCGTCTCACCGATGTGGGGTCACACTGTTGATTTTCTTCTGGAACTTTTTATCTCTTTCTGTGTGATTATTCATTGTTTATTCGTGGTTACTTAAGTATATAAGTGCATTACTCTTAATTCATTATCCTAAACAATTAATCGTTTAGTAAATAACATCACACCGGAACCAAAACTTGTAACTATTGTGACGTCACCTCCGTCAAGGAAGTCCCTGCTCTACCCAATGTCATGTCGCCATGCTGAGAACGCTTCAGGTGTGTGTCCGTCGTCAGGTGTGGAGGAGCGTCGGTTCCGTGGCCGCTCCGGTTAGAAGGCGGCCGACGCGGGGCCCTGCCCCCGTGACAGGTCGCTCTGTGATCCGGAACGAGGTCCGAAGCTGCACCGTGGATCCAGACCTGGAGGAGCAGTTCGTATTCTTGAACTGTTTAGGTGGGTGACGTTTGTGCTGCACGATGGTGCTGCATCAGAACCCCAAAACGACTTTTATGGTTCGTTAACATGATCTAAATGTCCTGTATGTGTATATGGCGCGGTATGGGGGCCAAAATTAAGACTACTGCCCAGCAGCAGGAGGCTATATAAATTACGAAGCAAACTACCGGATCTGGTTAATGATAAGCTGGCACCGGTAACTGAGAGGCTGGCGCTGCTTACTGAGAAATAGCACCTTTACCGGCGTTACTACTAGATACGCTAGGGACTAGCAGCCCTCGGCTGGTCATGACTGGATCACACACTCCCTGTACTGTTTATTAGCATGGATAGGCTAGCATTAGCCTGGACAGGCTGGTGTTAGCATCGGAGAGGCTACCGCGCCTTATTTGTATAGCGCCTTCTAGGGTTCTACAACCCCCCAAGGCGCTTTACAACACAACAGCCATTCATTCATTCACACACACATTCTTCACACACTGGTGGTGATCATTGTAGCCACAGCTGCCTTGGGGCGCACTGACAGAGGTGAGCACTGGCACCACCGGTCCCTCCAACCACCCCCAGCAGGCTAGGTGTGTTAAGTGTCTTTTTAACCCTCCCACTGTCCTAATGGGTGTGACCCCGCGAGGAAAGTTGACCATTGAGCAGGATTGATGGTTTATCCCTTGCGGTCCATGTGGCAGGGGTGAGGTGGTGCTCACTCCTCACCCCTGCCACATGGACCTCAAGGGATAAACCATCTACCCTGCTCAATGGTCAACTTTCCTCGCGGGGTCACCTATAAAGACAGTGGGATGGTTAAAGGACGTAACGACTGCAGCAGACTGGGTGGGACGCGATCTCGCATAAAGCTTAGAAGGGTCCTGAGGGGTGTGGTGATGGAGTACGTGGAGTCTGCTGTAGATGTTAGAGAGAGAAGTTCTTTCAGGTGTGTATGTGTTTTACATTCAGTCAGGGACAGGAAGCCAGTGAGGGAAAGAGACACGTGTGTTCGTGCTTCAGAGCTCTGAAGAGACGGCTCTGCAGTGGTTCCGATGAGGTCCAGTCAGGACAGAGCTGAAACTGATTCAGGATAAGTTGTAAACGTGTCTCAGGTGCTGTTTAGATGAGCCAGTGTGGAACAGGTACAGCAAGGTTTGGATCTGCAGAATCACCTTGAGTTGTTCTTGTCTGTCCTGGTCCAGACCCAGAGAAGGATCCTCATCAGGAGGAAAAGCAGCTTCTCCAACAGCTGACAGACTCCCAGACCTCTAGTGGATCTGGTCCAGATGATCCAGTATCTCCTCAGAAACACCAGAGGGGTTTGGAGCGTCAGCTTCAGGTGTTAAAGGGAGCATCTCTCCAGGAGTCGACACTGGATTCCCTCATTCAGTTCCAGGATGTGGACTTCCCGCTAAACGAGAGCATCATAAAGTCCACAAAAAAGAAGAAAAAGCCAAAAAGTGAACAGAAGATTTTTGGGACTCCGGACCAGGACGTTCCAGTTGGGGACACCTGCTGCTACGGCTGTGGTGCCATTCTGCACTGCTGTGTTCCCAGCCTGCCGGGTTACCTGCCCAGTGAGAAGTACAAGGCGCTGCTGCAGGAGGGGGGTTTAAATGGAGCCACCTGCCAGCGCTGCCACCTCATCACGTACCACCACAAAGCCCTGGATGTGCAGCTGTCCCGGGACCAGTACAGAGAAGTGGTGCAGCAGGTCCGAACCAAGAAAGCTCTGGTGCTGCTCATTGTGGACCTGCTGGACCTGCCTGACTCTATTGTGCCAGACCTGCCTGACCTGGTGGGAACCAACAAGCATGTTGTCGTCCTGGGCAACAAGGTGGACTTGTTGCCAAGAGACTCGCCCAACTACCTGCAGCGCATCAAGAAGCAACTGGGCCAGTACTGTCAGGATTCCGGGTTTGGACCTCAGGTGACCGATATCCATCTGATCAGTGCAAAGACTGGGTATGGGATCGAAACCCTGATCTCCAGCCTGCAGCGCTCCTGGAAGTACAAAGGGGACGTGTACCTGGTGGGAAGCGCCAACGTGGGCAAGTCAACGCTCTTCAACACGCTGCTGGAGTCCGATTACTGCAAGTCCAGAGCTGCTGACGTGATCCATAAAGCCACCATCTCCCCATGGCCTGGTTAGTGCCAGAACCAACTCACATTTCACCTCATTTGTTGCCTCAGATATTTTAATGGTTCTGAACCCAGTCCCTGAGCAGCACAACACATTTCACCAATCAGTCAGTTTTCAAGTTGTCTCCTCTTTCTTCTCACTCTGCTTCCTTCAGGGACCACTCTAAACCTGCTGAAGTTCCCCATCATCAACCCGACTCCGTACAGGATGTTCAGACGCCAGGAGCGCCTGAAAGAGACAAAGCAACAGGAGGAAGCGGAGCTACCACCCAAAGAGCTAAAGAGGCTACAGACGCTCCGTCGACATGGATACTTAGTGGGTAAGAGGGGTGGGGTGGGGTGGGGTGGGGGGGGGGGGGGGGCAGGATTACATGAGCCCCTTTTACCTGTTCACCTATCCACCTGTTCAGGTCACGTTGGACGCACATTCCTGCCCAGACAATCCAAAACAGCTGAAATCGAGTTTGACCCGGACAGTTTGGCCTTCAGCGAAGATGACGATGGAAGTTTGACAGTAACCGGTGAGCTGTGATTAGATGGAGAATCTGTGATGTCATCCACTTTGAGCAGCATTATCATGTGACAGTCAGACCATGAGGTGAAGGTGTTAATTGATCAGGTGATTGATAGATTTGTGATCAGCTGATCACAAATCAATATCTTCCACTGATCCTGTTCTTCCTTTAGTTTCCCCGTGTTGAGACCCTCTCTGTCAGGAGGTTCTGAGCCTACTAGTATTTTAAAGCAGCTGTTTTCTGACTCCACCCACAGTTGTCAGCGGGTCACATGATGAACTGAGCCACAACGAGCTAAAGGATGCCCACTGGCTGTACGACACACCTGGGATCATTAAGGATCATGATGTGAGAACCTCATCTTCATCAGTCTGACATGTTGAAACTTTAACTTACAAACAGAACCAGAATCTCATTGAGACTTCACACGTTCAGGCCGAATACCGGTCAGAAGCCGAACCCATCAGGAGACGCATCGATGCTTTATGATTTTCCCCCGAGCTGGATTCTTTTTAATCCACATCTGGACTCTTTTTCAGATCCTCCACCTGTTGCAGGAGCAGGAGGTCCGCTTGGTTGTCCCAACTCAGGCCATCGTCCCTCGAACGTTTGTGTTAAAACCCCAAATGAGTCTGTTTGTTGGAGCTTTGGCCAGAATCGACTTCCTGCAGGTGAGAATGTCAAACCAAACTTAAGAAACGATGAGTTCACTGACCTGAGACCTTACTTATCCTTCGTCTGCAGGGGGGAAAGTCCTGCTGGTTTTCAGTCCTGACCTCCAGTCAAGTCCCAGTTCATGTCACCAGTCTGGAGAAAGCTGACAGCATTTATGAGAAACACGCAGGAGGAGCCCTGCTGGGGGTAGGGTCACATGACGACGACACAACTGAATTCCAAGGTGCTGCATTTGGGCACTGAGTTCAGGTTTTGTAACTTGCTGTTTGTGCTGCATTCAGGTGCCTGTAGGAGATTCTGAAAGGATGGAGTCTTTCCCCTCATTAGTTCCTCAGGACGTGTGTTTGGAAGGTCGAGGTTACCTGGATGCTGCAGCTGACATCACTTTGTCATCAGCAGGTAAACTGTACTCTACAAAGCAGCCCACAGGTCCTACAAGCTGGTAGACCAGCCAGATGTACCTGTCTCACATGTGTTTCTGTATCTCACCTGTCCAGGTTGGGTTGCTGTGACCGCAATCGCGGGTGACCAGGTGCAGCTGAGAGTTCATGGTCCAGCAGCTGCAGGATATGGTCTAAGGACCTCACCACTTCTTCCTCACATTGTGTCTCAGAAAGGACAACGTGTCCATAAATCAGCAGCCTACAAACCTGTGAAAGCTGCAGTAACCCTGGACAGATGGACCGGTGCCATGGCTCAGGGGCCACAGGACCAAAAGAAGAAGAGCTGAGACATCGGGATGAGGACACACAGTGATGGTTTGTTCTGCTTGGGTTTAAGTTCTGCCACCAGTGATCCATGTCCAGGAGGAGCTGTGTTTACCTGCTCTAATGCAATTACACAACCAGATGTGTGTCCGTAGATAATCTCAGCTCCACTTGTTACCTGTCTGTCTCCATGGTAACACAAGCTGTAGACCCACATGTTCTGGATCAGATGAATGATATAAAAGGTGCTCCTGATCATTCAGGGATCATAAAAACTTTCCAAATTATGAAGACTTAGGTGGACAGAAACTGTCCTGTCCTCAGAAGAAAACGGTTCTGTTGGACAGAACTAAGAAAAATCTTGACAGCTCAGCAGCACTGGTTCTGATGGAGCCTTAAACAAGCCCAGGTTCTGATCTTTCCTCTGCTGTACCTGGTGTGTACCACCTCAATAATCCAGTCTGAACACACACCTGAGATGATGCTTAGATTCCTAAAGTCTGCCTCAGTTGTTTATTAAATGCATTCAGAGAACATGTTGGAGTGTGATTGCGTCTTTGTGGAAACATTACAGCAGTTTGGTGGCAACATCTGGATTTTATTACATAGAACAAGGTTCTTATCATTTTTTAAGAAGTTGTGTATTTATGTTGCCACATCAGGAACATCTGTAATCACATCTGTGCAAAGTTACAATTATTTTTACATAGAGATCATCAACTTGTATCAGAACATTCAGGTTCTGATGGGACAGATGTTGAAGATCCTCTGATGTCGGTGTTAACCCCTGCGTTGCTGATGCATATGACCAGACAGGATCAGCTTCCTGTCACACGATGACATCATTCTCCCACCTGTAAGCCAAGACCAATCACATTCTGGATCTGACCCAGTTCTTCCTGACTCCATTAACAATTTTGTTTTTTTGGTATTCTGACTCAAGTTTCCCCTCTGACCATCTGAATCTCAGGAACGAATCTCTGTTAAACGGGACAAAGAATGCAGTTAATCAGCTATCTAAAACACTGCTTTGAATCTCTAAGAAGCATAAGAATGTTCTTTTGGCTTTCATCTGTCCCAGGAGCCCTGATACAGGCCACTAACCCCTTAAATCAGCCTTGCTGTGAAAAGAGCTGTTTACCCCTCCCACTTGCTGATTGGTTGGCTTAAACCAGAAGGCCGCAGACACTGGAGACTGCAGATTGGAGGAGGAAGGGCTCCACATTGTGACGTTTTTATGAGAGGTTTCTCAGGAAATAAGTTTTTCTCTGGTATCTTTAAACTTTCTAATTTACATAAAAAGTAGGTCACACATGACTTAGACTTTTTGGCATGCTACTTTTGACCACCCAAGCTGTCTTTACTCACCAACAACAAGAAAATGTTGGTTTAGATTATTTGTCCCCTTTAACAGAACTAGACAGAACATCTGGATCGGCCACTAAAAGCTCCTGGAGTTTCTGCTGGTTCTGTTTGAGCTTGAAGAGGTTTCTTAGACGTCATATGGCTTCTCCTCTTGGTCCTCCTGCTGGTCTCGGTCCTTCTTGGTGAAGGCTGATGATAGCTCCTGCAGAAGCAGTTCCTGTGAATGTGTGCAGACTCCCTGTGGCTCCTGCCACCTCCTCCCTGCATCTTCTTCACATTCTTCTGTCTTGCTCTTATGCTCCTGCATTTCTGCAGAGCCACTGGGATTTTCAACCTCCTCTAGGACCATCTTGTTGTCCAGATGTCCTTTTTCTGAGTGGACCACCCTGAGCGGTGGCTGGTCTGGGAACTCTAGAGTTTCTGTGGTTCTGCTGGATCGGAAGCTGGTCTCCAAGGATTTTAAAACCTGCAGGCCAAAGTCTCCAACCTCCTCATATAACGGCTCAGGGAGGTCCGAAGGCTCCCACCGCTCCTCAAATGAATCGTGCTGCATCTTCATTGGCTGAAGAAAGACACAGTGAAATGATCAGCACAGGTCCAGGTTCTTGGACTGGACTGAGCTACTTGAACCAAATCCAGACAGGAAATACTCACAAAGTACAAGGAGTGAGACCTCCTGTCATGTAGTTTTCTCTGCAGAGGAAACAAAATATTTGGTGACTTTGAAAACAACAGAACGAGTCTAAACCCGGTCCTACTAATGTGGACTCTTACCAGCGTCTGATTTGCCGACAGCATGCTACTGTTCCTCTCATCTCCTCTGATGGGGACAAGTGGCATCGTCCCAAACTTCTGCTTGGAGATGTCCGAGGAGGAATGGCGGCGCAGCACCGGAGGACCCGGGTCATCGTTCTGGAGGAGAAACGGATCATCTGTAGTCAGCTGCTCTGATCCAGGATCAGAGTTCAGGAGGACTGGTCAACTCACCTGAGCCTTCAGAAAGCTAGTGACCCAGTCCCACATCTCAGCTTCAGAACTGCAGCACAAGAAACTGGAAGGAAGGATGACAGGTGAACCCAGGTAGTTTCAGATGCATGTGGTCTGACTAAACGTGCGGGATATCAGAGGGGGATAGAGCAAACAAGTCAGGAGGAGGTTTTGACGGAGAAACTTACAGCTGGTGTTTGTCTGACATCACTGTAAAGCCCCACCTGCAGAGACATAACCGTTGTCACTGGCATGCTCCAGAACACCAACCCTGCTCAGATCCTGGATCTGCCAGGTCCAATCACAAGTAAACAGCTCTAAGGTTGGTTCAGAGTGATCAGATCTAGGTTGAGTTTAAACGAGGCATCAGCTGATCACGATACTCCACCAATGATCGGATTCATCAAAGATTAAAGATGGCAGAATTTACATTCAACGCAAAACTAACTTTCATCCCAGTCATTTAGGATACTTTCCCAGCTGTTAAAACGACTGTTTACAATCAGCACAAATCAGGTCTTCTAAGACGTGAAGATATTAAATTGTGTACATAACCCCTCCACTCTACAGGCAGCAGCTATTTGTCACTCTGACAGTATTTCAGCCGTATTCTGAAGGATCATCTGACCTACATGATCAGGGTGAGGAACAGTGTTCTGGTGCTCCTGTGGCTCTCCTTTTTAACAGCAGGAGTTGCTAATGAGGAAACGGCAGGAATGGCAGCAGAGGAAGAGTTTTGTATGCTGGAAACTGCAGTAGCTCCATTCATCAAACACAGACATGTAACCACGTTTTAACTTCACTGTTATTTTGTTTTTACTAGGGATGGACAATATATCTGCATCAATATCGGTATCGGCCGATGTTAGTCAGTTTTTAGCATATCGGTATCGGTCCGATAAATAAAACTGAGCCGATATTTCCAACCGATATTTTTTCCATCTTGTTTGCATTTGTTTATCTGTTTCAGTGAGTGGGGGGTGTTGTGTATTTGTTTAGTCATGTGAGTGATTATAATAATCTCAGAAACAAACATGTGTGGTGTGTGTACAATAACGTAAATTCAGCTTTAATAATTTTCATTCTATACAAAATCTGCTGATTTTAGAAGCATTAATATCATATAGTCAAATATCGGTTATCGGTCACGACAGTGATATTAATATCGGATATCAGCATCGGCCCAAATATTTCATATCTGTGCATCACTAGTTTTTACAGTAGAAGACTTTGATGTGACCAGATTTTATTGGTGAAAAGATGCAACAAACCGACGCGTCTGGATTTATGTTTATGTTTATTTATTTGGCAGACGCTTTTATCCAAAGCGACTTACAATTTATAACTTACAGGGCAACTGATCTGATCTTGATCTGTGGGGGAAACCGGAGTACCCGGAGGAAACCCACGCATGCATGGGGAGAACACGCAACTCCACGCAGAAAGGCTGCAGCCGAGTTTCGAACCTGCAACCTTCGTGCTGCGAGGCAACAGTGCTATCAACTGCGCCACCATGCAGCCCAGATTTAACCCCCAACAGCACCAAGACTGCTCATCCAATCACATCATGAGCATCTAAATCGATACAATTGATATGAATCATTCATTTTTAATCTACTGTCTCGACCCCTACAGTCGTCTCCAACTCTTTGTAGCATCACAGGAACCAGCAGAGTGTGATACCTGCTTGGAGCTTTCAGCTTCCTGCGAATGCCGATGTAGATCTTCATAGACTTCAGAGACCACTCCTTCTCTGGTTTGATGCTCTGTACAGGGATACAAATCCAAAGACAATGGTTCTACTGGGTTAAGGTTTTCATTACGAACACAATTCTGACCCTGCACAATTACCTTCTTGTCTTTAAGCAGCAGCAGTTTATGGTCGCGGATCTGGAAGGTTCTCTCCTGAAACCTGGTTCCCTGAAGAAGTTTAGGAGGCTCCTCGCGACACCTCAACAGACCGATCTTCATGACCTCACTTTTGTAGGCTGAGAGAGAGAGATGCCAGATGTAACCATCAGGTGAACTCAGTTCATCCTGCTGAGAGCGACCACCGCCATTTAGCTTATACTGTTAGCATCTGCCTCTACTATTGGGGCAGCTGTGGCTTAGTGGGTAGAGCAGTCTGCCTATTATGCTTCTTTTCCTGAACATGGCTCAGTTCAGTGTGGGTTGCTCTTCCAAGTCCAACTGAAATATGGCTCTAGTGGGTGCCGTATCCTGCTGTGATCATTAGCACCAGTTTCATGACTTCCATGAAAGAGGATTTGGAAAGGAGGCATGTTGGAATAGGTGCTATGGGTCAGGTCATCCTCAGGAAGAATTTTTTTTATGATGAGAATTCTGGTTTAGACTCTCTAGAAGAACCTTTGCTCCAGTAATCAGGGTCCTGAGATTCAGGTTCCAGACTCTGGTCCCTGTCTGGAACCTAAGCCTGCTTATCTAGCTTCTGGTCTTAAAAGCTTGTCAGAGCTCAGGTAAGTCACCTACAGGTAAGTATGTTGATGCCTTCTCCTTTGGGAACCTTCTTCACCACCAGGTAGGCAGAGCTTGGGTCGGCCATCGTGCACCACATCAGGGCCTGCTCCAAGACCTTTTCTTTGGGGTGTAGAGGACGCTCTGAGAGCACAGACATAAACGGGTCAGGAAAAGGTCCAAAGCATAAAGTATTGTTCATGAAGGTCAAACATACACAGGTATTGGTAAATGGGTTGTGTTTGATAGAGCACCTTTAAGGGTTATACAACACACCCAAGGTGCTTCACAACATAATCAGTTATTCATCCATTCACCCACTGGTGGTGATGAGCTACATCGTAGCTACAGCTGCCCTGGGGCTCGCTGACAAAAGGCAAGGCTGCCAAGCACTGGTGCCACCGGTCCCTCAGACTACCACCAGCAGGCAATGTGGAATAAATGTCTTGCCCATGGACACAACTACAACAGATGAGGCTCAAACCTGCAACTCTTCGCTTACAGGGCGGCAACTTAACTCCCTCTGCCACTGTCGCCCATGGTAGGACTGGGACAAATCTAAGTGGGACAAATGGGGCATGGGGCCCATCTACAGGTGTGATTGGTCTACATGTCGACAGGTGTGGCAGTGTCCGCTCACCTAGCTGTCCATCTTCAATGGCTTCAAATGTCATCCAGGCATTTTTTTCTCCATCTGGGACGTTCCTCATGTACAAAACCTGATTTGTTAGCTCCTCGGCACACATAGTGGGAGACACCTGCAGGGTTCAAAGGTCATGTGTCACACCTGAGCTCAGCAGTAACAGGTAATGAAAGTAAATACCTTCAGGGTGATGCAGCAATCTGGGATCTTCATCTCCAGGTAGACTTCAATGATGATGTCACCAGCCTGAGACAGCTGCAGAATCAGACCATCAGATGATAATCAGACAGAGCAGAATGTGACCTCTGACACCAATGCTGAACCTAAACAGGTCCTTCCAAGATGTATGTATGTATGTATGTATGTGTGTGTGTATGTATGTATGTATGTATGTATGTGTGTGTGTGTGTGTGTGTGTGTGTGCGCGTGCACATCTAACAAACCTGTGTGTCCTTCCAGCTAGTAATCAGACTGACTTCCAAATCAATCTGCGTCTGATGCTCCTCATCAATCTGAAACACCATCACATGGGATAAAGATGCTCAGTTTGGACTATCAGAACCACCAGAACCAGGTGTACATTCAGAGTTCTCCCACCTCGAAAACATAAGGGTAGTTGTCTATCAGATCCTCCACAATCTTCACCTCGTGTTCCCCTTTCCCATCTGTCTGGAACAGGCTGGGAGCAAACAACAGTGACAGGTTCTTGGTGCACATCTGGTTCAGGTCTGCACACTTCTGGACCCTGATTTAGAGGAAACGTGTTAGATTGTGAGTGTCTGCAGGTGGTGATGGTGGGGGGGGTGGGGGGTTATTACCTGTACAGATGGCTGACAAGAACAGCCAGAGTAGTCCTGTTCACCCGTGGGAGACTCCCAATAATGTTTTTGTAGCGGTCCAACCGTCCTCGTTTGTCAGGAAGTTCTGTCCCCAGAAAGTTTATCATCAAATATTTTGGTTTATTACATTTCATCTCTACACCTGATGCAGGTGTGTCTGTCTATACCTGATGGAGATGTGTCTCTATACCTGATGGAGGTGTGTCTCTACATCTGATGCAGGTGTGTCTGTCTATACCTGATGGAGATGTGTCTCTATACCTGATGGAGGTGTGTCTCTATACCTGATGGAGGTGTGTCTCTATACCTGATGGAGGTACATCTGTCTATACCTGATGGAGGTGTGTCTGTCTATACCTGATGGAGGTGTGTCTCTATACCTGATGGAGGTACATCTGTCTATACCTGATGGAGGTGTGTCTGTCTATACCTGATGGAGATGTGTCTCTATACCTGATGGAGGTGCATCTGTCTATACCTGATGGAGGTGTGTCTCTATACCTGATGGAGATGTGTCTCTATACCTGATGGAGGTGCATCTGTCTATACCTGATGGAGGTGTGTCTCTATACCTGATGGAGGTGCATCTGTCTATACCTGATGGAGGTGTGTCTCTATACCTGATGGAGGTGTGTCTCTATACCTGATGGAGGTACATCTGTCTATACCTGATGGAGGTGTGTCTCTATACCTGATGGAGGTGCATCTGTCTATACCTGATGGAGGTGTGTCTCTATACCTGATGGAGGTGTGTCTCTATACCTGATGGAGGTGTGTCTGTCTATACCTGATGGAGATGTGTCTCTATACCTGATGGAGGTGCATCTGTCTATACCTGATGGAGGTGTGTCTCTATACCTGATGGAGGTGCATCTGTCTATACCTGATGGAGGTGTGTCTCTATACCTGATGGAGGTGTGTCTCTATACCTGATGGAGGTACATCTGTCTATACCTGATGGAGGTGTGTCTGTCTATACCTGATGGAGGTGTGTCTCTATACCTGATGGAGGTGCATCTGTCTATACCTGATGGAGGTGTGTCTCTATACCTGATGGAGGTGCATCTGTCTATACCTGATGGAGGTGTGTCTCTATACCTGATGGAGGTGTGTCTCTATACCTGATGGAGGTGCATCTGTCTATACCTGATGGAGGTGCATCTGTCTATACCTGATGGAGGTGTGTCTCTATACCTGATGGAGGTGCATCTGTCTATACCTGATGGAGGTGTGTCTCTATACCTGATGGAGGTGCATCTGTCAATACCTGATGGAGGTGTGTCTCTATACCTGATGGAGGTGCATCTGTCTATACCTGATGGAGGTGTGTCTCTATACCTGATGGAGATGTGTCTCTATACCTGATGGAGGTGCATCTGTCTATACCTGATGGAGGTGTGTCTCTATACCTGATGGAGGTGCATCTGTCTATACCTGATGGAGGTGTGTCTCTATACCTGATGGAGGTGTGTCTCTATACCTGATGGAGGTACATCTGTCTATACCTGATGGAGGTGTGTCTGTCTATACCTGATGGAGATGTGTCTCTATACCTGATGGAGGTGCATCTGTCTATACCTGATGGAGGTGTGTCTCTATACCTGATGGAGGTGCATCTGTCTATACCTGATGGAGGTGTGTCTCTATACCTGATGGAGGTGTGTCTCTATACCTGATGGAGGTACATCTGTCTATACCTGATGGAGGTGTGTCTGTCTATACCTGATGGAGGTGTGTCTCTATACCTGATGGAGGTGCATCTGTCTATACCTGATGGAGGTGTGTCTCTATACCTGATGGAGGTGCATCTGTCTATACCTGATGGAGGTGTGTCTCTATACCTGATGGAGGTGTGTCTCTATACCTGATGGAGGTGCATCTGTCTATACCTGATGGAGGTGCATCTGTCTATACCTGATGGAGGTGTGTCTCTATACCTGATGGAGGTGCATCTGTCTATACCTGATGGAGGTGTGTCTCTATACCTGATGGAGGTGCATCTGTCTATACCTGATGGAGGTGTGTCTCTATACCTGATGGAGGTGCATCTGTCTATACCTGATGGAGGTGTGTCTCTATACCTGATGGAGGTGTGTCTGTCTATTCCTGATGGAGGTGTGTCTGTCTATACCTGATGGAGGTGTGTCTCTATACCTGATGGAGGTGTGTCTGTCTATACCTGATGGAGGTGTGTCTATACCTGATGGAGGTGCATCTGTCTATACCTGATGGAGGTGTGTCTGTCTATACCTGATGGAGGTGCATCTGTCTATACCTGATGGAGGTGTGTCTCTATACCTGATGGAGGTGCATCTGTCTATACCTGATGGAGGTGTGTCTCTATACCTGATGGAGGTGTGTCTCTATACCTGATGGAGGTATATCTGTCTATACCTGATGGAGGTGTGTCTCTATACCTGATGGAGGTGTGTCTCTATACCTGATGGAGGTACATCTGTCTATACCTGATGGAGGTGTGTCTGTCTATACCTGATGGAGGTGCATCTGTCTATACCTGATGGAGGTGTGTCTCTATACCTGATGGAGGTGTGTCTCTATACCTGATGGAGGTGCATCTGTCTATACCTGATGGAGGTGTGTCTCTATACCTGATGGAGGTGCATCTGTCTATACCTGATGGAGGTGTGTCTGTCTATACCTGATGGAGGTGTGTCTCTATACCTGATGGAGGTGCATCTGTCTATACCTGATGGAGGTGTGTCTCTATACCTGATGGAGGTGTGTCTCTATACCTGATGGAGGTGCATCTGTCTATACCTGATGGAGGTGTGTCTCTATACCTGATGGAGGTGCATCTGTCTATACCTGATGGAGGTGTGTCTGTCTATACCTTATGGAGGTGTGTCTGTCTATACCTGATGGAGGTGCATCTGTCTATACCTGATGGAGGTGCATCTGTCTATACCTGATGGAGGTGCATCTGTCTATACCTGATGGAGGTGTGTCTGTCTATACCTGATGGAGGTGTGTCTCTATACCTGATGGAGGTGTGTCTCTATACCTGATGGAGGTGTGTCTCTATACCTGATGGAGGTGTGTCTCTATACCTGATGGAGGTGCATCTGTCTATACCTGATGGAGGTGTGTCTCTATACCTGATGGAGGTGCATCTGTCTATACCTGATGGAGGTGTGTCTCTATACTTGATGGAGGTGTGTCTCTATACCTGATGGAGGTACATCTGTCTATACCTGATGGAGGTGTGTCTCTATACCTGATGGAGGTGTGTCTCTATACCTGATGGAGGTACATCTGTCTATACCTGATGGAGGTGTGTCTCTATACCTGATGGAGGTGTGTCTGTCTATACCTGATGGAGGTGTGTCTCTATACCTGATGAAGGTGTGTCTCTATACCTGATGGAGGTGCATCTGTCTATACCTGATGGAGGTGTGTCTCTATACCTGATGGAGGTGTGTCTCTATACCTGATGGAGGTACATCTGTCTATACCTGATGGAGGTGTGTCTGTCTATACCTGATGGAGGTGCATCTGTCTATACCTGATGGAGGTGTGTCTGTCTATACCTGATGGAGGTGTGTCTGTCTATACCTGATGGAGGTGTGTCTCTATACCTGATGGAGGTACATCTGTCTATACCTGATGGAGGTGTGTCTGTCTATACCTGATGGAGGTGCATCTGTCTATACCTGATGGAGGTGTGTCTGTCTATACCTGATGGAGGTGTGTCTGTCTATACCTGATGGAGGTGTGTCTGTCTATACCTGATGGAGGTGTGTCTCTATACCTGATGGAGGTACATCTGTCTATACCTGATGGAGGTGTGTCTGTCTATACCTGATGGAGGTGCATCTGTCTATACCTGATGGAGGTGTGTCTCTATACCTGATGAAGGTGTGTCTCTATACCTGATGGAGGTGTGTCTCTATACCTGATGGAGGTGTGTCTCTATACCTGATGGAGGTGCATCTGTCTATACCTGATGGAGGTGTGTCTCTATACCTGATGGAGGTGCATCTGTCTATACCTGATGGAGGTGTGTCTCTATACCTGATGGAGGTGCATCTGTCTATACCTGATGGAGGTGTGTCTCTATACCTGATGGAGGTGTGTCTGTCTATACCTGATGGAGGTGCATCTGTCTATACCTGATGGAGGTGTGTCTCTATACCTGATGGAGGTGTGTCTCTATACCTGATGGAGGTGCATCTGTCTATACCTGATGGAGGTGTGTCTGTCTATACCTGATGGAGGTGCATCTGTCTATACCTGATGGAGGTGTGTCTCTATACCTGATGGAGGTGTGTCTCTATACCTGATGGAGGTGCATCTGTCTATACCTGATGGAGGTGTGTCTCTATACCTGATGGAGGTGCATCTGTCTATACCTGATGGAGGTGTGTCTCTATACCTGATGGAGGTGTGTCTCTATACCTGATGGAGGTGCATCTGTCTATACCTGATGGAGGTGTGTCTGTCTATTCCTGATGGAGGTGTGTCTGTCTATACCTGATGGAGGTGTGTCTGATCCCTTACTAAGTTCTGGTCAAACCCAAAGTGGACTCACTAGCAGCCTCCCTCCATAGCGGGTGAAGCTCAGCCATGAAAATTGGGTCATCGATCTCTCTGAAGAATCGTTTGAGAACATCAGTCACGTCCTCAATGAAGTGGTCTCCAATCCGTAGTTTGACATTCCGAGCATCTTTACGAAACTCCTCCATCAGCAGTCGGATTCTGGACTTAGCTCCATTCTTCCTGTAGATCCCCTCATGACCGAGACCTGCACAGAGCCAGAAAGTCTCCACCAGTTCCTACGCTGACAGATCATTTCAGATCCAGCTCCTTCTGAAGCCAGACCTCATGATGATATCAGGACTAGGAACATGAAGTCACTGGACCAGTTGTCCACTCAAAGTGTCAGAATTCAGACATCTTTAGTTGGTTCCGGGGTGGATGAGACGAGATGCTGAAATATTCCTGACATTATAGGGGCTTAAACTGACAAAACCAGGACGTAGTTTCCTGGTTCTTGAAAACATTCTACCTTATTTGTGTAAATCTTCTTCTGTAAGAATTGCATTATGTTCAGGCTCTCTGAAAGGTTCTGACCAGAAAAACTGAAAAACACCGGGGAACTGAGGAACCTCCTCATCCTCCTTACCGTACTGCGTGATGAAAGCGATGCAGCTATCCACGATGATAGGAATGTCGTTTCTGCTCATCTGCTGCTCCCTCAGAGTGTTTCCCTTCCCACCAGCTGCCCGCTGGATGTCTGAGTACCACAGAGAAAAATCTGTCCTGCCAACACCCTGCAGGTGGAGAGTCCTGATGAGGAGACCAGACCAGATCATGGAGACAAAAGAGGAATTTATTCATTTTTAATTTGCATTTCAATCCATTAATTGCAAAACCCAACAGGAAAAAAGGATAAAACAACACTGATTATATGTTTATGTATACAGTATAATAAACTGATAAAAGATTTAAAAAATAGGGTTTTAGCTCTAATTTGATATTTCTGAAAGCCTTCTTTGAATAAAGCAGTTTCTTACATATGACTAAAATCTTTTTACAATTCTGTAGGTGTATTTATTTACTTAAAGCCTCTGACACAGCTGATAATTCCTTACTACCTTAATTACAACTCTGTGGGATTAGCGGTGTGACAACATTAGGTGAATAAATTACGTTATGTAGAAGTTACTGAATCCTGCAGTGGAAATGTAACCTGTGGTGTTCCACAAGGTTCGTCGTTTAGAACAGTGTTATTTTAACTTTATGTAAATTATATTTCTGCTCTATTTTAAAGATTGAATTATGACCAGATGAGAAAAATTAAAACAGACATCATGGATCAGTAACACTGTCTCACCTTCCTTTCTCCACCAACACTAGAACATCTTTCTTCTCATGGTTCTCACTCTCTGAGGTGACACCTAAAACAGAAATGCAGACCGCTTTAGTCACAGAACCTGTACATAAGTTAATAAGTGGACCAGAACCAGAACTCGGGCACTGACTCAGCTCTTGCAGTCGGTTCAGGTTGATGATGTCCTCAGCTGCTCCATCATTCTGGGGGCAGATGAACAGGTTGGACTTCTGCAGAACAAAGTAAGCTTCCTTCCACTGCTGAGGGTTTAGCATGGCTCGATACCGGAGGAGTCCGACTCGCTCAAACTCCCGGGTCAACAAGCAGTGACAGCTGAGTGGCGTTGCAGCCTGAGGACCAATAACATCACCTTAAAATTAAGTCCCACAGGAGACAAAGTAACGAAAAGCTCCAGAACCCAAGAGAACCTCAGGAGCATCAAAACATTAGGAGTACCTGGAATATCTGTAACAGCTAATTGCCAACAGGGACTCATACAAGGAGCAAATATTGACTCAAACAACATTAAACACCTGCTAAATTATGATTTGAGTAGAACTGAAAAGTATTGGAAGCTCCCACCTGTCCGATGGCTCTGGTCCAGCTGTGCAGAGCGTCAGCTGTCTCCACCCCAAACAGGTGAACTTTCTCTGAAGTCAAATACAACTCAAAGGTGTATCGAAACCTGAGGAACAATCCAAAGAGACATCAGAGTTACAGTGTGAACAAACACCTGACAGGTTCTCCACCATGCAGAACCAGACCTGTCAATGAAGCCGTTGTTGGTGCTTGATGAATCTGGTCGACTGACTCCCAGACACACCACGTCTCTAACACTGATCTGCATGCAGGGTTCAGTCGAGCGATCTGACTCGTACAGGAGCAGGGACTGATCCACGGAGCACCAGAACTTCTGAAAATCTGATGAAAGGAGCAGCGAAAAGATAAGGTTCTGGTTACGACTTTGATTCCATCCGTTTTTTAAAATAGCCTGATGAAGATCTTCTTCCATTAGCTTCTTCATGTCACTTTTTTAAAACTTTTTTATGAAAATATAAAACTTAGATGTCTTATTTCTGTTCTGAGGTTTTATTCTTCAGAAACCTGACCAGAGCAGGTTCTTCCCACCTTCTCGGGTTTTCCGGGTCAACGTTCCTCTGTTGACGGAGGAGGACTTGTAGAGGAATCCTGAGTGAAGGACAGGCTGCATGATCTCATCGTACACGCTGAGATCTGGATAACAAACCAAAGTAATTACACAAGGGGTCCAAACAAAACCACAGTACCAGAACCTCAAGAACACTGGACAAGAACCACAGCACAATTTACTTTAGCCCATGTTCTGGTTTTTGAACTGATTTATATTGTTGCGTTCTTGTGAAATTTTTGAGATCCTCCTTAAGCCCTTCTGAGATCCAGGTCCTCTGGGCTCCACTAAGTTAGTGATCAAATTACTGAACTAAATATTATATCAGAGCAAGCAGAGTTCTGCTCCAGATACTCTCCAGAAACCAGATGTTGTGGAACTGGATCAGACTGGCTTTCTAATAATGTGGCAGAGATGAACAGATCTCACCTGAGAGGCTGAGGGGATCCATGTGTGCGGCGTGTTCCTGGTAGCCAGCTGATTGGCTGCTACGATTTGCTGATTCTGCCTCTGAGAAAATGTGAGTGACCGTTCTCAGAAGAGTCTGTTCAGAGACGGCGGCACACAGAACCTGGTGGACACAGAAGAACACTGCTTTGATACCTGCTGCTGCTCAAGCTCCAGTGCATTCTGGGTAAGTATCAGCTGCAAGTGGATTTTGGGGATCCAACACGTAATAGGAAGTGAATCTGACACCAGATCAGATAGCAGCGCCTCACCTGAGATTACAGACGAGGTGCTGCTATTGGTACGACCTCTGGAGACAGAGCTAAGGTTTGACCTGCTGAAGAGAGGTTTCACCGTGTCCCAGTTAAAATATACAGAACCAAACCTTACTGGTTTAGAAAATAGGGGTTTTAACCCCAAAACACCTTGTAATCTAAACTAAACTCCTCTCATCTAGACTTCTGGGCTGGTTCTGTCAAACCCCAGAACCTGATCAATACAAACATGGGTTCTAAATAATGATAAATGATCCGCACTTGTATAGCGCCTCTCAGAGAAAGGACTCCAAAGTGCTTTACACTACAGTGCATCATTCATCCATTCACACACACATTCACACACTGATGGTGATGAGCTACAATGTAGCCACAGCTGCCCTGGGCAGCTGGCAGACGCACTGGCAGAGGCGAGGCTGCCGAGCACTGGCAAGTTGGGTTAAGTGTCTTGCCCAAGGACACAACAGCATAATTCTCTGTCCGGAGCCAGGATCGAACCTGCAACCTTCCGAATACTGAACCACCCGCTCAACCTGTTGAGCTACTGCTGCCCCAATAATGCCACAGTAGCCTGTCTGTGACAGAAGCTGCTCCTTAACCCAGAGAGTCTGACCTTCAGCAGCTCCTCCTGGCAGCTGAAACCCGGGTGGGCCAGTCGGAACCGGCCCTCTCTGTATTTCTGAGTGATGAACTCCCTCCGCTGTTCAGGTGAGGCGTCACAGTCCAGCTCCTCCGACACAGGCAGATGGCCCGCCCAGAAATCATTGGCCCGGTCGTTTCCCAACATGATGAACAACTGAAGAACAAAAACGAATGGCCTTTATTCTCAGAACTGCCCCCCAACCCCGCCACCCACAACAGACAACAGGCCTCACCTGGACGATCTCGTTGCTCCACACACTGGTGTCAAGTTTCAGACTCTGAACCTTGGAGACCATTGTCCCCAGACCTCTGTGCTGTCCTGCAAACGCACACACCCACGCACGCACACACGCACGCACACACGCGCACACGCGCACACGCGCACACACGCACACACGCACACACACATACACACACACACACACACACACACACACAGACAGAGCAACTTTAAGTGAAATCTTTCCCACACACAGCCCCACCAAGACTTTTTCCACCAGCCGCCTGCCACTGACGACTTGCATCCTTGCAAGACACACCGACCGCTCTGTTACACGAAGAGGCTGAATATGGCTGCTCTCTGGGCTGCTTTTTCACTACAGTCTGATTTTTGATGTTCACGGACAACATTCATTAACAGATTGAGGATCCCCCCCCCCGACTAAAAGAATCCTGTATCAGGTCCCACCTGCACAGTTCTTGCAGATGACCACACACAGGTTGATGGAGGCCCAGTCCGGGTTCCGGGCCTTACAGTCAGCACATATTTTGTTGGATCGGTTGGACCAGATCTTCTCTGCCACCTCGTAATCTGACAACGTTTCTGCGATCGCATCCTGTAGAGCCTCCATCCAATCCCGCTTATCCCGATCTGACTCGGCTGAGAAACTGAAGAAAATAAAAAAATTTTTTTTAAAAACAGAAACAAATCTGGTAATCGAGCTCACTGAACAGTTATGATAAGTGATAAATTATCTGCATTTTACATCACAGTGAATCACTCATCTATTTACACACACACACACACACACACACACACACACACACACACACACACACACACACACTGACAGATGTAATGCTGCCGTGCACAGACCACCACCAGCAGGCAGGAGGGTGAAGTGTGTCACCCCTGTACACAAAATTAGAGTTCCCTGGAGGGATCTGGGATCTATCGGTAACCCTTCGTTTACTGGACAACCCGCTCTACCTCCTGCTGCCTCAATGGTAACACAACTTAAAGCACCTAAAAAGAACCTGATCAGCTGTGATCCAGACCTGAAGCGGTTTGGTGTTTCAGGTGTTTGTTCTACCAGCAGCAGGAGGATCCAGACCTGGGTCAGAACAGGGAGACCTACCTGAATGTTTTAAACCGAGTAATGAGGTCAAAGCTTCGGTTTTTTCCATCTCGGATCGTAGCTCCTCGAGCTTCAATGACCGTGATTCCAATTCCATTACGGAAACACTAGAAACAAGAAGTGACATCCCACAGTGAGAAGATCATCTGTATCTTTAAAATGTACACATCAAAGCCTTTATTGAAACTGGTCTCAGTCTGGGCTTAAGACCTCGACTGAAAACCTCACCTGTTCGCTCTTGTAAAGCCAGATCTGGTCAGTGAGTATGGCAGTGTAAACTTTGGATTTGGTTCCTTTGAGTTCGAGGGCTCCGTGTTTCTGACAGTGAGGTCCAGGTCCAAAGCGGCGCTGACCAAAAACCAGCTGATCTCGGACATGTTCCTGCAGAGTGGACACCCAGTGCTGCCTCAGCACTGCCACGTAAAACAGAGGTGGCTATCAGTAATCACCATGGCAACAACCAAGTCCTCACAGATGGAGGATATATTTTTACAGACCTTTAATGCAATTAGTTGATTTTATTTATGTAAGATGCAAAAACCTTTGGATCAATTGATTAAAATTGCACTTTATTCCAACCCTCTTAAAATGATGACAACAATCTGAACGTGTCTGTTAAACCAAGCTTAATGGTTTATCTTTATGTTTTACCTCAGTCCTGATGTTTTAATTGTGAGCATCACCTGGTTGCAGGAAACACCTTTATGTAATTGTACTGATGATGTCACTTCCTTGCTTAGATGAGAAACATAAGACTCTAGGGGACTCCTGAACTCACCTGCACATCTTTCTGTTTTCTTATTCATTTTGATGACTGAATGGGTTTATTCAAACAAATTAAATTTACAACATTTTTGTTAAAAATGTTCCATCATTCCTAGAAATGAGTTTAGTAAGTGAAGAGGAAATATCCTAAAACGCTCGTTCACCTTCACTATCAGCCCGAAACACAAAAATCCGCTGAATCGTCATTATTTCAAATTTGTTGTCTTTGGCTGGACGAGCCATCTGGATGGCAGCCAGAGGGATCACTCCTTTAGGGTAGACATCCTGAAAAACAAACAGGTCAAAGTTCAAACGGTTGTAGCAGCATCAGTTCTGTGTGATGTAAAGAAGATGAGAGAAACTGGTTTGGTTCTGATCCACCGGGTCTTTAGATGAGCTGCTAACAGCAGTCTGCTCTTCCTGGTCAGACACGACATGAAGACAGACTCTAGAGGTCAGAAATGACACAGAGACAGATGACAACAAAACAAGGAGACTGACGACTTGAGGGCTGAATCCACTTGAAGGCTTACAACAAGAGGACAGAGACAGCTCAATGGCTTAGAGACGATCTGAGGATCAGGACAACTCACAAATCGACAACAGTGACAGCCCAACGTCATTTGAATAGAGGATAAAGATGACCCAAGGACAGAAATAAGCAAAGGAGGGCAACACTTTGTGTAAAGAGAATGAATTAAGAAGAGAGACAACCCAAGAAGGAAGATGAGTCAAGGATGGAAACTAACCCCTTGACAGAGATGACCTGAGGACTGAGATGACTAACAGAAGGAGATGACACAAGAATGGAGACGACCCGAGAGATGAGTTGGGTCGAGGATTGAAACGGACCAAGGAGAGAGACGACCTTAAGGCTGAGACAACACAGGGATGGCAGCGGCACCAGAGAAGGATCACTGCCAGAACCAAAACACCATATGGGTTTGAGCAGAACAACACTAATGCTGCTTGATTTCCAGAAGATATTTAGTGTTTTAGAAAGGGAAGCAGGAACACGACACAGCTAAGGACAGAAAACCGGTTCCTGTTGTGGTTCTCCTCACAAAGGAACTTTGGTGTTTCGACAAGGTTCCATTGAAATCTGGAGTTTTTTCCTGAAACCAACTGGAGGTTTGATGAATTCTGCAGAAGGAAACTCTGAGCGTTGTCCTGGACCAGGACGGACCACCTGAGTCTTCATACCTTGTCACTGCCGAAGTACATCAGGTTTTTCCCATCAAACTTCACAAAGCGCTTCTGGAAAACATAGTTCCTGAAACAGAAAAACACAAATGAGCACATGATCACCAAGGAACTGGAATTGGTTCCATAAAACTTCATTAAGTCTAACCAAGAAGTACCAAGACACAGCTGGAAGAGAAGGGGATAAACGCACCGAGAAGAAGAGGACAGAGAAGAGACAAGGCCAAAGCAGTTCATCAGGCAGCAGGAAAGAAGAGGAGGAGCAAAGAGGAGAAGACACAGCAGAGCAGTCAGCGCTGACCTCTGAACCCTGACAGATACACACACAAACAAACCTCAACGTTAACCAAACACCACCCCGGTTAAGAAGGTTTCAATTCAAACACACCTCCTGCTGAGTAAATCAAACGTACCTCGCCTTTACCTCGCTGACTGAATCAAACGTACCCCTCCTTTACACTACTGAGTGAGTCAAACACACTCCTTCCTTACCCTGTTGACTGAATCAAATGCATCCCTCCATTACCCCTCTGCATGAATCAAACACACCCCTTTGCCATGCTGAGTGAATCAAACACACCCCTGTGGGGACAGCTTGTCCAGCCAGCCGCTGATGACAGGTGGAGCTCTCTCCATCAGGGAGGTGTAGCTGGCATATGGGGAGATGGTGAGGTCATCTTCAGCCTCTGAAGAGAAGATGTGGGGAGGCAGGGAGAGGCAGCGTGGTGGGGGCGGAGCTTCTCCCAGAGTACTGTACCCCTGAGAGTCTCTGGAGTGTATCGCCTGAGACAAACGCTTCTTCCAGGAAGATTTGTGACTCCTGGATGTTCAAATGGAAACAGAACGTGTGCGAGGGTTACACTAACAGTCCTGGTTCTGGTTCTGGTTCTGTGTGAGTGTGTGTGTGTGTGTGTGTGTGTGTGTGTGTGTGTGTGTGTGTGCGTGCGTGCGTGCGTGTGTGTGTGTGTGTGTGTGTGTGTGTGTGTGTGTGTGTGTTACTTAAATAAACTCTTGGATTTTAAATGTGATAGGTTATTATCAGTTTGGTATCCAAGCATCATCATGAATATTAATTATAATACATTTATGATGTGGTTTCTAAAATGCTTAAACAGCATTGTTTTACCCATAATCCTCAGGTTGTCTCTCATCTTCCATCCTCATTTCTCCAACATCTGATCTTCTCTCCCCCTGCAGAAACAACTCAGACCGTTAGAATATGTCTGCCTTAGGCTGATGAGACGATCTGAAAGAGGGTGATGTAAGAGGAGGAGCTTGTTGTGTCTCACCTCAGTGAAGTGTAAATGTTGCCTCGTTTGAAACACAGCTTCACAATATGGACTGATGTCCTCCTCTGGGTCCTCGGTGGACACTGACCGATTATAAAAAGGATTTAGGAACTGGTTTAATTATAAAATGTGTCTTACTGACTGACTGAGGGCATGACTGTCTTTCTGTGATTTTGTCTACTGGTCTTACTCGCAGCAGTTGTCCAACAGGTATTCCAGCATCATGTTTTTACATTATAACAACTTTCTATGCAGCAGGTTAAAAAGTCAATAAAAACATCAGATCAATAACTTAGGAGTTCACTTTTGAACTTTCAGCAAAGACTCCCTTAGACTCCCTATGGTACATCTAAGGAAGTACTTAAGAGGTTTAATTTGAAAAGTATGGGAACAGGATTTGTGACCTCACCTCTGGTTGACCCAGAAGAGTCGTTACTCAGAGATCCTCCACTGAAAACAAAAACAGGTTCAATCAAAACCACAGTAATAGAACTGGATCAGAACAATACAGCTGGACCTTCATTTCTCTCAGAAGATCCTTGGACCTGAACCAGTACCTGATTCTAGATAAACGACATACATCAGAACCAGAATCTGGACAGAATCTAACTGAGGACTATACTTGATGAATGCAGGTAATAAAAACATTTGAACATCTTTATGTACATCGTAACGATGCTGAGCTCATCCAGGTCAGCTGATCGTGTTAGCAGATTCAAGCTTGTATAGTTGGATCTTTCCACCCACCTGTTCCGATCCAGAGCGTTTCTGAGTGGAGTGGGAGGAGCAGTCTGTGAGCTGCTATAACATCTCCTTCTTCTGGAGGCAGCAGAGCTAGGGGAGGAGCCCCAGTAGATCTCATTAGATACCATCTCCATACCTCTTCCTCCAGGAGAACCTGGGGATTCAGATACCCTGGTTTTGTCCGGACTGCTGGCTTTAGAAGACGGAGAAGTTAAAGGTTGTTTCTCTTCTGACCTCACAGACGAAGAGGAAGAGGAGGGTGGGGTCACAGAGTGTATGGCACCACGGTGCAACCTCGGAGGAACTGGAGGTACAGATCCTCCAGCATCTGACAGAGACAGGCTGCGGCTGGGCCGGGTCTGCCCCGTCCACCTAGGTCTCCAGCTGTCACGATGGACAAGTGAGGTCTCTGAAATCAAACCAGAGGTAGGCGTGGCATCCGAGGCCGAACTAGGAGTAGGTGTTGTCTCCGAGGTTAAACCCTCCAACACAGAGAAGCAGATGGACTCCTGGGACAGCCTCCTGGACATCGGTACGGCTGAATCCACTGTGGGACATAAGTTGACTGGGGCCGTCCTGCGGCGGTTGAACACAGTTCTGGGTTTGGGGATGGGCTTTGGCGGGACTCTGCTGCTGTCAGAGTTCATCAACAGTTGAGAACTGGTCTCAGATCGGGCTTCAGGGCTGTGACCTTGCTCTGTCTCTGAGGGACAACAGTCGTATGAGGGATCTGCTTTCTGACTGACTTTCTGACCCTCTGACCTCTGGATGTGGCTGATCAGTCTTATGATTCTCTTCCTGTGTCCCGTAGCAGTTATTCCCAGACTGACCAGGGCATCATGATCCAGGTCAGTAAAGTCCTTTGCTGATAAGAGGCTGGCTCTGCGGCAGATGTCCAGGTACCTGCAGGGACAGTAGAACCTGATCACATGATGGATCAGCTGTCTGCTACAGGTTCCATCTGTAAGTTACATTGTTTATACCTCTCTAGGTGGATTGCTGCCAGAAGCTTCTCAACCGGCGTGCTTACATCCAGAGCTGCCATGATGACCAACATGGAGTCTGGGTCAGGCTTTATCTCCTACGCATGCAGGCAGTTGTGTGGCCCTCGGGGACCTACAGCAGGTACAGGCAGTGCTGGTCCATCTGTAGAAAACCAAATATATCAGAAATCGGAACTTAGAGCATCTTTACTGCAGTCCCACATCTCCAGCTCTCAAAAATCTCAGGAACCAACACCCAACAAAACAGTTCAGGACCTCAGAACAAGGCTGACAGCTCTGTAGCCAGATCTAAAAGAAAAGAAGAATTAAGAACGATGTCAGAGGCTAACAAAACAGACTAACCTTTGACCTCTGGCAAGCAGAAACAATACTAGTTGTTTATTGAGGGTTTTCATTTGAGCTGCCTGAGCCCTGGGTATTGTCTGTAGGCTTCAACATTAGGAAGCTTTCAAACACACTGAATTTTAAAGTTTCTCCTGAGGATGAACCCTCTTGTAAAATAAACTAAAACAAAACTAAATAACCCTCTAATCCAGCTATTAGATCAAATGAATTTGTATGAGTATCTACTACCTGGCTGCCACACCTGTCCACGGGTAAACACTGCAGGTTCCTGTGAAAATCCCAGACTGCTGCAGGCGGAACTGAGCAGAGTCCTCTCCAGGAATGCTTCAGGGCTTAACTGGACCCCTGCCGAGTCTTCAAGGTGTATACAGTCTTGCTTGTTGATTTCTTCACGGACATGCTCAAACTGGAGCAGGTGTGGTGAAGTTAGATGATATCCCAGGTGGGGGTGTTGTCAATGAAAGTGAGAGGGCCTACAGGGATGAGGGAGAACATTTGTCTTTTTTGTGTGAAAACAACCTGACCCTCAACACTAAAGACCACAGAATAATGGTCTACAGAGGACTGGAGACATACCCACCACTGAACATCAAAGGCTGGGAAGTGGAGCATGTTCACTTTGACTCGGTGCGAGTCGGATTTCAACCCAAAACCTCCATGACTCAGAACCAGCAGCTAACGAATGAACAGAACTAAAGACTCCACAGCATCAGCCTATCAGAGGACAGCAGTGTCCAGACGAACAAAGGCTGAGGAGGAAGTGAGTCAGAGCAGCTTCCTAATGTTGACCCATTTATTCCTGCAGACTCCGGCTGCTTCTGTTCTGATCTCAGATCAGCTACAGTGGCTACGCAAATGAGCTGTGCCTCCGCTCAACCAAACAACAGTGTTCTCTGACAGCTTCCTCGGGTTACCGACTCACGTGACTTTGTCTGTCATTAGCAAACATTTGTTCCATCAGCTGGACATTCACCAGGAGCGTCACTCAAACACAAACTGAAAGGCAAGGAACCCAAAATAAAGCCATGGGGTGCTCCAACAATAATATGAACACTTTTCTGATGATCAAACATTCTTGACCGAAAGCATCCAGAGGATGGTTTAAGGCTTGCACCGGGTCAGGATCATGAAGGTTCCCTGAACGTCCATGAGGTCAACCATGTAGAATCACTGACAACCACGTAGTATGTAAATAAGTCATCTTAACAGGATTTAAATCAATAAAGTGCTTAACATTAAAAACAAAATAAATGAACATAGAACACAAAATAAAATCGAGGACATTAATAAAAAACTGATAAAATATTAAATCAAACAAACAGTCAATCTAGTTAAAGGACTATCTAAATTAACGATTCTACAGCTGTTTAAAGAGCAAGTCACCCCCAAATCAACTATTTTTTTCTGATAAACTATATAAATGTGTGTCTAATCGTGCTGCAGACACGTGTCGTCAATAGTTTTGCACTTTAGTGCATTTTAGTTAAAATTAAAGTTTTCTGCCTGAAACTGTCAGTGTTGTGCCGTCGTCAGGTAAAAACTCTTCACTGCATTTGAATTTAAATCTGCCACCGCTATTGGCTAAGAGGTATGCTATGATGTAAACTGGTACATTATGATGTCACAATGTCGTGAGTGTGTGTGTATTTGTTAGTGGCTCCACCCTCTCGGTCTGCTAGGCAACAGCATTTGTTGCATTTTTCAAACATGAAGTGGGAGTGAAGTACGCTTCTTGTAAGGGGTGACTTGCTCTTTAAAGGAATAAAGTTCAAAAAACAACGTAAAGTTGGAGGCAATGATTTTAGAGCCACTGCTTTAAAAGATCTGTCTCATCTTGATCTGACCAGACTAGACTAGATCTGGTCTAGAGCCACAGAGGACCATATAGAACTACATAGGACCATACAGGAGGACTGTGGAAAACCAGAGAGCAAGGAGTGGTGTTTAACCCTCTGGAGGCAGGCGTTGCACATTTGCAACAGTTAAGACCTACCTACCTGGTTACTCCACATACATATTTCATGAGCATTTTTAACTCAGAAGTACCCCTGAAGGACTTAGTTGTTCGTCCTTTTATCTAAACTTATTTTGAGCCTGAGAGGGTCAAGGGACCAGCGTTGACCTGCTGATAGTTCTTTGTTAACAAGAGTCAACTCCTAGATTTGGATCTTCAATCACTAGGAACCTTCATTTCAGAGGGACTCACAGTCAGCCACATATCAAAAAGACCTGAGGGTGTCTCAGGTTTAACCTTAGCAGGTCAGAGGTCACCCAACAACAGAAGTTCTGCAGGCTTAATCTAGGAGAAAAAGCTAGAGAGGAGTTAGGAACGAGGCAGCAGGCAGGAAGTCTGTAAGAGCGAGGAAAGGAAACACAGCAGGAGGATATGGACACTCCTATCCGACTTCCACCTCACAGAGCAGATGGAAGAGTGGTTACACAAAGGGTCCAGTTCAGACCTAAGGGTCCAAACCTAAGGCCAGATCCTGGGGACAGAACCAGGAGACAGAACCGAGGCAGCCCAAATTTTAAAAAGTCTTTCACTGAAAAAACATTTTTTACTTATTATGTTTGAAAATGTTTGGTGACTCCGAGTTGAACATGCAGGCAGAATGTGTCCTACACCTATTTCCTGCATTAGCTTCTGATAGAAAAAAGATGGTGAAATGCTAGGATTTGAAAAGTCTGACTGCTCTACGTCAAGCTGTCACCTGAACTAACCCATCTCAGCTCGCAACTTTTGAAAGCTGTTGTTGGTTAGCGTTCAGGAAACAGCAGAGAACATCTTGACTAGTAGAAGCTAACCGTGAGCATTAGCAACTCAACCACACAGCAGAAATACTTCACGCTTGTGGAGATAAAACATCAACGTTGCAAAGCAAACAGAGTCAGTGGTAGAGTCACGTTGCTGTTAGCCAATCCAAGGTGAAACGTCCAAATATCAAGGTTGCTGTTAGCCAATCCAAGGTGAAACGTCCAAATATCAAGGTTGCTGTTAGCCAATCCAAGGTGAAACGTCCAAATATCAAGACAGACTCTAAATCCTGTCGTCTAAAGCTACTTTCTCCTCTGGCTGAATGCTCCATGCTGACACAGGCACATCAGAGCACACACACACACCACAGACATGATTCTCCACCTTCAACATGTTGCCAAAAAAAAAGATTTCAAAATGAACAAGACATTCCTCAGCCTAAATCATTTTGCTTCAGTAAGTGTCTGTCTAGATTTCTAGGCTACAACCCTGGTGTTTTTAATCAAAACAACTCTGTATACTCCTAAACAACACACAGAAACACACACTCCTCACCCGGCCCTCGTCTCTGAGCTGTAGTCAGCTCTGTACCGTTGCAGCAAAACAAATCACAGGATACATCTGTCCTCCAGGAGGATACACACTGGGACCTCATCAGGATGTCCTCAGAGACAACTTCCATTCCCAACAGCCTACTCTGTCCTTCAGACCCCCTCATGAATGTAATACCAAGATCACAAACTTCTTCATCATTAGCATAACCATCATCGCGGTTGTCATCATCATCAGCAGCAGCATCAGCAGCAGCATAACATCATCTTCACCATCATCATCATCATAACAATCATTAGTCAAAGTTACCGTAAACTTTCATTAGTCATCATCACACACTGGTGAAATTACATCTCCGCGTCTGACCCATCCCCGTGGGGAGCTGCAGAAGCGGCTGTGCTCAGGAACTATTTGGTGGTTTAACCCCCCAGTCCCACCCCATAAAGCTGAGAGTCAAGCAGCGAGGCAATGGGTTCCATTTTTTGAGAGTCTTTGGTCTGACCCAACCAGGATTTTGAACCCCGATCTCCCAGGGCAGACACTCATACCACCACGCCATCATCATCAACCATTACCACCACCATCATCATCCAAAACCTGTTTATTAAATCAGAAGCAGATCAGATGTTTTTTGGTCAGAAGGGTCCTGTCACATTTCATTTGAATTCTGTCACTGTGACATTGGAGTGTAGCAAATATCACACGTTTTTTTCTGGTGGAAATAGCAAGATCAGGCTTTGACATGGGTAGCATCATTATTTAACCAGTGTTGTGGTGACAGATGTCATGCAGGGTCACTTTTGAACATCAGACTGGAACCTGATGGAACTTAAAATTTAATTATAATGAAAACAACCAAAAAGAAAGGTCTGGTCTCAGAGGAACATTAGAACTGAGCATTAAAACCTGAAAGTGTAATGTTACAGATTTGGTCTGAGGGGAACGAGAGAGAGCTCACCTCTAACTGGGAGTCAAACCCCAGACTCCTCCTGCTGCAACCACAGAACTACTAGGCTGGTCTGGATTCAAACCTAACTTTAAACTGACTAGATTCAGAGTTTACCCTGACAGATCACCGTGGTAACTGTGTGATGCTGCTACTGATGATGAAATATGGTTACAACTACTGGTGACCAGTTCAGACCAGACAGACCACTAAAAGCCAGCTCAGACCAGACTGCAATAAACCAGTTTCAAACAGGCAGACCACTATAAACCAGTTCAGACCAGAAAATAGCAGCACAAACCAGGTCCTGGTCATTCTGGTTCTGAATGCGAGCTGAAAACTGTGAGGCAGAGAGCATCACGGGAGAACAACGGGGAGTTGTCATGTGATAAACAGAGAGATGATTGTTGCTGACTGTGACTGGAGCCCACTGGGAACACTGGCAGCACTGGGACAGAGCAGCCCATCAGCTGTCTGCTGGGTCCTGGCTCCGGCTTCAGGAGCTTCCTGGTTGTTCGGACACGTTCCCGTTTACTTTGGTGTTGTTTGGTTTCTGACTTCCAATCAGAGAATTTATCATGTGAAGATCCTGACCACTAAACCTGTTCATCCCTAAACCACATACAACCAGTCAGTGAAAATGTCACTGATGACCACTATTAAATCCCGCCCACAGCTGCCAGAACAGAATGTTGATTGGTTGAACTTTTTTCAGACCATTCAAAGGCAGATCAGGTAGATTTACTGGCGAATCAAAGAAGTATTCAGCTGGAGGTTTGGTTCTGACCAGCAGATGAACTGAGCTAGTTCCAAGTCAGCTGACATCATGACAACAGATCAGTAGGTGCAGATGTGGGGTCAGTAAACAGACAGGATGCGACATAACAGACTCTTTGTTTTTCTGGGGTTTTCTGAAGAGGAAGAAGCTTCAACTCACTTCCTGTTACACACACACACCGTGCGTTGGAGTTGGTGTGTGCGAGTGTTTGTGTTTACTCATTTAGCAGATGTTTTTAATCAACTTACATGCATATTTTGGTCTTTGAAAAGCAGAGCCAGGAGAAAATCCATGCATGTATGAGGAGAACTCTACTGTTAACTCTACACAGAAAGGCCACAGCTGGGATTCAAACCTGCAACTTTCTTGGTGTGAGGCAACAGGGCCTCCATATTTGCCACCATGCAACCATGTGGGAGTGTGACTGAGTGTTCATTTGACTGATGTGAATCTAAATAAACAAATTTACACGACTGTTGTTAGTTTGACTAACACGAGCTAAGAGGAACCCCAAAGCAAGGCACTGCGACCTGAACGGTCAACCCTGTCCACACCTTCAGACTCTGGCTCCTCCCATTCCTTCTTCCAGATGTTCCAGCAGGCTGGATCTTACATGTTCTCAGCTCTAAATGATCTAGTTAAGCTGGTTCTGACCTAGTTCTAAGCAGACCTGTATGTCATTTCTGTTAGTGTTTGTTCTGTTTCCTGTCCACCTTCTGAGGTCTGCTTCCACCAACCTGGGTCCAGATCTAAACTGGAGTCAGGTGAAGTTTGGAACTAGACCTCGCTGGTTTAACAGCTAGAAGAAATATACTGGTGCACAATTTCTCAAACCTAAAAGTTGCCCACATCACAGCTGAGCTTCAGATGACAGCTTTTGGAGTCTTATTTCCTGATATTTGGACATCTCGCCCTGGACTGAATAACAGCAGTGTGACTCTACCATTGACTTGCAACGTGGATGTTTTATCTCCACTAATAACGCAAGTCTGGAGGAGTTTCTGCTGTGTGGTGAAGTTGCTAATGCTAACGGTTATCTTAAACTAGCCAAAAAGTTCTCTGCCAATTACCAGACGTTAGAACAACAGCCTTCCCCATTGCGAGTCAAGAATGGTGAGCCCATGATGCTAATTCAGTGTACGTAGATCTGTGAGGTTTTTCAAAGCCTAGAGTTTCACCGTCTAATTTCTCTCAGAAGCTAATGCAGGAGATAGGTGTAGGAGATTATTTTCATTTCAGCTTGCATGAAAAACTCAGAGTGATAATCAGAAAAAACATTTAAAATGTTTTTTCAGTAAACCACACCTTTAAATCTTTGAGTTTGTTTCACTTTCACTGCGATTAATTTTACACAAAACCATCGCCATCAACATAAAAAAAAAGTCAGATTAGCAGGAATAACATGAGATGATTGGCTTTCTTCCTCCTGAAGGTTTTCTGTTTTAGTCAACAGACAGTTAGAGCAGGTCTGAGCACTTTAATGTTTGATTCAACTGAGTTCATAAACACTTTATAAACATGGTTGGTTTCTCCTCTAATATCACAAGCTGCGGTTTATTGATGCTGGTTGTGTGTTCTCCAGAAGTGCAAACAAAGACAGTTGCGGGTATTGTTAAAGTCCTTGTTGGCTCTCTGTCTGTGGAAAAATCAAACCAACAACCACCAGTTTCAGCACCAGAGCCTCTCTAGTGAAGAATCCGGCAGATTCACCTGTTCTAAATTTCTCGGGTTCCTTCAGCCTGTCATTGGTTCTGAATCAGCTTGGGGTTATTATCAGAATGACCCTGAAACTACTTTTAAACCTGTGCTGTTTTCTTCTGGACGCGTGTGTTTCTCGAACACCTGACAGCACAGACGTCCTCTGGCTCCCCGTCCCCGCCCCGGGTCCAATGAGCCCGGGAATGGAACAAACGCTCCAGCTCCTGCAGAACTCCCACCTTCATTAAAATACAGAATCAGCCCTTCTCACCTCTGATCCGGTTCGGTTCGGGTCCTGATCTGACGTCTCTGAGGGTGTGGGTCCCGTTAAAACAGCCTGTAAAGTCCACAGCGGGTTTCGGTCAGACCGGGAACTCTGGGAGGAGAGTCGGTGTCCTGACAACCATCTACACTGAATGAAAACTGCTGCAGCTTCCGGAAACTTTCAAAATAAAGTGTGAGATGGGAAAACGCACTTCCGGTTTGACCTAGCTACGTGTACAAATGTTTAAAATGTCAGAAGGAAAGAGCTTACTCACCCACAACTTTTAATTATAACGTACACCCGCTATTCCTACAAGGGCCAGCAGTAATTTTGGTAATAAACTATAATCAGAATAAAGGCAGACAATGAATTCAAAGAGTTTATAACCCAGTTTTGGATTAGAATTTTTTTATTACAAATAAGCAAGAGGTAAGAAAATCTTTGAACACATTAAGTACGTGTTTATCATCCATGAGGAGACCTCTGAAAGTAACCAGGACTCAGGAGAGATTACTTCCCTGCATTCACAACTCCAGACTTAAAGTGGTTTCTTTTTCAGTTTGCTCCTTGCAAAGAGGTTTTAGAGAGAAAAACAAAGATGTTCAAAAAACAGTTTATCGTGCTTCTAAGCAGACGTAAGTTGCAGAGTTTTTCAATAACCAACCGGCGGTTTGGTAAGACATGTCAGCAATGTTGTCTGAAAAATATGGAAGATATAAACAGGAAAAACACAAATATCAGGGTCACATATCATGGCCTATCTCACAGCTGGTCTTAGAGTGTGTTGAAGTCCCTCTGGATGAGACCACTGGAGAGAGGGAGGTCCAGGGATCTCCACTGAGGCTGTAGCTCCCATGACCTGGTTCCAGATCAGTAGCAGGATATGGATGGATGAAAGGGAAGGAAATGTGTTGTATTATTTCTTTATAGTAATAATGCTTTTCGGACCTAAATGTGAAATCACTGGAAAGCCTAATTGTTCTCCTTCACCACAAGGTAGATCCGCACATCACTGCCCACCAATGGAGCGAATGTCCTGGTGGACACTGTGTCCTGTCTTATGAGCGGTAAGAAGCTGGATGATGGTGGAGTTTCCTCCTTGCTGCCCAAACAACAATCAGAGCTGAGCAGAAGGGAAACAGGAAGCGGCTGAGACAATACAGCTGCATTCTTCAGCTGCTGTTGGAGGAAACATAAAGTTTCCCATCAGGGCAGGAAGGGATTAAAACATCACACATCTCCACAGTCACGTGGTCTACATGTTTCCACAAGAGGTTAAAGGTCATGGGCCTCCTCTGATGGCCTTCACTGCTACAAATGCTGTTCATGTGTGTCTGAGTTCAGACTAAAGAGAACAGGAAGTAGACAACAGCTGATGAGCTGAGCAAAACAAAACAAATATGAAAAAATACTTAGACCTTTTCATATGTTTGTGTACATAATGAATTTTCACATTTCAAATAAAAATGTAACCCCCTTTCATTCTAACCCACACAAATATTAGACTGTATAGTTAAATTGTTTGACCTCCAGAGGGCACTGCAGTCTTCTCTGGCAGAACAGAAGGTTTTTATGGCTTTTTTTTTCAATAAATCTCCTGTGTGTACATTAATGAGGATAAAAAGGAATTTGATTTTAGCAAATGGCTGCAATGGTCTGAATACTCTCTGTACCACTGTAATTCTGACTAAGCTGTATGGCGTCAGAATTCCGCCATATCTCGTGCACGCGTATTGTCCACATCGCGCGTGCGAACGGGACCAGCGCGTGGAAGTTAGAACCTCCACGAGTGAAGATATACATGGCGAGGAGGTCATTTGTTATGGAAAGCCAAAACTGCCAAAATACGCCACTTTCCCAACCCGTCTAGTTAAGAGATGGCGAAAAAAAAACGCCGTTTGATGTGTCAAGACATCATAAAATATGGCGAAAACTCTCCCAGAACGCCGTATTTGACGCCAGCTAGAGCCGTTCTTAACTGTCCCGTAGAGCGCCCGTAAAAAACGACGTTTTTCTCCGGACATTGAACGCCGTTTTTTACGTCACCCTAATCCCAGACGCATTCCCTGTGTGGGTGGCGTAAAAAACTGTGTTATGTACGGACATTGAACGTCGCTTTTGTCGCCGCTCTGTGACATAAAATGCCGTTTTTAACGCCACTTTGTGACAGTTTTCACGCGTTTAAAATTCAGCGTTACTCTCATTTATGCAGAGCCCTCCCCATGGGTTTCTCATCCACTTAATTTAAACTCCAGTGACCCAATGAAAGAAGAGGAGGCTGAGGCAGCACTAATTCATCCCAGATTCGCTGGGCTGTCAAGGGTGCTGCAGACTACTGTTTTCTAATACAACTCTGCTCTGTTTCAACTAATTTCACTGTATAGATAAAGCCTTAAAATGTAGTAATATTATCAACAATGTGTCAACATTATTATTTTTTCTGTCTACCTGTAAAAGGCAGAAACACCGCTTCAGTCAGACCTGATGATTACTTAAAAGTGTGGCCACTAGATGGTGCCACGTATCAGTCTGTCCTCGTTTCGTGGCACTTGAGGTCTTGGGTGATGGTGGTGGTGACCAGGAAGTGACATGAGTCCACCATTGCATGGGAGTGGGGCTGTGTGATGATGATGATGGGTGCATCACTTTATCTGCCTCTCTCTTTATCCTGATGCACCCATCACTCTGAAACTCGTCAGATCAGTTTTTAATAATGCATTGGACAGCTCTTAACCCAGTGGTAGTCATTTCCACAATCTCCTTAGATGTTTTCTCTGCTCTATGCATGCCAATGATCTGTCTGCAACAGACTAACATCTTTTCCACGACTACCAGATGTTTCTTCCCACATGGTTGTTTAAGACAAGAGAAGCAGCTCATTGCACCAGTTGGGGTTAAATAACTTGTTTCCAGCTGAAAGATAATCGCCCATGCAGTAATTATCCAATAGGAGGCTGCTATTAGCTTAGCTTAGCTAAACCCAGCCTCCATTTTCTCCTCGACTGACATGATGACAGGACCAACTGTGAGGAGGAAGAAGTGTTTATTTCATTTTAAACTAAATGTTTAAATCAGAGTAACTTCAAAAACAGACCAGAATTAAGATTCTCCACCATCAGAAAGTCACTAAACCAACCGGCTGTAGAATTCTAACCAACCTGCAGGACGACACACTTTCTGAGACGCAGATTGGATTCAGGTCATTTAACAGTGACCCTAACCCCACAACAGGCATTTAGTCTTTTACATTCTCACATTAAAATGTCTTAACAGTGACATTGATCCATTAAAAATACTGATATTAAAAAAACAGTTTTCTCTTACTAAGGCTTGATGGCAGCCAGGCTGCAGCTTCTCTGTGGGATTACCATCTAGAGTATAGGCTGACATTTAACAGCAGGTTTCTCCAATCAAAGTTTAGCTGACCTGAAAAGTTAATCAGCACGACCCAAACCCACCATAACAGTAAGGCTGGGCGATATGGACCAATACGTACATCTCAATATCTTTTTGCTGAATTCCGATATACGATATATATCTTGATATTTTTCCTCATGTAAAATATTTACAAGTTAACTCACTTCAAGCTGTCTTGAAAAATTATATACATAAATCAGTAGATTAAATGCATGAAAATGTATTGATTCTTGTCAAACTTTAACCTTAGTGCCTATTCTCTACCAGTCTGAGCTTTAGAAACACAGGTACAGCTGCCTGTTAACATACACACACAGTTGAGAGCTAGAGGTGTATTAAATGTCCCACAGGCACTTTTTAATTATATATTTATATGTTACGGCTGGAGCCTTTTTGTGTTGTGATTTCATTTTTCCGTGCATTTTTATGCTGCATCTGAGGAGCCTGCCTGCAGGCCTGTTTGCTCACCCTTGCTCCTCCCTGCACCAGCTGAGCTGGGTTTTCATCAGCCGCAAATTGCTTAAAGGACCTGCTGGAGCTCCTCACCAAGGGGGACAATAGTGCAGAGCTGTCTTTCCTCTGGTCTGTTGTCTCCCACTTAGAACTTTGATATTGAAGAAGAAGAAATAAGCTTTAGGGGTAATCTGTTACCTTAGATTTTGTGCTCTCTTTAGAGTTATGTTACAATTTAGTATTTGAACCTGTTTTGGTTAAAGGGGTTTTTGATCCATGGTGGCTTGTTTTCTGGAGTAAGACAAAAAAAAAGAGAAAAGTAAATAAAACTTTTGTTAATTTTCCTTTGTGTCACGCGTCCTCCATGTTACCCCAGGCCCCTAGACACCTGGTTGTAACATTATAATTATTGTAAAAATATTTAAACTTCATCATATTGTATATTTCTTGTTCAGAGAAAAAAAAACTATCATGTTAAACTAAATGTAGGATGATGTAATGCATCTACTGAAGATCACATGGGTCATGCAAACACGGCTGGAATCTTAACAGTGTTGGCTCATATAAGCGATTATACTGTAATGACTCAGAGTCTCTGGTTGCTCTTTTATGAGTATTATTTTCAGGCTACTGTCGCCGTAACCCACGCCTTACAAACTCTTAACTTTATCAACAGAATCGCTCGTAAAGGACCATTTACTAGCATAGCAAACCAGACCAACTACCCCTGACTGCCTCCCGGAGATCGGGGCGGGGCTAAATGTGGGCGGGGTCAAACGTTTGGAGGTGGGCGGAGACAACTATTTGACTCCTGGGGCTTGGTTTTAACCTATATTCTAATAATCTAAGATGCTAAATTTGGGATTTTCAGTTGTCTTTGTGTAATTAATTCATATTTAATACAAGTTTTACTTTTTAAAAGAAATTACTGAAATAAGTCAACTTTGTCATGATATTCTAATTTTATGAACAGTACCTGTGTGTGTGTGTGTGTGTGTGTGTGTGAGTTGTAGTTGATGGCTACTTATACTGAGGCAGGATCCTCTGCAGGTTTCTTCCTGTTAAAAGGGAGGTTTCCTCTCCACTGTCGCTGTATGCTTGCTTAGTATGAGGATTGCTGTAAAGTCACTGACTAGTGTCAGTCACTCGATACAATTTGCTGGGTTTTTTATATAGGAAACTTTTTACTGATTAATGAATTGAACTATTTATAATCAAGTGCCTTGATTTGAAGTGCCTTGTCGTGTTTTGTCGCTTAATAAATAAACTGAATTGAACTTAATCACCCCAAAAT